TATGGAACGTAAAACCTTAGCGCACTGTGTCCTTTCTTCTGTTCCATTCTTACGGTTGTGCTGATTTGCTCTTATAATCAAGTTTTACTTGGCTCCGATCCTAAGAGCGTACTTTCCCCATAAAGTGGGCTTCTTGCAACCAACCACCTCTCACAAACGGGAAGTTAAGCCTAATCCCGATGCCCCGAAACGGCTTTCACCGACTTCAGAGAAGGATCTCTGGAATCTGCACGCTCCTTCCGGTGTCGGCATTCCGGAGACCAACTTAGCCCCCCATAGCCAGCCCCGGCAAGAAACAACGGCGCTCCGCGCATTTTGGCACAGTGAACCCCCGTGCGTGCTCTTTTTATGCCTGCGCTCCGTCTCAACAATTGCGTGCGGTACAGCGTATGCTATCGGGCCTGGTCAAATGCGCCAACGCTTACCGCAGCAGGTTGCTTGTTCTCATGAGTGAGCGTGGCTAGCGCCTTCAGTACCGACTTATGATTCAAAGTTTTTCATTTATTGCGAAAGATTAACCTCGGGCATGAGGTACAATACTGGGGGAAAAATTTCTCGTTCAAATTTCAAAACCTACTCCATTTGCTCAAACAAATTATACAGAAAATGTGTCCGCACGTGCATATGGCGTCTATATATAAGCCCCCTGCAGGCTACTTTTTCCTGCTTTGCAAATGTGGTTACTGATCGCTCTACTGTTTTACCTTCAGTGTGTGCACCTTTCTATGTTTTTTTTCAACATTCTGGTTGGCAATGCACGGCCATTCTCGGTAGACGTATACTAGTGCACGCGTTTCCACCTTTCTGCTCAGTCGTCGACGCTTTACCAGTTTTGTGCAAATAACAGTTACTATAAATAATTATGAAGGTATAATCTGTTGTTACCGTTTCCCTTATAATGAAAGATAAGGTATGTTTTGCCCACTGAGCGGATTTGATGTGATTTGTGTGCTTGTTACTGGAGATCATGTTATTTTTTTAAAAGAGAAAGAATACCCGGACAGAGGCAGGGAAACGCAGACGTGGACAAGCACGCACTTGTAACTAGCGTTTATTTTTCTAGGAGCTCTGCTTCCGAGCCATAGCACATGAGGAAAAGATTGAACAAAGGTGCGGTCTTTTCCAGACACTGCTAATTATAAGCACACTCAAAGTTGGCCGACTTTTCTTAGCAGCAGTCGCCGACACTTGCAGCAACAGTCGCCAGCATATGTCGACAGACAACGATCATCCAGCATTCGTAATTACTACTTCTAGACAATAAGCATGCCCTAATCAGTGAAAACTGTAGTTGGTACCATGCAAAGTTCGGTACTCGAACTCGTATAGCGTAGTATTCACCTTGACCCGTGACGAAACATGGGTTAAAAAAAAAAGATCTCAGTGAAGCATTGTTTTCGAAATTGGGTGCAGTCTCAGTGGTATGTCAATGATGGGCTGGAGCTCACCAATTGTGTGGCGTTTATCCTTCCTTGAAGCTTCTTATTGGTTGATGTAGTGTGGACGGAGATCTGTGGGAACTGTTAGGTTTGGCCTGGGGATTCGTCTCTCAATCCCTTCGGCGCCGGGTTTGACGGACGCTGTCAAGTATTTGAGTGATTATCCAGACCAGGCGGCGGGCAGAGGCGAGTCCCGTCCTTCAAGTGCGGACCCTTTGGTCGTCCCTTCGAGCAGCAGCGTGACTGATGGCCTCATCGACTCGTCGGGCGACAGGAGGGCTGGCGTGGCCTGCGCCGGAGCTGACAGAGGAGCGGCGCTCCCTTTTGATCCCCAATCACCAAGCCGACCGGCCGACTGCCTATGCTCGTCAGGCATTGTACGTGCTAGCCGGAGGGCGAGACGTCGTGTCGCCAAGACGCCGCTAACCATTCGAGAGAGGCCAACAGAGACAGCACCTTCCTGGAGGAGACCAACGGCCACCGCAAATTACCCCGCTAATTGAGCGAACGAAATCGGCGGACCCTTTGAAGTATGCTGCCAGGATCGTGGGAACTCTCGAGTGGCGGCACACCCACGACGCGGAAGAGCCCTGCTGGCGCCACCCATTGTGCAGTGTTCACGTGGACCTTGCATGTTCGCCCCCCCTCACCTGTGTGTGCGTGATTGGTGTTCGACTCTGAGAGGAGGAGCCCGACAGGGCATAAAACGACGCGGCAGAGTGCTGGACATCGGGCTCTGAACTATGTATCGTTCAACCACCACGCTCGTGGTTTGTGAAACCACTATCCCTTCTTTTCTGTAAATATGTGTAAATAATGTGACATAAACCCATGTTTCTGTTTCCCGTATCCTCGTGTCAACGTTCAGTTCCTCCATCCGGATGCCATCATCCTCGAGCGCCCTTCCTTCCCACATCTAACAGAACGCCCTCCTGGCAGTTTATATTTCTGATCTGCCGTCTTTACTCCGTAGTATTCATGCACTTCATAAGGTTGCTAAGGTGGAGCGTCATTCGTGACTCGCACTACAAAACTTTCACCCTTGTTGGAGTAAGCTTTTGCTTCAGATTTGTTCACACGATGTTTCTTCCCTCACGGCCACTGTACCGCACAAACTCGTCGAAGTGAAGTAATGATTGATAAGTGGGGTTTAACGTCCCAAAACCACCATATGATTATGAGAGACGTCGTAGTAGAGGGCTCCGGAAATTTCGACCACCTGGAGTTCTTTAACTTGCACCCGAATCTCAGCACACGGGTTTACAACACTTCCGCCTCAATCGGAAATGCAGCCGCCGCAGCCAGGATTCGATCCCGTGACCTGCGGGTCCGCAGCCGAGCACCTTAGCCACTAGACCACCGTGGCGGGGCTTGAAGTGAAGTATGATTTGCCATTGGCTGACAGGACACTGAAGCCTTCACTGTACTCCATACCGCCCGTTAGGTGGTCCTTACTTTCTGATTGGCTAACTTCAACTTTCACGGCATTGGACATTGTTAAGATGGACAATGGACACAGTGGAGGACAGGCTTGTTGCACCCAGCGTATGCTGTACTGACGATCTCACGTGGTTCTCTTCCCGTAAATGATTTACTGCTCCGCATCCTCTTACGTCCCCTGCCCCTGTACAACCTGTCTCGTCTCTGCCGAAAAGCCAGACGCCGCCCTAGGCTCTCCAAGAAGCGTCCCAGAATAGACTTCGTCAGAAATTCGGTCGTCTGCTGTCGCGTCGTCTGCTGCCACAGACTTCTGTTTCATTTATACATTACTCAGCTCCGCCTCGGACGTTTCTGTCACTCGCGACTTCGCGTGGAGTTCGGACAGCGGCCATGCTTCATTGCGTGAGCACGGTTGCGTCGTGGAGCCTTCGGGACGCGTCGTACGTTTTCGAGGAGCATTCGTCGTGGTCAGAAAAAGGCTGAGAAGGCCCGTAGAAAGAACGATATATAAAAAAGAAAAAAGAAACGCATGCATGCGTTCGCCTATACGTAAATCTCTTAGGCACTTCCCTCTGTTTGCGGCCGCCGTGTTTAGGCTTTCGTTTATTTGTTTGCTTGTTAGTTTGCTCGTTTGTCTGTCGTCTGTCCGTCTGTCTGTAGGCAGTGTTAAGAAAACCCCATTTTGCAAGGTCCATAGGTAAGTCCATAGGATCTGGGGACGATCTCATCATTCCACGTCTTCGAGCTTATACATATATATTTCTGAATTTTGTGACTTGTGGTAACCGTGATACCTTTTCTTTCACTCTTTATTTCTAGACAAGGATTGTGCGCACGGGCTCTTCATCTCTCTCTTTTACTCGGAGCAATGCAAGAAAACTGTCGGTGTTACGTCACGCTTCTAGCTGTCTGCGGAGAAGAAGAGCGGCTTCGTGCTCCCAAAGGAAACGCTCGTAACTCGTGTCACTTCTGATCGAAGAGTTCGATGAACTATAGTCGCGCACTTTTTTCCTACTGTCCATGCATCCTTGGTAAACCTTGTGGCACTGCCCTAGAAGGCCTGGCTTCGTCTCCTCACTTACGTTTCGGCACTTTTGCATTGTGTGCACTCAGCTTAGATTATGCGAAATCAGTGTAAACGCGACGGACGCGACTCATGACGCATTAGTTTTACATCTAAGCGTTTTAGTCGAGGTACTGGAAAAATCTAACGCGTCATGTCCGTGACGCAAATGACGTCGACGGTGCGGCGAGAATTTTCATAATTTATTACTTCCGGTTCTCACTTCACTTGCCGTAGTGGCCAGTGGTAAAGAATAATGCTACAGATGAATTTGATATGCGCTGATTCCGGGCATTGTGCACGCATACCGTAAGCCTTTGGAGTAAGTTGACAAACTACAAAGCAGGTTGGTGGACGAAGCTTGCAGATTATGGTAATGACATGTATGCGATGCAGCCACTTTTGTAAATTTTGTATTTTTTATTTCTTCATAAAAGGCTGAGGATGTTGCTATATACTGGTTATACGGAAGGTGAAGTGAATTGTCCCGCCAGAATGTCGAATATTTAACTTCGGTCGTGCTGTTCTACCACAAAGTTATATAATACGACTTAAGCAGGTCCTTCAGTTACCCTCCAATGCTTTGGCATTGGAATATAAAAGTTGGCTTTTTTTTATCTAGCGACTGGTGGCTATTATAAGTGCTTTTGTACGCCACTACAGGGTGAACCCATTCGTCTCTGGAATAATGTTCCGAGAAACCCGTGGGAAATAAACGTTAACTTGACCAGACAGAAGTACTCAACGGGGCAGCAATGCGTATTATTATCAACGCATATGCCATCTATCGCTGTGTGTATGTGTCATGGAGTGAACCGACTTCTTGGCGTCGATAACACATGAATTAACTGATCATGGCTACTGCTCTGACCGTGTTTCTGGCGTTCCATGGCCTAACCTTCGAGGCACTTTCATGACAGCACGTTATCATTGTGTTACGAAAGCAATCTGCCGATTGATGTCTTCAGATGTGCTGGTCAGATGAGCTATCAGTGCGCTTGTGTTGGTGATCGCGTGAGGTGGATAACTGAGGGCGACGCCCGGTCTCTTTGTGCCAGGTAGCACACATTTACAAGGACCCGAGCATCGGAAACCTGCTCAACATCGCCGTCGTCAAGCTGCTCATCATGGAGGAGGACGAGGTGAGTGACGAGTCTCTACGTCGCGTGGCCTCCGAGATTCGCGGCTCGCGCGCCGTTATACTCTTGATAGCCGAGGACATCGACGTTCACTGAAACGCACGCTGAACTTAGACGTCATGGCAAGCGCAAGGTAACGCTCGGACAAAGGTTGGAACCAGGGGCCCTCCTGTGTATACGTGCCAGTTCCTTACGCGAATTGTGGAAAAAAAAAAATTGAATGCGTGGTGTAGCTGAAGCCAGCGTTTCCACGCGTGGTTCCGTCTTCGGTCTTCAAATATCTGCCTTGAAGTAGACGAGGCCACTTGCCGAAGCCCCCTGTTCTGAGAACGTTTAATCTCTTCGGGCTTCCAACGCGTATCTCGAACTTGTGTCTGGCTTGGAATTCCTCGCGTGAGTATTACACGGCGCTTGCTAAGATGTCCAAGTTCACTCCATCGCCGACTGGCTCAAATTTACGCGTAATACGCACACGCAAGGCGGCTGAAAGGAGAGGCTTAATCAGCATTCCACGGTCTGAGCCTTCCAGAAATATTTCATTTCATTTATTACACCTTAAGGGCTCGATGGCATTACATAAGAGGGGGGGATACACAAGTTTCTAAACATTATAATACAATAATTGGTAAGAAATCAAATTAAAGAAAATAAAGAGAAAATAAATGTAGCATCGGCTACGTACATCGGAAAAGTTCAATATCCTTTGATGGGCGCATATTAGGAAAAAAATAGAACGTTCGCAGGTTTCGCAAAAGTAAAATAACTAATTAGTAACAAGAACTAAGGAAACGAGAAACTAATGTAGCATTGCGTGCACAAGACAATTCATCATGTTATGGTAGGCACCTATTTTTGGACAAAATGGCAGGTTAGTTTCTCGCGAAAGTTCTTCGATCTGAACAGAGAGCAGTGGCGTTAGGTATCGTGTTCCATAGGGTGATTGCGTGTGGGAAAAAAGGAGTTATTCATCGTCGCTGTGCGACCACTTATGTGTGAAATGGGGCATGTGTGAGCCAATCTAGATGATGTTCGTACAGGTGGAATAAGAAGCGTATGTCTTGGGGGTGACTGATAAAAGGAGCAATGGAGCAGGCAAATACGAGCATATATGCGAAGTGATTCAAGAGCTGGAAGTGATGGGGTGCGTTTCAAGGCGGTATGGTGAGTATTGAGATAATATAAAGCGCGCTGCGCGGTTTTGCACTGCTTTGATTTCATCTGTAAGATATGATTGTGATGGGTGCCAAATGGATGACGCCTACTCGAGCTTCGGTCGCACATATGTTAGGTATGCCAGTTTTTTTGATGTCAGTGGATGCAGATTTCAGATTTAGACGCAAGTAACCAAGTGTGCGCGTGATGCCTGGGAACAGAATGTTTGTATATAATGTGACATCCATGATAATGATAGTGTTAGGTACACTCTTAAGTACTTGTAAGTTTCGGTGGAGCTGATGGGACACGAATTTCTGTGGTATGTATGACTTATCGTAGTGCGTTTTCGAGAGAATGAGATTAGTTTGATTTTTCATAAATTTAAAGGCATAGACCACTCTTCACGCCATGTGACAATAATGCCTAAGCCATGTTGCTGCTGAGCAATGATGTCCTCCGATTTGTGAATATGGTGATAAAGAACGCAGTCATCAGCAAAAACGTGTAGTTTTGATTTTGTGTTAGCGGGAAAGTCATTGATATAGATTAGAAACAGCCATGGGGATAAACCTGCACCTTGAGGAACGCCTGACGTCACGCTGGCGAATCGAGAGTTACTGTTATTGGCGGTAGTGAATTGAACGCGACCCTTCAGAAAGTGTTCCAGCCAACGAATTAAGTTTTGACTATAATATTCAATGAAGTGGTTGAGTAAACGTGGATACGGTACCCAGTCGAATGCTTTAGAAAAATCCAGAAATATTGCATCTATTTGAAGGAGCTTGTCCACATAGTGAAGTAAATCGTGCGTGAATTCTGGAAATTGAGTTTCACAGGAAGAGCTCTTCCGAAAACCATGATGTTGTGGGTAGAAAAATTTATTTATTTATTTACTTATACAATACTGCAGGCCACAAATGGGCCCAAGCAGGAGTGGGGGTGTTACAGAGCCGTTAGAACAATTATACAATCTTTGGCGAGGTAAAAACAATAAACAGGACAATACAAAATATTTTGAAAACACTGTAAAATAATAATACAAAATTTTACAAGTCAAACATTTGATCAATAGATTTCAGCACATTGTCAGATGAAAGAATTTCATGCGGGAGGTTATTCCAGTCGGTTATAGTGCGGGGAAAAAAAGAATACTTAAAACTGTTAGTGCGCGCTGTGATAGGCGAGAACTTTGCAGAATGGTAATTCCTGGTGGGACGCGATGATAACGAAGTCAGGAAGGCCGATGTTTCGAATCAGATATTCCCGTGTGATAATTGGAAAAGAAATTTTAGCCTATTCATTTTGCGTCGAGATTCCAAAGTAGGGATTTTATTCATCTGCATTAGTTCTGTCGGGGAGTCATAACGGCGGTATCGGTTGTAAATGAAGCGGACGGCTAATCTTTGGATTTTTTGGAGATTGTCAATGTCTTTTGTAGTATGTCTTTTGTAGTAATTTACCGATTCGAGATGTGCAGTTAAATGGGAAGCTATTCAGTGTTCGAGCAGTTTTGATGAAATACTATTATAAGGGAAACAGGTCTGTAATTGGTGGCAAGTTTTTTTTTTTCCAGATTCAAAGATCGGGAAAATTTTGCCTATTTTCCAATCGTTTGGAACGACTGAATCTTGCAAAGATTGGTTGAATATCAACAGAGGATTTTACTAGAGACTATGATGGTATATTAAGAAACTTACTATTAATGTAGTCGCAGCCTGCTGATGAAGCTATTTTAAGGCCGGTTTGCATATGCCATCCGGTGTTATTTGAACATCGGGCATAACTGTGGAACAAACGTCAGCTATGCGTTTATTATTATACACGGAAGTGACAGTGAAAACAGAGGAGAGATAATTATCAAGGGTGGTTGCGCACTGGTCGGATTTGATAGGTTCGTCAACGTCATTAATTCGCTGAATGTGGAATATGACACAAAGGAAAGTGATATGGAAATCTATGCGACGGGTCGTATGCCTACGTCAGGTGGCAGCGGCCATGTTTGTCACGCTTGCACCCTATACCTGCACCCTATACCTGCTCCCTATAGGAAAATATGCGTTACGCTTATTAAAGTGTCGTGTCTTGCCACGCATATATCCTGCTCTCTAAAATTTTAAAGAAGCACGTTAACTTTCTTTTGTGTCCCACGACTCTCCTAAAAGAGTACAATGAATAAAGAAAAGAGAGTTGATGATTCTCGTTGAAGAAAGTCATATGACTTGCAGAATGGAATGACGCGACTCTTTTTCTCGGTGCAGTGTGGGAAGCAGGAGAAATGTACTTCAGCAGAATCGACTGTGGTGCTTGTTCAGGTGTCTAAAACAAGCGGCCCTGGAATCTTACATGCGATCCGCTGGCCGCAAATGACTGTCGTCATCCCGTATTTTGTTTGCATAATAAGTGTGAAAATGAGTGAGCACACTTCATCGCTGTGTGTTTAAACACAACCACGCAACAAAAAACTACATTTCAGTATCTGCGTCCACGTTTTGTTCATTTTGGCGATCGATGTGAACTTGTTGAAACCTGGCGCCAAATCTGCTTCAGGATTGACCCGTAAAGGAGAATGTTTGCTTACAGTACTGTCTTATTAAAATGTTTGCTTACAACTATTTCCGCTTCCACCCCGCTGCTGTTACCGTCCACCCCCCACCCCCCTTATACCGGTCCTTGAGGGACTTAGCCGCGTGACTGCGGTTCGCAGGCTGTGGTTAGTTTGAGACCCCTGTAGTCGGTCTTCCGTGAACACAAAAACAGTATATCGCTGAAAATTACCAGCACACGAAAAACAAAACAACGCCAGTGCGTTGTCTGCTTTTATTTTTTTTTCGTTGTATTTTTTATTATTATTATAATTTGTTCCGCTCTGGTCTTTGAGTAAAGACAAGCGAACCCGCTAAAGAGCGTTAGAGAGGTCTAGAAGCGAGGTTAATCGCACATTCTGAAGTCGTTGCGCAAGCTGCGTGAAGAATCTCAGTCGTTCTTTCCAGCGTCACTTCGTGTCCTCCGCACTTGTCCGGCTGTATACCGTAGTATACTGGCGCCGTGCACGGGATGGCGTAGTGAGCGCAGTATACGCGCCGCCAGCCGATACATTTCGGTGCATCTATCAGCTCCCTGTCTTCCGGGATGACGACGCCAGCGCGTTGTGCTCACTGAGGCGAGCAGCCGCTTCTTGCCTGCACTCGCCGTCTTCCGAGACACTCGTCATCTTCCGAGACAACGCCGGCTGGGGCTGCGAGCCCCAATGGGCATTCCTTCGTCCGGCCCGTCTCTGTGTAGTCCCCCCTCCCCGTACACGCGAGTGAGCACAACAATGTAATTCGGCGCATTAGCTGACGTGCCTGTCGATTCGATGGGCCCGCCGCGTCCGTTGCGGAGCGACGTGGTGAAAAGGCAGACCGGAAAGGCGAGGGCTGTGATTTATTATTGAAAATGATAGCCGCCGTTTCGGACGCCGTTATAGAGGAAGGTGTTAGATGATTGAGTTCCGGTGGGTCGGTCGTCCATTGCAAGTCGCGAGGTGGCATCGGCTGTGAATGTACAGTTCTCGTTCGTCAATCTTCATCAGCTAGCGATTCGCGCCACTCGTGTGAATTCTAATGCGAGCGCTTAGTGTACAAGCACAACTCGAACAAAGTATAAAGAGTTCTTCGATGCCGTGGCGTGGAACCTCCAACTGCAGCTTCCGAGCAGCAGTTTAGTTTTTTAAATGTTACGTGTGGTGTTATAGAGTTTCAAACTCGGTGTTGTTAAATTGTTAACCTTGTTTTTCTGCGAGCTGCCTGTGTTTATTATCTCTATATATGAATGTATACCGTGAGCGCCATAAGTTTAGAGGCCACGTGATGCGAGAAAAAGCTGAATATTCCCAGGGACGTCAGTCACAGTTGCGAAGAAACTAGTCTGTTGTTTTTTTTTTTTTGTCGTGCAAGACGCCTGTTCCGCATATCTTTGTATATGGATGTACAGGCTTGTCCACTCATAAATGAAACACTTTAGTCCTCGACATGTTTGGGGATCGCTCTGTAGCGAAAATGCATCGGATCAAATTTGCATAGGACTGTTTGTGGTTGACAGGGCTGATTACTTCTGACAGACTAGTGCCGTGCATGAACATTGTTTCCTCATTCACTTGCTGTCGGAGCGCCAGTGATATGAATGGGGCTCATTAGAGCATTTCCTTTGGCAGTGCAGCACATTGTTCATTAAGTCCACAAAAATTAAGTAGCATTGGGCCGGAGGAAAAATACTTTATTTATTGCAAGAGAGAAAGGCGTGGTGGCGGAGGCAGCAGAGGAGCCAACCGGGCGTATACGTCTCTGCTACACTCCTGGCCCAATCCAGAATCCGGTCCTGGACTTCGGGCGCCGAGTTGCGCATACCAGCCTCCCACTCTTTTTTACTATTGGTGTGTAGAGAGTTAGGTGGCAGGTTCCGAAGACACCCGCACTTGATATGGTCTAGGTTAGCTATTGATTGGCAGAAAATGCGCAAAAGTAAGGGGTATATTGCAGAGCGTATAAATAAGCTGGCTTAAAATTGGTGTAGGAAACGCACAGGTTTGTAACTGGTGCCGTACTATTTCGTGGTAGCGAGTAGCTCCATGGTATAGGGGGACGGGGGGGGGTACGCTGTAGGCGCTGGTGATTTGTTAGGACTTCGAGGCTGCCCTTAGACCTAATAAAAAAATCACAGCTTCGCCAAACGGGTGAAGGCTATCATATTTAGATTGATTAATATGTGGGGTTTAACGTCCCAAAACCACCATACGATTATGAGAGACGTCGTAGTGGAGGGCTCCGAAAATTTTGAACACCTGGGGTTCTTTAACGTGCACCCAAATCTGAGCACACGGGCCTACAACATTTCCGCCTCCATCGGAAATGTAGCCGCCGCAGCCGGGATTCGATCCCGCGATCTGCGGGTCAGCAGTCGAGTGCCTTAGCCACTAGACCACCGCGGCAGTGCGGCTATCATATTTAGGGGCAATATTAATTGTGGTAAACATGCGCTTGCTAAGCAACCAAGTTTGCTGCGTGCTGGTCAGATGACCACAGCAAGGCTCGTGCGTAGTGGAGGTGTGTATATACGAAGTGAGGCTGGCAGTCAACTAATTTAAATCCAATCTCACGTAACTCTACAAAACGCTGGTGTAAGAGAACACGGCCGCTCTAGGTACACTTTCGGCACCGTTTTTTCGTCCTGAGAGGGTAGCCGGTAGAAGCTCCTGCCTGCTGTGGGAACACAAGCCCCCCCCCCCCCCCCCCCCCCCCTTCTTGTTCGCTCACGAGATATTCGCGTGCGCACACGATCCCAGCCGGGAAGGCGATGCTCGCTCCGCAGAAAGAGGAGGATAGCGCACCCTTCCCGGTGTGTATATATATATATATATATATATATATATATATATATATATATATATATATATATATATATATACACGCTCATATACGTGAATGATGGTGGTGGTGGCGGTGGCGGCAAAAACCAGCCGAGACTGTCCATATGATTGCTATCGCAATAAAAGAGATGTTCCATACGTTCAAGGACGCGCGTTACTTTTTTGTCTTTTTAAGCTAAGGAGCTTAAAAGCTTCCACCTTTACGCAAAGCGTGAACATTGACGAAGCTTGCCGTTACGTGACGCAGGACAACGACATCATCTCTCCGAGTGCGTCCAACACGCTGAAGAACTTCTGCCGCTGGCAGCAACAGCACAACCACCGTGACGACAGCCACCCGTACCACCACGACACTGCCATACTGCTCACCAGGTAATTCCCACGCTGCCCTCCACCTCTTGTTGTCTCTTACCCGAGTAGTTTACTTTTAGTACACCAGAGGAAACTGCGACGCTAGTGTCTATGGGAGCTGCAACGCACGGCCCTTCTGCCAACATGAAAATGATGGATAGTACAGAAGTTTGTCTAATCTTCGTACCCTAACTCCGTTTGGCTCTGTGTGGCCCTCATTCGCTTAGTCTCACTTCGAAGTTCAGCAAATGTTCATCAGTTCCACTTCACCAGCTTAACATTTTAGGTTTAATAATTTAAATATGATCACTAAGTTCACGACGGTTCATTATTTTAACGAAAACGAATGCCAAAACACAACGGCAAACAAGGCCGCAAGTGCATTTGAAGCCTGCAAGCACGCAGACTGGGCGAATTCGTCTACCACCCATAATTACGATGCAAATTAGATGAACGATCGCAGCGCCGAAGTTCCTTCGAGTGAGTTTTAGGAAACTATTTGCCTTTACCTTCTTATCTTTCCCATTTTCCTTCCACTCAGCGTAGAGTAGCAAGCAGCATGTTTGAGTTTGATTACCACACACATGTAGTTTCACTATGACCTATTCGGGAAAACCTGCTCAAGGTACAGCTTGACTTGCCCCAAACGCACAAGTTCACTGTGGCAGCTACACAGGAACAGGGAAACACATTTCAACTATGGTGTCGGTGAACAACGCACGTGCTATGCCTTGAAAATATGTGTTACAATCAGTGAACCATTAGTGGAAACTGATTACAACGAAAAAAATATATTTTAGGAAGAACACAAGAACTTAGCACAAGTAGCCAATAACGGGTGTTTCGTTCTGGTCAAGCTGCCAATATTTTTCTGTTTCATCTCTCTCTGTCCATCGCCGTGCCTCTAAGCCGCGTACGTGACGCGGCATGCTGCAAAAAAAAAACAAAAAAAAAAACGCTCGCTCAATGCCATCGTGTCATTCATGGCCTCCGAAATCTGCAACTCGCAGCTACGTCCGTGAGCGCTAACGAATCTTGGAGTCCGTATAGTTTCTAGCAGATTCGTGCGTACTGTTTAGTGATACCGTTGTCACATATGTCGCTAAACGATCGTGTGCACATCTCTCGTATTGCATTGCACTTGATCCTGACTGGAATTCGTGTATGAGCTTACGGTAGCTTTTAGCGCGAAATAAACGCGAGACACAGAGAAGCGCGAACCATCTTCTTTATTTCGCGCGAAAAGCTACCGTAAGAATGAACTAACTTTTCCAACACGTCACTATACTCGTGTATGACGTTGAATTGAATTTGGTTGTGTTTTTCGCCCATAGTAAATGATATATTTGACAGGCAAAACTGAAAGAAATACGAACAAAATGCAAACTTAGCGTTATTTGCTTATGCAATACTTCGGAGTCTCATGTGGTGTGCCTATCATAATGACTTGACTTTTTCTTGTGTGTCTGAACAGTGTGCTTGTTTCTACAAAGCAAACCACGAATGGATTCCACCACTTATCTATATTGCTTACATATTCGTTGCTTTAAAAGTATAATTCAAGCTCAAGTCTGCAAACTGCCGATATGAAGTGCGTTATATCGTTTTTAATAAGGGTGACGCACTTTTTTTTTATACCGCCATCTACTTCTGTGATATGAGCATTTTTTTTTCAAGTTTGACCGCATTAAAAAAAATACAATGCCATATTTTCAAGCTGTTACCCGCGAGCCAAGGTCTAAATCCGCGGGTCAGCAACTTTTTGAGGCGAAGGGCCAAGTTGCCTGAACCAGACTTGGTGGGGGCCGAACAGCAAATTGAAAATGAGCGGACATATAGAAGTATTAGCAGGCAAAAAGAAAAATTCGGCGAATCGACAATGTACAAAGCTGGAATGTTTATGTTCAGCACGCACGTCACTAGGTTGCCACTTGCAAACGAGGTTACCCCACTAAAGGTCCAAACTCTCGTGGTGTCCAAACTCTCTTCAGATGGGATGCTGACAGTGAAGGGGGGGGGGGGGGTGGGTTCTGACGTCGTGCTGCGGGCTGCATGGTGCTGGCTATTGCTCTGAATGGGCGACAGTTTTGCACTATTGTAAAGTAAGCCTGTTCAGGATTAGCGTGATGTGGTCTGCAGTATACGTTTTCGTTTCTTTCGAGTGACGTTGTTTTGTAACACTTTCTGCCTTTCCTTTTCTTGAAGAGAAGACTTATGCAGACTGCCCAAGACATGTGACACGCTCGGTAAGTCGACACTCTCGCATCACTGCTCGCTGCAATTTGACACCGTCGCGCCTTTTTTTTTTCACGCGTCTAACAGCCACGTTCGTTGCGCAAAAGCGTCAACGATGTAAAAGCTGCGGGCCTTTCTTACAACGTGTCGGGTGCACGAAGTCGCGGACAGACAAGGACGACCGCCGAGAACAAGGAACGCGTTGTTTTCGGAGCTGGCATGTTTTCGTGTACGAGTGTCATACGAATACCTAGTTGGTTTTCCTCGACTATCGAAATACACGGGTAGCCTGTAGTAGGCGCGCGAACGTATAGTTTTTTTTTAATTTTTCGTTCTATAGCTTTGCTGATGCGTATATATATATATTTTTTAAAGAAGCTAAAATTGGGCGCTGGGTTCCGTGCTATTCCGTAACTGTTCTCGCGCGTTATTGTGATTTTTGACTGCCAAAGAAGCCAGTAAAGAAAAAAATAATAAATAACATAAATGAAGCACACCGTGCGAACATTTCTCGACTTTCCGTACTTCGCAATGTAGCTTATTGTAAAATATCAGCACTGATCTCACATTCACCGACGGAATGCCATATGTCGGTGAGATGGCAGGAAAGGCTGCTTCTTTTTTTTTTTGCGTAGGAACGCGGTATGTTCCTAATCCGCTTCCACTCATATTTCGCAAATGTCTACAATGATATTCGATACGCTGTGGCGATTATATCGGACCAAAATAAACAACAAAAAAGCAACGTTATTATTCGGGAAGAGAAAAGAAAATACTTATACAAATAAACAATTGACGCTACCTAAAATAAAAGAAAATAGTAGAAGAAGAAAGAATGAAGGAATGAAGAATACGACAGAGCACAGTATACTTCAAAAATTCTTTTAAAAAACAGGTTAAAGTTTCTGTTGTGCTGGTTCGATATGCCAACAACATATATCGCCTTGTTGGTAAGAAGTCATCTGGAATATTAGGCGCACCATTGCGTTCCCTCGCTTAGACACACATACTTACGGACCACATACCACAAAGATCACTTTCCGGGGGAATGAGGTAATGCTAATTTGCGGCTAATATTCAAGATACGTTCTCAGCATTCATTCATTCATTCATTCATTCATTCATTCATTCATTCATTCATTCATTCATTCATTCATTCATTCATTCAATCATTGTCGATCTGATAGCTGCTTTGTTTGAGAAACCCGCGATGATTGATTTCTCCTTTTGTTTTCCGTTTTTTTTTTGTCTCGCACGTTTTCTTTTAAAGGGCTGGCTCAGTCTGGCATGATCTGCGACCCGCATGGAAGCTGCGCCGTTGTCGAGGACAACGGTCTCAGCGCAGCCTTCACCATCGCCCACGAACTTGGACACGTGTGAGTGACCGTCTCTCTCTCTCTCTCTCTCTCTCTCTCTCTCTTTACTCCATAATTTCCTATAAATTAGCTAGAGGTATCTCCGGCGCTACTCTCTACGGGAGTTTCAACGAGTGGCGCTTCAACCAGCATGGGAATGACGGGTAGCACACAAATTTGTCCCATGTTCGTTCTTTTGCCTCCGTGTGGATCCGTGAACCTTTGAGCCGCTTTATCGCAACACGTAGCGAGACAAATGTTCAGCATGTCCTCTCCACCGCCTTAACCATTTCAGGCTTACCAATTCAACTCTGTTCACGAAGTTCGTGACGAACGTGAAAACACACGTGAAACACACGTGAATGCGGAACAAACGTGAAAACACAACAATAAATAAAGCCACAAGAATGTTCGGAGCCCGCAAGCTCGAATACTAGGCAAATATTTGCACTACCCATCACTCCCATATCGCGGCCAAATGATCGCAGCGCCAGAGTTTACCTCTAGTAAATATTGTAAGAAACTCTACGCTCAACTTATCTGTCACGTTCACCAAAAAATAATAAAAAACCATTTCGCAGCATATTTTAACATCGGCCTCGTTTCCATGACTTAATCCGCGCAGCGTACCATAGGCGATTCTGCTAGTGCTCGTGTCGATACGGCTCTGCACAAAATTGCGCGCACGTAACGTGCCTTGAGAGCCGACTTTCCCTCAACATGCATTAGCTTGTGGAGAAGCACGCTTTCGGGATTCCTTCTGGATTGGTTGCTTTCTGCAGCCGCCGGCAGGCTAGGACATGTGTTAACGCGAACGGTGTCTTGGTGGCAGCTCGCTGCCCGCTTGACGAAATCACCTTTTGATCTCATTGAGTTGTTTGCTCTAAGACAATAATATTACTAAATCACTAAGTAATGTTCTATATAAAACGTTAAGCACCCTATGCGGTTCCTGGGTATTTCAGCAGTGGCAACGGTAGTGGTCTGCGTAAAATCGTTATTGCGGAGCATTTTAAGGCTATTTGGTCAGATGCCTCTCTGTATCGCCATTCGATCAGTCTGTCTTCCTGTAACGGTAAACAGCACCTTTCTCATAAGGCTACGTAAGGTCCAATTATAGTTGCGTGGGAGCACACGGTGGTTTAACGGTGATAACTACTTGAAACCTCAACTTTAGAAGTCTATTGAGGAACGAACGATCGACCTTCTACGCATGTTGCTTCACGGAATCACCGACCTCTGACGTATGCAGGGATTCGACCCATGATGCTTCGGAGTATGTGACGTAGTATTAGGGACGTAGTATCGAATCCTCAAACTCCGTAGTATTAGGGACTCGCATTCCCGAACCTTACGACCAGGTATAATCGCGTAAAACTTAAGAATTCTAAAAGGTCCCGCCCAGACGATGGATGCGCGGCAGCCGATTTCCTCCGCGGCAAAAAAAAAAGAAAAAAAAAACGTCCCGCTCACTTGCTTGGCAATGTGCTCCGAAGACTGGTCACCTTCCATCCCTTTCATGACGTCAGACTGAAACGCGCACTTATTGGTGTGGCCTTGTGTGCATTCGCCATTGAGGAGAAAATACCGCGCACTTGCCAAGTTGCATCCGCCTATAGCCCCTTTATGCTTCGCATATGTTCAAAGGGACACTAAAGTTAAAAAGCGATTTTGTTTAGATTGATGAAGTCTACTCTGAGAACCCTAATTCCGCAAGTTTCACCGTGATAAGTTCGCTATTAGAGGAGTAAGGTGGAAGTTTACTGATTAAATTTCGCACCGAAATTTCGCGTCGAAGTGGCTCGATGAAATTTTCTGAAACATCGTATGTTAGGTCCATGGCTCCCAGATGACAACATACTTCATTTTAATCGATTGGAAATAACGCAAAACTTATCAGACGGCGTCAAAAGCCATAACATCATGGTGTTTGGTGCGGGAGTGTCAAGGTGGCGTCTCTACCTGCATTTTGTTTTCGCGTGTTGGCGCTCTTCCCAAGCTTCGTCTCGAGATAAAAATGGTATTTCGGGATTGTGAAATTGCACTTTACTAAGTTGCGCGAAAAAAGCTCACCCTTCTCTTTAGTATGCCGTTAAGATGCCTAAAATAAATAAGTTATTCGCAAGTTGCTAAGCTAAACCATAAGACGTTCATGTTATAGTTTAGTTAAAGATTCATCGTTATCGGCTACTCCATGAAGCAGTTATGAATGCTTTTTGTCTTTCTTTTCGTACCTGTTGTTTTCAGCCTGAACATTCCTCACGATGACGACCAGAAGTGCGCCAAGTATCGGTTACCCAGTCAACCGCTGCACGTCATGGCCCGCATGCTGGACTACAATAGCCACCCGTGGTCCTGGTCAGCGTGTAGTAGGCACTACGTCACCAACTTCCTCGAGTGAGTGGACTAATACTCCGTCATTGCGTGTGGCTACTTTCAGCCCACCCCGTAAAAATGAAAGCGAAAAAAGATGTTTCGCGCGATAAGAAATTCACAGTTTCGCCAATAGGACGAATGAATCGAATGTTTTACCAAGCAATCAAGGCTAGCATTTTGAGAAGCAATAATAATTGTAGTAAACATGCGCTTGCTAAGTAACCAAGTTTTTTCTGCGGCGCGGCCACAGTAGATGACCAAAACAAGGCCCGGGCGTAGTGACGGCGTTGATATACGAAGTGAGGCTGACAGTCTACTCATTTTCTATCCGATCTTACGTAACTCTACAAAACGCTGGTGTAACAGAACACGGCCGCTCCAGGTATACTTTCGGCACCGTTTTTTTCGTGTTGAGAGTGCAGCCCATAGAATCTCCCGCCTTCTGTGGGCGCAGGAGGCGCGCGCTGATCGTTGCCACGATAGCGCGGCAACCATAAGCGCCCCCCCCCCCCTCTTGTTCGCTCACGAGATAAGCGCACGTGCAGGCGACCCCAGCCGGAAAGGCGATGTTCGCTCCACAGAAAGAGGAGGCTAGCGCATCCTTCCCCGTATATATATATATATATATATATATATGCATACATGTACATGTTCGTAAATAGCACACTCCTGGATTAGCAATCATTACGTTGACTCTTTTATTGCGATAGCAATAAAAGAGTCAACAGTCTGGGCTGTTTTTTTTTGCCGCTGCTATTTACGAATATGTACATATATATATATATATATATATATATATATATATATATATATATATATATATATATATATATATATATATATATATATATATATATATATATATATATATATATATATATATATATATATATATGCATACATGTACATACGTAAATAGCAGCGGTAAAAACACAGCCGAGACTGTCCACGTAATTGCTATCGCAATAAAATAATCAACGTAATGATTCCTAATCCAAGAGTGTGCGTTTGTGCGTTGATTGGTCATTGTCTACCTATGCTGTTATTTGTATTCGAGGTTTTCTCGAGGACGGACAGCTGCTTTAGCGCTGTCCGTCCTAGGTGCATCAGTGGCTAAGGTGCTCGTCTGCTGACCTAAAGGCCACGGGTTCGAATCCGGCCGTGGCGGTCGCATTTCGATGGAGACAAAATGGTAGAGGCTCGTGTTCTCTGCGATGGCAGTGCACGGTAAAAAAACCGCAGGTGGTCTGAATTTCCGGAGCCCCCCACTACGGCGTCTCTCATAATCATATGGTGGTTTTGGGAATTTAAACACCACATATCAATCAATCAACTTTTTGCGTGCAGTTCTTTAGTTTGCTTTCTTTTACCTTTGTGCCCGCAGCTCTGTGTGTTCCACACTCTTCGTATTGCGTTTATATTTTTAAATTGCCCGTGTCACTGCGCAGCCATCACCTGGAACACCCGACGTGCTTTATGATAATCGCGATTAGCACCTACCACCCCTGGAATGCATTAGTATACATGCCGCCCGATGTCTCGTCAATCCGCCACTGATCGATCAATCTGTACTATTTGCCGAGTTGTTATGACACAATGAAACGCAGTAGAAGTTATAAGCCTTAAACGCGTGTTTTGCTTTATGGCCGCAGTGATCGTCGGCAACGTCTTCTTCGAGATGCTTATCTAAATTACCGCCTGTGGTTTCAATTCTTCATCTTGATAATGTGCGTTCCTTCCGTCATGTCTGCCGATGCTGCCTTACCTATTTTGCTATCAGTGACGCCAGCAAATCTAAAAATTGAGATCCATTACAAAAATAAACGCAGTCGGACTGCAAGCATGTTTGAGCAAGTTCCAAAAAAATATATATAGCATCGTCTTGAAGGCGTTTCGGTTTACTGCCTTTTCCGCCGTTTGGATTCGTTCTCAGGCCGATTCCAGATGGGGTAAGAGGAATAGTGCACGCGTATGTTGGGGTCAGCTTATGTTTAGCTCCAAACGCGGAAGTGAGCCTAGCTAAACGAAGTGCAGTCTAGATAGTTCGTGATTGGTTACTCAAACAGCTCGCGAAAGACCAGACGCAGCTGGGAACGCTTCAGGATGGCGGGCGACCTGGCGCCGTGGTTCCAAAGCAAAAGCTATCCTATCTGAGTCTCACTTGACCTTATTTGTTTTCATTTTCCGTCGAAGTAAACGTGAACATTTTCGAGAGACTCTTCAGATTCGCACTTCCCTACGCGGGCGTTGCGATATATAGGGAAGCTCTTCAGTGTTTTTCTTTTCTTCAACCTTCAGTTCAAAGGGGAGCATGTTCACGAAGCTGACCACGAGCTGCTGATGGGCCACCACGTGCACTGTACCGAAGACGTGACGAAGTTGAGTTCTCTAGGTGATCGGTCTTCGAAGCAAGGTTCTCGTTTTGTGCCTTATTATCATGGTCGTACGGAAAGCCGAGAATTCTTGCGCATGTACACGTCTTTTAAAAGCGGCAGTGTACAGTTTGCTCACAGCACTCCACACTGCAATAAAAAACACACATTTCTTCTTGTACCCACGGTGTATTTGTACTAACACATCACTTCATATATCGCAACACCTACCTCTATATAGCAAGCGCTTATCCCGTCTGGTGTCCACTAAAAGTATTCTAAGAAGATGCGCCGTTTTTCTGAAGATGCATCTCAGCCCATGGTCCAAGTAATTTCTTGAATGTGAGGGTTCATCTGTCAAAACTTGCTGTTTTTTTTTTAATTTTTCTCTTTCATTTGGCACTTTGCACCTTCCCAAAGGATATGACGAACATTTTCATTATCGTGACCGCGATAGCATTCCGGCATGCTGAATCGACGAATTTTTGTGCAGGAATCTGTTTGCACGTGCTACTTCCGGTCGAAGTCTCTAGAATACAGTCTCTATAAGTGTCGTGGAGGATGTGTCGCTATTGAATATTATTTATGTGATTCGACTTCGTAGAGATTAAGTCATGATTCCTTCGATTCAGGACTGTGAAACCGCTTCTCCACAGAACGGTGGTTAAGCTCCTTGCGTTATAAAATTTCGAATATCCGCCCCAGATATAGGAATTGCGCAATCCTGTCCTTCGTTCAAGGCAGGCTGACTTGCATCCTGTAAATCAAGATTCTCAAAACACATGACCGGCGGATTTTTCGCTATGCGACCCCTGCTCGGCCTGAACCAGGCTCTCTTCGTTCGATATATTTTAAGAAAATCCTAATAAGTACCTTCGTGAGCTGCACACCTCTAACATTATTTGCGTAAGGCAGCGCATGAGATAACCATCTGTTGAGCTTGAAACGTTGGCATGGCAGAAATATTGTATGTTTGATAATCGGCGTCCAGGTTTCAGTCATTTCGAAGATCAGTCTTAATATGTTTTCTCAAACTCAGACGTCAAGTTTTTTTCTTCGAAAATTATCAATATATGGAATATAGAAAGGGCCTTCTTTCAAATGAATAAATTTTTTTTTTCGACTTTCCCCGCATTCCATTTCGATCTTCGTGACTGTCCCGGCATTTGTGGGAGACCTACTTGGCATGCGGCCAGCAATGATTTATGTTTAAGGCCACCCGTGTAAACCATTCAGTCGCTCGCGACAGCACAGGCACTCCGACGTGCGCGACTTTGCGCGGCACTTCGCTGGCTATCCGTTTGTTGCATTTACATTTGTATTAACCCGATTCTCTTCTTCGAATTCTCACAACATGTAATGCAGAGTATTTTGATATCATACTTTATTTCGTTTACTGCCAATTGTTATTGCTTTTTTTCAAACTTATTTTCTGTTAGCAAGTTCCTACTAATTGATGTTTTTTTTTTCTAATTGGTACAAGGGGTCCCCTTGTAGTCTAAAGCTTTGGACCTCCTTCCGTATATTGCCACGTGCGTTTAGAAAACCGAAGGGGACGGGACTGTCTTATCACGTTCCTTACCCACGTCTCGCGTGTGAACGAGCGTTGCCGCCATCCTGATGCCCGAATGTGCCGCCACGCAACTAATGCCATCTTTAGCCAGAGTTTAAAAATATGGGGACACATGCACTTACGACGCGACCAAATACACGTTACTGACCGTTGCCCGGAATAAGTCCGACTATTTTTTGTGTTCTAAAATACAATTTAATTAAATCGTTTTAATTAACTAACTTTTGAAGGAACAAATGTAGATAAACAAGTTAAATGAGAAAATTGTATATCAGTTTGAAAAACGTCCAGTTCGACAGTTTCGAACTTTATATCTGTGAATTATTAGTGTTTTTTGCTAACTACGAATACCTGCGAAATACAAAAAAAAATACCACGCGACCAAACCACTGGCGCGACGTGATTCTGCTGCTCTGTACTAACGATACGCTTCCCCCGCAGCGGTTGATGACAACGATAAGCTGTCACAGCTGTTATCGCTTTTGTGGCCGATTGCAAAAGATGTTCATCTCGAAACCACCACCATCGTTGCAGCCCTGTCGAGACAGCACAATCGGGCAAATGCTATGGTCGTTCGTACGCGGAACGGAACGTTAGGGAGCACTAGAATCATCGTGCGCACTGGCGCGCGAGCGGGTTTGTAGCGTGCTATTTTTTGTATTTTCTTCGTAGGCCCGTGTGCTCAAGTTTGGGTGCCCGTTAAAGAACCCCAGGCGGTCAAAATTTCCGGAGTCCTCCACTACGGCGTCTCTCATAATCATATGGTGGTTTTGGGACGTTAAACCCCACAAATCATCATTATTTTTTGTATTCCGCGGCCATTTGTAGTTTGCAAAAACAACACTAATAATTAAGACATAAAGTTCGAAACTGTCTAATCGGACGTATTGCAAACCGATCTAGAACTTTCTCATTGAAATTTTTTATCCATCTTCGTTTGTTGATTAAACAACTCTAATTAAACAATATTTTAGAACACATAACGTAGTCTAACTCCAGGCAACGGTCAGCAACATGCACTTTGTCGAGTCGCAACTGCGTGTGTCGGCATATTTTAAACTCTGGCTAAAGATAGATGGGGCACCCTGTATAATAGATCACCGCAACCACCGGCGGGCAGTAGCTATCGTGTGGGCGTGCTGTTCTGTTTTCGCCGCCGCCTAGCGACGCGTGATAGCTTGCTTTCGGGCGCGAGTCAGACCAATAAATTACTTCTCTTTCATTGCAGTCTTGGTCTGCCTCTTTACTGGTCAGAATGGAAGCTTGGACGAGTTGGTATGGGTTCATCTTGGCTGATTAACGCACACGGGACGAGGACATAAAAACACGGGCAAGCGCTGACTCGCTCAGCAACACAGAATTCAGCTGTCTAGCACGTGCAGAAGATGATACCAATGTTATTTTTTTCCCTTGCTTGTGGCGTGCTGGTTGTTTTTTGCTGTTTAATGTTTTATGCATTTTCGGTCAAGTGTCACTTCACCTATATATCATCTGTTTCTTACCCAAATAAATGTTAGTTGCGAGTCAGCGCTTGCCTGTGCTCTTTTATTCCGTCCTCGTCCCGCGTGCGCTGTTCAGCCAATATGAACTTTTCTGGTCTGTGCACCGGCCAGCTGACCGTCACCTACGTGACAATATTAGGTTTCTATGTGATATTTTTTTAATTAACAAGAGATCTTGAACCTTGTATGCGTTTAGATCGAATAGCATAGACTGAACGCTCGTCGTTTGGCGTTTTCGTGGTACCACAGTGCAGGCTACGGTCTCTGCCTTCGCGACTCTCCCGGCGAGAACCTGCTGGTGGCGCCCCCTTCGTCGTCCTCGAGCAGCGGACCCTCGCCGAGTAGCAAGCAGGCCGGCGAGCTGTTCAACATGGACGAGCAGTGCGAGCTCGTGTTCGGCCGAGGCGCCAAGGTGTGCCCCTACATGCCCGTCTGCAAGCGACTCTGGTGCACCGTGCACGGACACCCGCACGGGGGGTGTCGCACCCAGCACATGCCGTGGGCCGACGGAACCTCCTGCGGCAAGAACCACGTGAGCAGCCAGTTCAAGTCTAGCAATCGTCCTCTGTGCTCGTTTCTATGTGCTTGTTTTATCCCGCTATATTATGTATTTAAGTCAAGATCAATTAGCCCGAATTTCTGCCTAACAGTTCAATCCTTGCCCATATACCACAGACAGCGCTTATTTGTGTCGCTTCGTTTCTTTTAGATGCGAAGCAGCTCTTTGACTAGCCTGTGTAATTCTGTCCCTCCGTTCGCACCGCTCACTTCGCCGCAGGTGTTGGAGCGGTGCCAAGTAGCTCACGCTCTCCTAGCAGTGCGCGGTGACGTCTCTCTTCTTCATGTCTTTACACGGGATACCCGCACAGCCGCAACGCACGTTACGCGACCCCTGCCGCACGCAAGCGGGGGACAAATGAGCTAATTGGCGACGCTCTTTCACCCTCCGCAGCGTCACCAATCGGCTTATTTGCCCCCCCCCCCCCCCCCCCCGCTTACGTGCGGTAGGGGTCCCGGCACGTGCGTAGTGGCTGTGCGGGAGGCGCGTGGAACGGCCCTTCGCCTGCCGCCCGCTCGCGTCAGGATTCGCTGGGAGGATTTCAAGCTGGACGGTCGTGCCCTCGCGATCTCCGACGCCAGTGTAGCTCCCGCCGATTGGTTCGCCCTCCGCGGTCTCCTGACGCCGTGCAGCTCTCGCATTGTGGTGCCCCGCCCTTGGACTGCTTCGACCGGATCCCCACTTTCCTATCTCCTTCCATTTTCCGTCGCTTGCCTCTCTACTTCTTCATATATTTCCTTCCATTCTTTTTATCCCCCCACCCCTATAAGGCACTGCGCCGTGTCGCCGCTCAGGCAGACAGAAATTAGGTGCCTTCTTCCTTTTCCTTACGAACCACTAACCAACCACCACTTCTCTCGATGGATGGATGGATGGATGGATGGATGTGGCTGTACCCTTTAGATCGGGCGGCGGCTAACGCCACCTAGCCGTAATACTTAGTGAACTAACCATTACATTTATCTTTTTTTTTCCTTTAAATAATGAAGTTGAGGATTCGTACTTCGCAGTGAAGGGTTTAATTTTCACTCAGCCGCGCCACTTCTCTCCATCTGTCGGCGAGAAGCCGCGAGCCGGCATGTGGCGCGCCTCGAGAATCTCGCGGTGCTGACAGTGTAGACAGCGCGCAGCTGCTTGCCGCGCTATCGCGCCGACGCAGGCACTGCGCCGTGCTCCCGACCGGGTTGCAGAAATTAGGTGCCTTTTCTCATCTTCTAACCACTACCACCTATCGCGCCGACTGGCGGGACGCCCTCGCGGCATGCTTCCCGCTAGTGTGTGCATACCTTTCCCCGCTGTCGCCGGCCTTGCGAGTGTTCGCGAAGCCGATCGCGTTCCCGAATCGCGGCGCGTCAACAACTACGAGGCGTGAGCCAGGGATGCCTAGCGCAAGCGTTGGCAGTGGAAGACCAGCGATATCGACGAGGTGCGAGTCAAGAACACCGATCGCGTTCCAGAATACAGACTGCGTGCGGGCAAGACGTGAGCCCAGGGAGTCGAGCGCAGGCGTCTTCAACGCCTCCCGCGTTTTTTGCGTGTCAAACAAACGTTTGCTCGAATAAACGCTACACTGAGCTTTGCTTCAAACCGTTCTTCCAGCAACTGCGTCGACGCCCGTTTCGACCCACACAACGCCGTGCGCACCGCTGCTGTTTCGCATCCCATCAAGGCTCCCTTATAAGAGAGGGTCCATCATTTTTTTTTCACTTACGTTTTGATATTTCAATATGTGTATCGGAGCACCCACTAGCCCAAAGCTTAATGTTTACAGGCTATTTGTGGTGGCGCCGTATTGGACCATAACCTTTGCTTTTTCGATATTTAGCAGCTTTACAAACTGCCACAAAGAAGAAGTATATACGCTTAGAAATGATCGGGTTTGTGCTTTGCATGTTTCAAGACATTGTTAATTTATAGTGACGACATGAAAAAATTAGATGACATTCTTCTACCAAGTGCAAGATGTTGAGCCCATGTGTACGAGAGTACGAGAACGACTTGGAAGTCTAAAAACCGGAGCCAAACTACACCGATTCGCAGTATTTGCAGTCAAAGACGCTGGAATGAATTCTATAAAATGGATTCCGCTAAGCACTTTGTCTTTTGCCTTCTTCTTCTTCACATATATATTTATAAGGTTCTACACAAATTACACATGTGCCATATGCCCGAATACAAAGGCAAGCAGCGAGAGAATGTGGGTGATTAACCTAAGCATACGTCGTGTTAAGAACAGTAGAAACTGATCCTTATTCGAGCTGAGTTAATCGTGTTAAGGTATCTCGGCTGCGTGGAAAAGTTGGTTTAGGACAATAGTTACGCCAGTTAGAGACGTTCAACACATGCCTTGCCAGCTTTCACAATAACAAGTTTTGTTCTGGGAGCAATACCACCGAGGAAAGGACCACCTGCACCACAGGAATACCGGTGAACCCCCTGAACAAATAATGAAAAAAAAACTGCATTACATATTTGATAATGTTTTGTCAGTTTAGCTAATAGTGGTGTAGAAAAAGTTAGTGTTGAGCAGCCGCTAAAAGGAAACGACGTTGGGTCTCGTTACCTGTGTTAAGACCGAGCTTAAAGCTGAGCCATGCATACAATAATGGATACGAGGAAACACAATTTATGCATAAAGCAATGATTCCTTAGGACATCTTGTACATTTGGATCTCCACGGCTTAAGGTCGCCGATAAGTAGTAATGGCCCGCCTGGCTCAATTCATTGGACCAGATGGGCCGTTACGACTTATGAATCAGGAATACTGAGTTCGCATCGGTGTCCGAGTCGGGACGGGTCAAATCGACGCCCTGCATGTACACATCTCAGCCGCGCGTTTCTTACTTTGCCAACTCGTGCTTGCGGTGTGTGGTGTTTCAGTGGTGCCAGCAGGGCCAGTGCGTGGCCCGTCCCTGCAGACGCCGATCGTCGCAAGAGGGTCGACGGCGAGTGGGGTCCGTGGCAGGAGTACGAGCGGTGCTCCAGGACTTGCGGCGGGGGCATCCAGAGCACGCGGCGAGAGTGCAACAGCCCGAGGTATGCCAGAGCCACTGTCCTGTACTCGATACGTGCGTAGTGTATAAAAGCTAGCACTGTGTGCCGAGAGCTTTTGTGAAGCGAATGCGTTGCCACATTTTTCCTTACTACATTTGCAATTGAACGAATGAGCACGTGGAGTGCAGAAACGCCGGGTAATTGAAGTAAGAGCATTGTCTTATTTCAGCCCTGCCTTTGGAGGCCGTTACTGCACCGGTGAGAGAGTCAAGTACCGCTCGTGCAACACACAGGTACGCAAACAAGCCTTCCCCATTTTTTTTCTTTGTGTACCTCATTTTTGCATAAATGATATTGAGTTGCATCTTGTCGGATTTTGGAAGCACTAATGTGATCGAAAGGACTTCATTATCTCACGTTTTTGTTCACGATCGAGGAACGGTAGCCTGCTGTCTACGAGTTTGTCTGTGTCCTACCAGGTTTCCGTTCACCGTTCTCCGAGGCCTTTGAGTACAGCCACGGCCTCTCAAATCTCGGCGTTCCTCTCGACCAGTGAAATAGCCTACTCGTACCAAAATGTATACGTTTGTATATATTTTGGTGTGTATATCATAGGCACTTGGTTATACCAAAAAATGAATTTTTTTATAATTAGCACGGGTTTGTGTTATTAGCGTTTTGATTTGAAATGCATATTCAATCTAGTTAAATCATTGTACACCGTATTTTTACTGGAGCTGATAAAAAAGTCAGCACTTTGCAAAGTGGTAGACACGGTTTGTTAGGACTTCTCGTATTCAGTATGCATTTTTTTATTTATTCGTATTTATTTCTTACGCCGTTCCTACGCCAGCCCTGCCCTCTGGGTTCCATGGACTTCCGCGAGCAACAGTGTTCAGCGTTCAACGGCAAGACGTTCAACTTTGCCGACGTTCCCTACAATCCCAAGTGGACGGCACATCATTCTGGAAGTGAGTTTATTAGCAGGAGTACTGACAACGATAGCGAAAATTTTTGTTGCCAAATGGTTTAAAGATTGAACGTACATATGTTAAACACCCACGTTTAACTCTGAACATACAAAATGACAATACTACAACTTGGGTTCCTTTTTGTTTTTGCGACTGAGTGCGAAATGCTCTTCTGATTTTCGGTATTTAGTGGCATTGCTTTCACGAAACAGTTTTCATGTTTTTTTTGTTACCCCCCTTAACGGCTCAAATGTTGCGATTGAATGATGCATGAATCTGCTCAATGAGTCGCTTATATGGCTTCGTCTCTACTCGTGTTGATGCTTTGCCTTGGTTTCAGTTTTAGCGAGACGGCAACGGCGCGCTCGTTATTGCAGGCACGGGGGCCTGCAGCCCTCGAGCCGGCGTTGCCGCCGTCCTTGCCGCCGCGGGCACAAGTGCGGATGAGCCCCCCTTCCTCCTACTAAACAAAAAACAAAGAAAATGAATAAAACCACTTTTGCGTTGGCAGTGCCACAGTTTTAGTTAGCGTCACATATGTGGGGCTGCGCTGCATATGGAGGGCGCTTTATCGAACAGTTTTCTGCGGTATTCGTGTCATTCGCTCTTCGTTTTCGACGTCATGCGTGCCTGCATGGTTACACTGTGCGCGCATGGTGGGGCCCCCGATGACTTTCAGGTAATTTTTTTCTTTTCTTTTTTTAAATGCGGTCAACCGTGTCGTCGGTGGCGAGGGGACGTCAGATTGGGCGCTGATGGAAACTCTCCGAGACAACGGTGACGACGAATCTTTGGAGCTCGATTCGCCACACGCTTTCCGTCTTGCCGCGATGTTCACAGGCTCGTATAGCCTTCGAGATTATCCAATTAGCTATGCCAACAACACGATGGCGCGTTGAATGCAATGCACTGAAGGCAACAGCAAAACATTGTAGCTAACTCTTTTGCATCCGATATCGCGGAACTCCTACGAAACGCAGGTGTGAGCAAATAACTGCCTCTCTAGAGAAAAATGCTCTTTTCACACAGCCTCTTCGCATTAAAAGTGCACTGATGCTTGCCCGGATTGAAGGCGTGCCATCGATCGCGTCCGCCCTCAAAATCAAAGTTCATTGTTGCTACTCGAGCGACCTCTCGCCCTTCACGTTTTTGATGCTCATTCAAGACCGGTAGTTTCCGTTCTGTTTAGCATTCGACGGCAGTTCTAACACGCTGGGGACGTTAGATAGAGATGAACTAGCTTATTTGATGTCTGTTTCAGCAGCGCTTGTGCGCTTTTACCCGATCGTGATAGTTACAAGGCGCACGGTAGGGGGTGGGCATGTCAATTTGGGTTGTTATGGAATGTGGCAGCGATGGAGAAAATCCGCTGAGTGTGTCCATATAATTGCTATCGCAATAATAACGCAGCTTTTCACCACCAAATAAGCATTTTGGGGTAGCTCTGCCTTCAGTCTCCCTTTAGTTTAATTCGTGCGTTTACTTTAAGAATTTTCGTACCGAACAATGAAGTCCTCTTTAGGACGACTTTTTGTGGGAATTTATTAATTTTGTTATATCCAGGTTTAACTGTATATGACACATATGTCGCGATCATGCTTGAAACAGGTCAATGATACGCTTATATGTACACCTAAGTTGCACTTAATTTTGTTATAAAATGAGCTCGTAAACTTGTGATAATTTTTTCTTTTCTCGTTTTGTACAGAGTACATGCAGCAGCAATGGGTTTGCGCATTCCATGACTAACGCGTGTTTGTAAAGTTGTTTGAGTGACCATTCGGGATAACTGAGTCATGGGCACTGTGCTTAAGCTTGTCTCTGTCTTCACCATTCAGTCTCTCACGTCGACTCGTGCAAGCTGTACTGCCGGGTGGTCGGCCAGTCCGCCTACTACTTGCTCAAAGAGAAGGTCATAGACGGCACCGCCTGCAATCCGGAGTCATTCGACGTCTGCATCAACGGAGTGTGCAAGGTGTGTTAACTGTGGCTGCTTCTTCCTGAATATCTGTTAATTTGCAACTTACTTTCGGGTGCTCTATCGAGTGAAAGCAAGACGAAATGTTGTTTACTGATTAAGTTGTAGTGTTGAGGAGGTGATTCATTGAAACATGAACTCACTGAGGCACAACGCACTTGACGGCAGAGATGAGTGACTCTTTGACTACCGCGCTCAAATTGTAGACCTTCTAGCTGATAACAACAGAGGAAGACCACGGTTTCTGCTCCTTAAACTCTGTTACAGCTAGAGTGACAGATCTGCGCGCATGAACTATTAGATCAGGATGCTAGACTTCATAAGCAGGCGTTGGTGGTTGGCCATGCCCCGTGCTACACTTTCTGAAGACACATCGTGTGAACAATATTGAATGGTGCGCCTTTAGTCAGCCATTGCTCACTGCCTAGACGTTAGTGTTTCGTGCTGAAAAAGGTCTGACATTCTTTGCATCCTAATTGCTGTTATATATGCCAACTACTTTATTTCAAGGACAATCATTTTACAATAGCTCTTGGACTAGTTTAAGTGAATAAGCCGAGTACACAGTGTCGCTTGTACGCAAGGCTGTATCTTCTCTTTGTTTTATTTTCTGGCAGCAGCCTGCCGGTTGTGATCACCAACTGAACTCGACGGCGACAACAGACATGTGCGGCGTATGCGGAGGTGACAACGCCACCTGCCGGACCATCAAGGGACACTTCAACCTCGCTAAGTTCGGTGAGCGCCAATAAGCAGATATTGCCCGACTCAGGCTTGACATCCAAATGACATAACACGGGAGGTTTTATTGGTAGAGTAAAGGAAATAAAAAGCAAGACGATTGTCACAAACACCAGGTGCTTTGCGATGTCGGTGCCCGTGGAAAGAACACCAGATGGTCTAAATTTCTGGCACCTTCCACTACGGTGTCTCTCATAATGATATTGCGGTTCTGGGACATAAAACCCTAAATAATATAATTATCGTCACTAACAGAATAAGGTAGGTTGCCTAATTGGATGCCTGTTTCAAGGAACATGTTCTTTTTCTGGCTCAAGTTGGGTGCATTTTCGTATCCTGCTGAGTGCTGAACTGGAATTTCCATTAGACTTCGACGTCACTTCAGGTATAGTCAGGTGACCCGAGAGCAGGACCGTAGCCAGGAATTTTTTGAAAAGAGGGTGGGAGGGCACCTGCGGAAGACTCAGAAAAAACTGTTATTCTTTATTTTTGGTAAAACACCCTCCGCCATCAAATTTCAGGGGGGAGGGAAGCCGGGCCCCTAGGGCTATCCCCCTCCCCACTTAGGGCTATTGGCCTGACTGAAAGGAACTGTCACATGAGACGTTGCAGTGGAGCTACTACCGCCGTTTCGCTAGTTGGCTCCTGTCAATTAAGGAAATGGGGTGGGAAGGAGAAGGGGTGCAGTGAGCAATGCTGTGCCGCTTTCCGGGTGCTTTAACGCGAGCGCGTTAAGGAGTTCGTTTCACAGAAAGTCTGGTGTCGGCGTCGTTGATTGTGAGCAAAAAATTGTCTTATGCATGACCGAAAAATCGAAAATGATGCAAAATAACAAAAAAATCCTATGTCAGAGTGGGGAAAAATGCCGGGTATTTTGGGTCTGAGTGGGCAAGCTGATGTTCTACCGCACAGGCATGCCGCTCCATCATGCGTTGTGTTTGCTGACTTGTGCGAACTGTTGTAGCCCGCTTTGATGGTTGTCTGTTAGATTCAAGCATGAAGTTGCTTTGAAAAGTGAGTTCGAATATTAATCAATATCTTCTTTCTTTCATCCATTTGCTTGCAGGCTACAACTTTGTTACTGTAATTCCTGCTGGGGCCAGCTACGTAGAGATTAACCAATTTGGATTCGAGAAGGATGACAACTACCTCGGTGAGTGCAAAACCACCAATTTGCCACGACTCTCTGCTTACACCTTTATCACACAGTGCAAAAGCAATCGTGGTTAAAAACGACATTGCGATCGAGTTATCAGCAGCGACTCCCTCCCTCCTGCAGGTTGCACAGAGGTACCAATAAGAAGAAACTCGATCTGGATCAGGCTTAATCACTGTTAAAAGGCTGTGCGGCCGCTGTATTCGTGAAATATTCTCGGGTGATGTCGACTGGTGTCCAATTTTGCCGGCTTGCGACCGGAGTCTGGCGAAGCTACTGAACTAATGGGCTGCCCAGAAGCATGAAATCTAAATACCTCTCACATTGCGCTGAAGTTTATTTTATGTGGCCACGGTTGTGCTTGCTACGAAATAGGCCTAAACAGAAACGATCATGAGTGTTTACAAAAGGGCATGTCCTTGTCGCTCGTGTGAACATCTCATCCTGTGATTAGTATTTCGGTCACCGGTCGAAGATTTCTGTCAGCCGGTGGTGTGGATGCCATGTAAGTGTGCTATCTTGAACTACCATATTTATTGTCACAATACCTACACTTGTCAGTACGTGATGATGTTAAGTACCGTCGGTTGAAGATGGCTGAATGATCGGTATTGTCCTATCCGATATTGCCTGAATCACGTTTTGATCCGGTATTTGAGTTCTCAACAATTTTTTTTTCTCGTAACTTTTCCATTTTCGACTCGTATTTCTCACCCAAACACCTCATATGTAATGACAAGGCCCGAAGATAGCTGTGGTGATATCTATAGTGTTTCTATTCTCCTATATACTCTCAACCTCTCCACGCCTATGCAGCGCTGAAGAGTGCCGAAGATGAGTTCCTGCTGAACGGCAATTACACGGTGAGCATGTTTCGCAAGACGCTCCGCTATGGTGGCACCGTGATCGAGTACAGCGGCTCCAACGCATCCTGTCGAGCGCATCAACGCCACCAAGCCACTTGGGAAGGAACTACACCTCATGGTATGCTTCTCAACTGCTTTCTATCCCATGTAGACTAAGTCTGCCAAGATAGTGTAGTTTTAGGGTGCTCGGCTACTGATACGAAGGTGGTGGGTTTGATCTCGGCCGCAGTGTTCGTTCTTCAATGAGGGTGGAATGTTAGAGGCCCGTGTACAGCGCGATGTCAGTGTACATTTAAGAACACCAGATGGTTAAAATTTCGGGAGCCTTCCACTAGGTCGTCTCTCATAATCATATCATGGTTGTAGCACGTTAGGGCCCTTGAATTACTATTATTACGTATGGGCTTGTTATTTCGCAGTTAGCGTATGCACTTGCATGTTGTCAACCGTCTTTCAATTCCTTACTCTCAGGTTCTGACGGTCGGCAAGGTGGAGTCTCCCGACATCCGGTTCCAGTACACCATGTCGATTCGCGACGAGCGCCGCTACTACTGGGAGCTCAGCCCCCACTGGAGTGAGTGCAGCTCTCATTGCCAAGGTGAGATATCGATGACCTTCTAAATAAAGGACAGTGCGCAGAGCTTCGACTTGTTGATACATGGCGTAAACACTCTTAGAAAAGGATGCAGTAAGCAATACTATGCTACAGTGTACTAACTGTGCAGCGCTCGTGTTGTCTTCCTTACTCCGCCTCTAAGTGTGCTCTATTCCACTTACGGCATACTTCACTTGGTAAAATACCGTGCACTATTGTTGTCATCAATGGGGGTTGCAATGACGGCACTTCAGCGAAAATGGAAATTATGGGTAGTACACAAATTTGTCTAATCTTTGTATTTTTGTCTCTGTTTGACTCTGTGTATCTTGCATCTGCTTTGTCCAAAGACGAAGTTCAGCTTACGCTCAGCACTTGTACTGCACTGCCTTGACCTCGATCGTAAGGCTTGCCAGATGAAATCGGTTAACAAAATTCACAATGGTTCATTATTTTATCCGAAACAATAAACAGGTAGCTACAAGTGCGTTCGAGGCCGCAAACATGAATAATAAATAAATCCGTGTAGCTCTTATCATTCCCATGTTGGTTGAAGAATTGCAGCACCACAGTTATCTCTGCTTAATATTGGGAAACTCTATGCTAAAAAAACTTTACGCCACAAGAGGTGGTGACAAACACCAGCTGGAGCTGAATCGCAGACCTCCCTCTCTCTCATCCCGCCTTTCTTCAACTGGGAGACAGTTTATTCACCCACTCAGCACAGTTCATTGTAGTGCTACTACTGAACCACCGTCTTGTTCGGGCAGCCAAGCAAAGTCTGCTTCGAGTTTGTCATCGACGCTGTCTTCGTGAAGCTGTCTATATAATGTCCACTTGTTCAAACTCGTCATATAGGAAAAAAAACAATTTTGAGAAAGAGTCGCACGACTATCTTGAAACCAAGCATGAAAAAAATGAAACAGAAACATACTGCTAATTGTGACCAGGGCATAGTGCATGAAAACGTGGCGGCTTCAGACGGAGACCCTCTTCTCGAGTGAACGCAAGTATGTGGGAGGAGGTGGCAGCTCCGTTTTGTGTCTCCTCTCTCAATTGTATCTCCACCACAGCTCGATCGTATGTAACGCTGCGTGCGCTCACCCCGTTGCATATCCTAGTAATGCTGGGTGTTCACTTTACGGCACACACACAGTAGTGCACACAAATGGGAGAGGGGGGGTAAGAAAAGCAGTACACAACATATACACAACTCTACACACAAATGAAACATACACGAAACACACGGAAACACAAGTGAACGCCAGACGCTGCTTTACATCCCCCACATGATTCCCTTTAGTGGGAGACAGTGTAATTTATTTTTACCTCCACGAGATTTTATTGCCGATTTTTGCTGTCTTTCGTTAGCGTTGCGAAAAACGCCCTTTGACTCGCAGTCTTCTTGGTCGGTCTTTCTCTTCGGGACTGCAGGTCACCGCCATCGTCGCCCTGAGTGCAAGCGTCGGCCAGACTCGAGCATCGTGGACGACATACACTGCGAGCCAAGCACCAAGCCGCAGACCCTGGCCGAGGCCTGCAATCTGCACTGCACGCTATGGTGAGAAATATAAGGATTGATGGTGAGGAATATAAGGATCGATGGTGAATGGCCATGCCCCGGCGTCGCCTGTGTTGTATTAGATTAATTGTGCGCAATGTGACACGGCCCTTTCTGCGAGATGGTAACTTTGATGCTTGAACCTGTATAAAACCAAAACAAAGCGAAGCTTGGGAAAGTGTAGGAAATATATTTGTAATTTTGTAAGTAGAGCGAAGCCTCCTTAGTGCAGGAATCATATTGTTATGGTGAGTATTTATTTAGGGGCCGTGAGTTCGTAGGAAAGCGGGATCTCGGTGCACAGGGCGCACAGAATGCCAGACAACAGGGAATCTCAAGCATGAGCCCCGCAACACCAATGTCGTCGTCTTCTTTTATTAGGTACCATTTCAGATGCTGCACTGGAGAGGTATTTTCACACCTGTGACATTACCCCGGCTTTTAAAGCTACCGTCTCGGTGCTAGCTATGACTGGAAGGGTGTGTCACCATTGTAGGCCTTCAGGCGAGAGATGTGAACTATGTCGATTTTGAGTGTAGTGGTCGATGAGTTTGCAGATTTGGTTGTCGGAGAAATCTCATAGGTGACAGGCGTCACATGGCGCACTACTTGGTAGGGCCCAACGTATGACAATAGAAGCTCCTCGCTGAGGCCAATGCAACGAGATGGAAGCCACAGTAGAATGAGAGAGCCCGAAGATCAGCGTCCCTGTGTCGACTATTATACGGGGTTTTTTGTGTAGCCTGGGCCAGTGAGAGCTGAGTGCGGGCTACCGTGCGTGCGATGAGAGCTCGGGTGACGGCATCTTGAGCATATGAAGTCGTCGATGTTGGATCACATGGAAGCAGAGTATCAAATGTTAACAAAGCATCACACCCAAAGAGAAGATAAAAGGGCGAGTAGCCGGCAGTTTCGTGGCGCGATGAATTATAGGCAAAGATGATGAAAGGGAGGGCAATGTCCGAATCGGTGTGGTTGTCGGAAACATACAATGAAAGCATGTCTGTCAGTGTACGGTTGAGGCGTTTGGTCAGCCCATTGGTCTGGGGGTGATAAAACATGCTAAAGTTATGACGAATTGCACAAGATCGCAGTAGGTCGTCGACCACCTGAGAGAGGAAGCAGCAACCATGGTCTGTGAGTAGGTGAGAAGGAGCACCATGCTGAAGAATAATGTTGCATAGGAGGAAATCAACAACCTCGGCCGTGCAACTGATCGGTAGCGCTCGAGTGATTGTCTACTGAGTGGCATAATCCGTGGCTACTGCGATCCATTTATTCCATTTGTTGAAGTTGGAAAAGGACCAAGCGAGTCCAATCCCAGTCGATGAAAAGGCTGAACTGGGACTTCGATAGGCTGGAGGCGGCCGGCAGGGGGAGTCGTAGGTTTCTTTCGATGTTGGCAGAGGTTGCAAGCGGCAACGTAGTGAGCAACGGAATGATACAGGCCTTTCCAGAAAAACTGCCGTCTAACACAGTCATAGGTTCGGGTCACGCCTAAGAGTCCTGAAGTAGGGGCGTCGTGAATCCCTTAAGGGATGTCTTTGCGCAGATGTGAGATGACGAGTAAATGTTCTGCGCCCTCTGGGTGTAAATTACGGTGATACAAAATGTTGTCTTGCAGCAAGAACTCGTTAAGGGAAGGGTCGACTTGCTGGCTTGAAGGCGATCAATGACGAGGAGAAGTGATGGATCTCACCGTTGTTCATCCGCCACGTGCAGAAAGTCTGTGATGGCGAAAATACAGGCGTAAGCTTCCAATTCAGTGTAGTCGGGTGGTTTAACCGGGTAGCCAGATAAGCATTTGGCATCGCTGTGCAACTTCAGAGATTTGTACACCACGGAGAATGTGTTTTCATGCAGTTTTAATGCCCAGCGGTCGAGTCTTCCAGTAGGGTACTTCAGTGTTGACAGCGAGCACGGCGCGTGATGATCCGTGATGGGCGTCTATACAAGTACGAACAAAATTCAGCGACGGCCTAGACGAGAGCTAGATATTCCTGCTCGGTAATGGAATAATTCATTTCAGGCTGTGACAGAAGGTGACTGGCATGTGGCACTGTTTGCCATTCTATACCTGAGCGAATATAGCCCCAATGCCATGGCCGCTTGTGTCAGTGCGAAGCTCTGTTTGTGCAGCTGGGTCAAAATGGGCCAGCACTGGTGGTAAAGTAAGAGCGGAAATAATTAATGCGAAGGAATGCGCTTGGTTCGCACCCCAGGAACAAGCCTCGTCCTTTGTCCTTTTTGAGGAGATCCAAGAGGGGTCGATCAGTATTCACAAAATTGGTGACAAAGCGGCGGAAGTACGAGCAGAGCCCCAGAAAATGCGAACCTGTTTTGCAGAACGTGGAACGGAGAACTCCCGAACAGCGCGGACTTTGTCAGGGTCGGGTTGGACTCCAGTAGCATCGACAAGGTGGCCAAGTAGCTTAATTTGATGACATCCAAAAGTGCACTTAGACGAATTCAGGTGGAAGCTAGCATGGCCAAATACCTCAAGAATGCACGACAGTCGCAACAGGTGGCTTTCAAACGTGGGCGAGAACATGATGATATTGTCCAAATAGCAAAGACAGGTTGACCATTTAAAACCATGCAGGAGAGAGTCTATCATGCATTCGAAAGTTGCAAGAGCATTACACAACCCAAACGGCATGACCTTGAATTAGTAAAGGCCATTGGTTGTGATGAATGCTGTCTTCTCGCGGTCATCTACTGAAATTTGCCACTATTCGGATCGAAATCGAGTGACGAAAAATACTTGGCACCATGGAGGCAGTCGAGCACGTCGTCGATTCGAGGCAGGGAAAAGACATCCTTTTTACTGACTCGATTTAGATGGCGATAGTCAATGCAAAAGCGCCAGCTGTTGTTTTTTTTTTCTTGAATAGCACCACAGGTTATGCCCAAGGGTTGGATGGAAGCTCTATGACGTCTTTTTTGTGCATTTTCTCTACCTCTTTCTGAATAACTTGGCGTTCAACGTGCGACACACCGTAGGGGCGTTAGTGAAGGGGACTGGCATCACCGGTGTCGATACTGTGTGCTACGACACTTGTGCTATTCTAGGTCCATGTGCTCAGATTTGGGTGCATGTTAAAGAACCCCAGGTGATCGGAATTTCTGGAGCCCTCTATGGTGTCTCTCATAATCATATGGTGGTTTTGGTACGTTAAACCCCACATATCAATCAAATGTATTACGACACTTGTGCGGCCCAGTGGAGGTTTGTCAATGTCAAAAATATTGATGTAGGAAAGCAAAACACTGTAGGGCTTAGGTTAAGAAAGGAAGAGGTTCCTAGATATCATTTTGTCCAGGAATGTTTTATTGTGCGCTGCTATGACATCTGTGGTCACAGTGTTTGCATCAAAGGTGAAGGAAGAAATTCTGCATTCATCGAAAGTTGAAAGCTTTGCTAGCGAGATGCCTTGGGGAAGAACTTGGACTGATGGGAAAAAGTTTAGCACATGAAGCAACGTCTTGTTGTTGGCGACAACTACAACAGTATGTGAAAGGGTTATGTTGCGGGAAAGAGTGAGGCCAATCGAGGGGAGCTACCAAGTAGTCGCCATCAGGGACTGATGAAAAGGCGACATAGGGACGTACATAGCAGCCCGAGGTGGAAGTTGTAGAAACTCCATTGACCATAGCCGGGTGCAACTAGCAGGAGGGGTATCACCATACAAAGGCAACTCGGAGCCGTAAAACACTGGACAAACAATCGATGAGGGCAGAGTGACTGGTCAACAAATCAATGCCAAGAATAACATTGTGTGGGCAAGCGGCAAGAACAGCAAAGAGTACTGAAGTTTGGTGGCCAGCAACAGTACCACGGGCAGTGCACATACCAAGAACTGGTGTTCGGCTTCTGTTAGCTATGCGCACTGTTGGGAACACAGCAGGTGTCAGGACCTTCTTGAGGTGGCATCGAGGCTTAGAACTCATCACAGATAAATGAGCGCAAGTTTCGATCAGTGCTGTAACGACCAGGTTATCGATGAGGACAGCAAGTAAATTTTGTTTCGGATTAGGAGTTGGTAGAAAGATTTCGGGTGCCCGTCGTCAGTGCAGCGCCAGCTCCAGGAGCTGCACTTGTTAGTTTTCGGGAGGTGACTATAATGAGCCGGTGAGCGATAGAGCCGAGGAGAGCGTGATTGGCAACCCTGAGGTGACGGTGACCAGCTGTAGAAGTTCCCCCTGAGTGAAGACGTTTGCGGTAGGTGGGTTGAGATCGAGTAAATGAGCGGCGTGGTGAAATGTTCTGAAGGTGGTCATCGGGAGAGTATGGTCTATAATACTGTCCCCGATCCTGACTGCGGTCACCTTGAATATCTTAGTTGGGAAGACCATTTGTTACGGCACTGATGGGAAATGTGGCCAATGCGAGAACAAGAAAAACAAATCGGTCGATCATCATTGGTGCGCCACTCAGTTGGATTGCGGTATGGGGGAGGAAGGGGGATCGTAGAACCAAAGAGGAATGCGGCAACCAGTGGGGCAGCGTTGCGGTCATTGTTGTGAGCGGGAGTCCATATGTGCTGGGGCCCAAGGCGAGCAGATGGGGAAGGTAGCACGCACATGTTGGCAAACTCAGCCGGACGACGGCTTGAATCAGTGAAACGGTTGCCAAGTGGTCTTGCGCAGGGGCCGTACAGGTAGCAGGGGCCATGGCTTTTAGCTCCTGGGGAACAGTCCGTGTGATGGTAGAATTCGCGTTTGGGCATGGTGGCGCAGGATCTTAGCACGAGGAAGTCACAGTAATGTTTGAAAGGCGGCTGAAGCGCTGAGTAATCCGCCTGCTTTTAGCTTGCTCAAAGCGCCGACATTACGGCGATGATGGAGTCAACCGTGGCACAATTCATACACATAAGGATGTTGATGGCGTCGTCAGCTGTGCCCTTCAGCACATTGTTGACCTTGTCTGCCTCTAAAGGTGTCTTTGTCAGACTTGCAACACAGGGCGTGCACGTCTTGAATGTAGGCGATGTAAGATTCAGTGGATGATTGAACACGCGAAGCGAGTTCCTGTCTGGCTGCCATTTCTCGAGTGAATGACCGGCCGAACAAATCAGGAAACTTCTATTTTCACACAGTCCCAACTGGGAAGGTCTTCTTCGTGGGTCTCATACCACGCGCTTGCCGTACCCCATATGTAGTAAATGATAATAGCAAGCATAAGCATCTCATCCCACCTGTAGTGCTTGCTCACGCCCTCATGGTGAGCCATTTGTCGAGGTCAGTTTTGTCGGTTCCACAAAATGTGACGGGGTCTAGAAGATGGGAAGGAATCACAGGTGACGAAGAAGGAATGGACCTGGACTTACGGCACACTGCCTTCAGGCATCGCGGCTGGACGAAGGTGACGTCCGCTACGGAGATCTAGAGTCGGGATGTTACCCAACACTCCCACCAAAAAGATCTTACGGGGAGTATTTATTTAGGAGTCGTGAGTTCGTAAGAAAGAGGTGTCACAGTGCACAGGGCACAAAGAATGCAAGACAACAGGGCAACTCAGGCTGAGCCCCACAACACTAATGTCTTCTTTCATTAGGGGCCATTGCAAATGCCCCACTGGAGAGGTATTTCCACACCCGTGACAATATTGTAAAGATCTGCAATAATTTTTCTACCATTTAATTCGTTTTTACTAAATTAGGACAACATCCGCGGCTGTTATCTTGTGATTATGGTGCTAGACTGCTGACCCGAAAATTGCGGAGGCGAATTCGTGCCACGGCAACCGCATTTATACAGATGCGAAATGCTAGAGATTCTGAGGCTTAGATTTAGGTGCACCTTGGAGAACCCCCAGGTTGTCGGGAAATTTCTGGTCTCCTTCACTGTGCTGTCTCTCATGAACACATTGTGGTTTGGCTAAGTGAAAACCTAAACAATCATTATGTACAATCAAGCATATATATGCATGACTGTACAGTCACATTCTATACAAGTTGCAACACGCTGTCTGGGCTTGAAATGGCGCCAACACTGCAAATCTGTACTTGAGTAGGAATAAGAAAATGGGCCAATTGAACGATCTTAGCGGTACTTTCTCAACAAATTTCATGTCTTTCTGTGTCATTGTTCAGGCTTGAGTCATTTTAACCACAACAAGCAGGTTGCAATTCATTTTGAGTGCAACTATAGATCTGGAGTAGGATGTCTCATATAGCACATATCTGAAAGGGGGTATCGTGTTAGAAATTTTCGCATGCTGATAACTAATGAAAAAAAAACCGACAATAAAAGAACATAAAGTAATTAGTTTGTTGTCCTAATTGTCTACCGTCCTTTTTCTCCCCTCTCCCCGATCGCAGGTGGCGCAATGGTGAGCCGTCCGAGTGTTCCGCCCGGTGCGGCAACGGCGTTCGAACCCGCAGTGTGCAATGCGTACAGCGCTCCGACGACGGCCAGGAGTCCGTGGTGCCTGACAGCCGATGTGAGGCGCGGGAGCCCAAGCCGCTCGAGGTGGAGAAGTGCGGCGAGCCGTGCCGCAACTTCCGCTGGGACTACGGCGACTGGCAACCTGTACGTATACACTCCTCACCTATGTATAGGTTCAGCTTATGTTTTATTAAAAAAAAAAAAACTGAGCACGAATTTCATCGCTACGCTAAAGAAATGTGTTCCTCTGGGGAACATGTTGGTGGATTCATCGTCATAGCGCCAATGGATTATGAAATTAAGTGTGAAGGAAGAAATTAATTAACCTTGTAATGCCGAGTAAGTGCCCCCGTCCTATTTTTTTGGGAGATCTGAAATAAGCATCAGTGACCGCTCAAGCGCCACCTCTCCTGTATTTTTTCCCGTGCGGCCACTGTTTTTTCGAGATGAGCATTGCTTGTGTAAAAGGAATCGCAAAAATGAGCACACTGAATGCGTATCTAGCATTGTTTATGGAATGCTTTATAAATGAAGCATTTCATTAGGAACACGGATGGGCATTTTTTAAATCTTTAGCAGCTCTCCCGGCGCTATATTGAATTTCAGTTCCGGGACCGAGCAAGTGCCCTGCTTCCAAATCTGGTCGAACTATCCTTCGCTGGGGAGAGGGTGGGATCGCTCAGCATTTTATGGTAGTTTCATTTATTTGTTTTTGCATTTCCTGCTTTTGTTTTTTTTAGCATTTATTTGCAGTGAACTGCAGAATGAACAAAAATTATGGAATTAGGAAATAAAACTAGAATCACATGTGACAATGCAATGGCGTTATGTCTTGTTCTCCCACTTGTTTACAAAATGAAATTTAATCGAAGAAGTGATTTGGGAAGAAAAATGAATAATCTAGCACAAGGAATGTTGCCAATTACACAACCGTACATAATAACATAACTAAAAAAATGTGTTCCAAAGTATGTGTCCTGAGTGTAGATAAATGATGGTCCACGAGGTGCTGTGCTTATGGAGTGCAGCACGTCGTGGAGCTTCCCAGACAGTTGAGAATTCACCCAGAATTCTTTGAATAGCAAACAGAATGTGTTTAATACACTAATGTTCAGTATCCGCACTGTTTTCACTTTATCTTTGATCCTTGAACTCGTTCCTCATTTATAGTCAAATAAGCCTGCTTATTGGGCTGCCTTCACAGCATTCGGTTTCAGCCTCTCCTTTATATTACCTCTTTCACTACCTGAGTACGCTGAGTAGCGGACAAGGCTGAGTAGTGGACAAGACTGTGTAGCGGACAAAGCTTAGTAGCGGAAAAGGCGGAGTAGCTGACAAGGCTGAGTCAACAAGGCTGAGTGGAAAATGCTGATTGGAATATTGTGGTTGTCGAACATCACTGCACAGCATCTCGCACAAAATTTTTTAACACATAAATAAGTGTTTAATAGGTGCTTGGTTTTCCCATGAGTAAGACCTTGTAGTTTCAGAGGCTATATCGACGTGTAGGTGGGAACAAATGTAATCTTTCCGTGTGAATATTTTCGGTTTAAAGATGTCATTCTGTATAGATGAATGATATCTGCCAAAAGGCTACGAAATAAAGTATGATAAATTAATTTTCTCAGCTCTCACTGCTGAATTCTCGTGTCGATGTTTTCATGCTCACCATGTGGTCAAAGTCAGTTAATGTTTATCGGCGTGCTTTTCCTCATCGCACGCCTAGTTAAAACCTGGCTTTCCGGTGCAATAAAAATGTCTCACAGCTGTTAAGAAGAGAGCGATACCAAAGGAACAACTTGATGCTTTTCGGTGGTCATATTTTTTTCATGTGTAGCCTTAATGCAAGCTTTCTCAAGTGCTGCTTCATCCTGTTTCCTCTTGTCACCCGATGATCAAAAGGGTTTGGTTGGTACTGCATATTGTAATACAATGTAAAACGCAAGAAAAAAAATGTAGATTATGGAAAGCTATACACCCCAGTGGCGTAACGAGGGGGGCACACCGTTCTCCCCCCTTCCAAAATGTTTTTGGCCATGGCATGCAGAATGAAAAGTTACCATTTTATCGATGAAGGGTGGGATGGGACAGATGTCAGTACACTCTTCCCCTCCCCCTCCACATCGCCCAAAGGAAGTTGCTTCACATTCAATAAAATTGAGTCATTCAATAATTTGAGAAGATGCCCCCCCCCCACCAAAAAAAAAAAACTCGGCCTACGCTCTTGATGTGACCATTACCAATGCATAGACTGTTTGTACATGCTTCCTTGTAATTTCTCTTTTTTGCGCTCTAGGTTTGATTCCAATACATTCTTTCCTATTATTCACTGTCATAAAGTAAAAGAGCTCAGATATGGCGTATTGTATTTTTTTCTTTTTTGCACTTTCAGTGCAGCAAGACGTGCGGTGGTGGCGAGCAGGCTCGCTCGGCTGTGTGCGTCAACGAGAACCAGGAGCGACACCCGGACTCTCTGTGCGACCTGTCGGCGCGCCTCGTCAAGCGACCCTGCAATCAGGGCGACTGCCCACGCTGGGAGCTGGGCCACTGGACAGAGGTGAGTGCTTACGAGACACCAGGTGCACAGATGGCCTCGCTTATGAATCTGCAATAAGGTGTATAACACAAGCACAGTTGCAATTGTGTAAAAAAAAAAGTCACAGTTTGACAGTCGCAAAAGGGCGAAGCAATGAATCCGATAGCGACATGTTGGAATGTTTTATGAAGCAAGGCTAGCATTATTAGCAGGGATAATAATTGTAATAAACATAGGCTTGCTAAGTAACAAAGTTTCCTGTGGCGCGGCCACAGTAGATGGCCACAACAAGGCTAGTGCGTAGTGACGGTGTTGATATACGAAGTGAGGCTAGCAGTCAACTAATTTAGATCCGATTCCACGTAATGCTACAAAACTCTGGTGTAAGAGAACATGGCCACTCCAGGTACTCTCTGTAGAACCTCCCGCCTGCTGTGGGGGCACATGATTGTTGTTGTGATAAGCGTGGAAACCATAAGCGCCTTCTCCGCCTTGTATGCTTATGAGATAAGCACGTGAACAGAGGGTCCCGGCCGGAAAAGTGATGCTCGCTCTGCAGAAAGAGAGGCTGGCGCATCCTTTCTAGTATATAGTATAGATATATACGGTATACACATATACAAGAATGACGGTGGTGTTGGTGGTGACGGCAAAAACCAGCCGAGATTCCCCATATAATTGCAATCGCAAGAATAAACAATTGCAGAATCTGACAATATCTATATTATTAGTGGCCGTTTATACTTCTTTTCGTATTTCTCTACTCTTTGAGTTAGGTGCCCGTCATTATTAGAACCAGTTTTATCGGGACCTTTTTTATCTCTCCTTTCTTTCTTTTTTGTTTTATTCTTTCATTTGCTGTTTTCTCTCACTGTTTCTTTTATCCCCATCCCCCTCGAGTTTTTTTCGATTAAGGTGTTCTCACTGATACAGTTATTGTGCACTCATCCCCCATTTGCCTACCTTTGCCGCCAACATTCTCATTTTTCCCCCTTTTCTTTTTTTTTTAATGAACAAAGAATCACTCGCATTATCAGCTTGTTGGATGTGCGATGCTTTGGGGAATCAAGAATTCCGCCCATTAGTCTGCGTACTGGTTCTCGTACCGCAACTCCCCCTCTGTAGCGAGACAGCGACTGCTTTCGTCTTCCTCTGTAGTGAGGCAACACCACCCAACACTCAAACTTCTTTCACCTCGCTCGAGATGGATCTGTTTTTACTTTTGTATGTCAACTCGTGCGTTCATCACATCTTCTAAACAAAAGCCCTCCTCCCTCCCGATGTGTCCCGAGTGCACGTATTGAAAAATGAAATAAAAAAAGAGAAACACACTTAGTAGCATAAATCAGTAACTATTGACGCAGTTGTACAAAATAATTTTCTTTGAACCTATGTGGTATAGCCCGAACCACAATGTTGAAGGACCTCTTATTAATGTCTATTTACTCACCTATTCAGACAGTTTTGAACTTAAAGGGCCACTCACCAGGTTTGACAATTTCGAGCTGACAAGCGTTATGCGTACATGAGGCGTTCATGATCACGTCTGCCAAAATCTGCAATGCGACCCCCCGCAGAAATGGGTCAAATTTCAAGATGAAAGCTGCTCCCCCTCCCCTCTGTCGGCGCACGCATAGAGAATGAGGGCATGACTTGGGCGTAGGATGGCCCTACGTATACGGCAATGCGGTGACATTGGTCCTCTTCGTAGACGACTCTGCTCTGACGTTGTCAACAGTATACCACATGACATGGCAAAAATTATTCAACACAACATGCGTAGTTTATGTATTTGTTGCTTTAGGAGATGAATAAAACTTGAAATAAATAATGAGACGCAATAAAAAATTGCCCGCGTTTTTCTTACATTTTTTTCCCATGAAATGCTACGAGATGCGGGGCTAATGTGCCAGCGTTTCGTATGTGTTCGGGTCCCCGTGGTCAGCACATTCAGCAGACGACCGCCGTGAAACGCTCCTATGCGTTCGCGCACTTATTGTGCTCATCTACTCTACCGCGTCTAAACCAGCGTTTCGAAACAATCCCGCAGAAACAGGCAGAAGACCACAAAATAACGCTGGTCAACAAAGCAACGCCGCTCGCGTGCACGGGGGCTGGGCTTGTTCGGCACGTCATGCGCACGTCACTTCTTGATTGAGTGCCGGAGAGGATGGGGAAGAGATTTGGCTTGCAAAGGCTACGCGGAGGAGCGACAAGGGTTTCGAGCTCGCCTCCTCTCACCCTCGTTTCGCGCCGCTTCAAAAAACCTGCTTTCTCCGCTCGTAATAAACCGATTCGAGAAATTTTTGTGGCAAAATGTTCCTCTTCGGACACCCAACAACTTCCACTGTCTAATTAAATTCGGTATGGGGCCTGGTGAGTGGCCCTTTAAGAAATTATGAATGATCACTCGTCAGAAATAATGAATGATCAGTCCTACAGTCCATGTAAACTATATTGCTCTGTGCTTTGTGTTTATTGACAATTGCCATGTTTTACAGACATTCTTGTGCATGACTCTGTAGGGAGTAGCATGAAATGAATGTACTGAGCTATCAAGGCTTGTCATACCTGTGATGTGTGTTTGCATATTGAGCTGCATGGTTGTCGCCTGTGGCATGCGAATCGAATGTTATCTTAGTTATAGCATAGTGTATAATACATGGTAGACAGTTATTCGGGTATTCGTTTTTTAGTTTTTTCTTTTAATTGTCAACCTTAAGTGCTCTGCAGAGAAGTCCTAATGAAACATAGAGGTGAGTCGCAAGGAGAAGTTTCTTCACATAAAAATGCCTTTTTGCATTTTGCCATATAGTATGATTGTGGTAACACACAGTAATGATCGTGCGTATCACTTTGCAAAACAAACTATGTCATTGTTCAGCATTGTAAATTTTAGCTTTCGTTTTACCTAAGTTGCACTGCTGACTCCAGTCATGCACAGGTCTAAGGGGCAGGCGGTTTCTGCAGGAAGGGGGGGGGGTGTAAATAATATGTAACCGTGCTTTCGAAAAATTCTTTCGGTCAAAATTTCCAGGGCCTTCTACTACAGCATCCCTCTAAAAATCATATCTTGGTTTTGCTTGGCACGCCAAACCTCGACGATTGTTACTGTAGTGGTAACTTTTTATTCCTTGTGTAATATAGCCTAAGGTATTTTGGCGGACCGCGATTTCGTGGCAGCACGTTCTGATGACGTCGCATGTGCGCGCGTATCGTTCAACGTCGTGGGCGCAGTGTTCTGTGACGTGCGGCTCTGGCCACCGGAAGCGCCCTCTGTGGTGTCACCACGAAGACCGCGTGGTGGCGTCCAGCTTCTGCCACCCGACACCGCGACCGCAGGACACGGAGCCGTGTGAGATGCCGCCATGCGAGGCACCCGCCAGATGGCACCTCGGCGAGCAGGGACCCGTAAGTTACCGGCGCAGTATTGGGAACACTCGTGCACTCAAAAGGCAATAGAGCAGCACTTAGTTTCTGGTCTACAGTATGGTGAAAGGCTCATTTCCACCTGGGACTAGCACCCGACGCGCGACCAAGTGATGGCAAAAGCGCCTGCTTTTGCTCTGTACCTTGCTGCTCGATTTTTCAGCTGCGTGACTACAATCGCAAACCTCTGGACAAATCACATGCGCTAGAACAGGACGTCAGATAATTTTGCAGGCCAATAGCAATGGGAGCAGACATGGATTTTGTGTGGTAATAGGTATAGGTCGCACGCGGGTGGGAACATTATGTCGCATTTGGTCGGAAAAGCTTGTGAGAGGGCTAGTTCGAACATACTGTAGGCAAAGGCAGCGCTGCATGCAGTTTGTCTGTGTAGTTCAGTCTTTTTTTTTTGTCCTTAACTTTGCAGCATCGTGTTTACCTACAGCAATTGTTCAGTCGACGGGGGGGGGGGGGGGGGGGGTCTAGTCGCTGGTGTGAACGACGAGACTTGGGTGCCTGAAGGCCAACTGCAACAAATATCTGTGGCTCTCAAAACAAAAAAGCTGACACAGAGTTACAATTTAGGGGAAAAAAAAATGCCCGCTTTGCCCACAGAATCACGGCATGCCTGGCCTTCACTTGCGAAAGACAGTCGTGCTAACTCGTTTCCGCTAAAATCGTTTCTACTTCTTTTCAACTCATGTAAGTACTACACGTATAAACAGTTAAAGATTTGTCGTTACTGCATAAAACATAACGTTCAGCTGAGCAGTTACTCCGAAATTCCCGATAAAATTTTTCCTAGACATTGACGTTTCCCACCTGGAACCAGTGACACAAATATGTCTCTGTAAAGCAGAGTCAACTACACTTCAAGAAGTCTCTGTGATTTACGACAGGAATATTAATAGCGTGTTCGACGTTCATTGCGTTTTCATAACTGAGGGACCGCTCTCTGCTCTACCATTTTAGGGTACCAAGTACCCTAAATCTTTAAACACTTATTGTGATTCCACATCTTCTTCCACATTACAGCAGAGACTGCTTATGGCATCCCACAGTAGAGTGTGTCTAGTACTCTACAGCGTTCACAGTTTTTTCTTAACAGATTTGAATGACTAACTGGGACAGCTTATGGCTCTCGTATAGTACTGTACATATACTGCACTAAAGCATTCACAATTTCTTGTGAGCACTGTAACCAGAATGGTTCAGTGCTCTGGCATAGTAGAGTATGTGTAGTACTAAATCGCCCAACATTATTTTGAACACATGTACTTACGCAAGTTCTCTGTTGGAGCGTCAGCAATGATTAATGATGGGGCAGACATTTGTTTTTTAGGTTGTAAGTCAATATAGATTTACATAATATAACATATAGATCAGATTTACATTTATTGATCAGTTCAAAAACCAGCTGTTGGGTGAAATGAAGGAAACGCGAGGTGTGATATGCTTCCCCGAGTTGTTTCTGGACTGCAGAGATTATAAGAAGATGGACGTCTCGAAGTTAAACTTTTCTTCACATCTGGGCTATTTCGCACGGAAAACACATTTGCAGAAGTAGAATAGGCGACTCGGAGATCACTCCACGAGAAACGTGTAAACTTGAAACTCATTAGTCGGAAAAGTTACTACCTATACGTAAGACCTTCAAAGAGCAATGAAGAAATAGTTATATGAGTACATTTCTAGAGCTCGAAATTAGGTAAGTGATAGGTTGCTTTGTTCAGGTCATATTGACCTGTCAAATGACGTGATGATCTTTGCATGGCACTACGATGTTTCTTTCCCAAACTTCTATGTGTTCATAACCTAAGTGAGCATGCGTAAGGTGTATGCTTGCCGTAGCAATTATTTGCGTGAAGTAGGCTAGTAGAACATTACATGCGACTGCATGCAGCATGTTTTGTGTGTATTTTTGTATTTTGTTTCATACCGAGTTGCACCCTTTTTCACCAATGTGGCATGGTGAGGACACTGCAGAGAACGGCCTGTGTATTGCAAAAACTTGCCTGAAAGACACGGCCCAGCTAGCACACCATTCGGGCTACACTGTGTGATAAATCAAGCCACCTGCCTCAGTCTTGCATAGTTTTTTTTACCGATCTGGTCGCTAACCTCGTTAAAAGACACCTCGCTAGGTTTAAGCATCGCAAGCAAATCAGCGCATAGATCGTGGCGATGGTGTTTGTAAAGTATGAAACAGAAACGGTATGGCAACTGTTCAACCAAGTTCAACTCCTGCTCTCTTGCGCCGTGTGTAATCTAGACCCAGGATAAGAAGACCTCGAGTGGCTAAACATGTTTCAATGAAAACCAGGCATGAAGGCGAGTGTGGAACAAACACCACAATGGTGAGTGTTCTTCACTCGCCGTCATGGCTGCGACCGGCACTGACTAGCACTCCCAGGTTCGTGTGCACAAATAGCCGACAATGTGGACGGAGGAATGAGTGCCGCTATAGGCTAATTGCAAATAATATTGGACGCGTAATCTGACGGTTGCAGGTGCAGTGCCTACCGGCGGCAAGTTGTCTTTTCGTCTACTTGAATTTCTTCACTGCTTTATTACAGTTACGGCAATACACTTAAGAAAGTGCGATTTATGTTATCTGGATCTTCCTTGGTTTCATTATTTACTGGTTCTCGTTAAGGTTGTGTCAAGCAAAAGAAACTCACCCCTGGAAATTCCTGTCCTTCATTGAATATGTTTTGTATGGTAATACGCATTGCTAAATATGTAGACACATTCGCAAGTACTTCGCAGTAATATTCGCAATAATATTGTGTACGCATATTCACATAACATTGTTGTATCTAAAGTTAAGCATATAGCGATGTCCAGTGTAGCAGATGTCCCGATTGGCTTCGTCGCTGAGCGTATAAGAGAGATGGTGCAAAAGAGCTGCAGGTCGATAAAATACCTTGCTTGTAAAAGCCTGTGGCATCGCCTGCTCAAAAAAAAAAAAAAAAAAAGAGAAAATGGTTAATCCCCCTATACAGGAATTGTTGTAGCACGAAAGTGAAACGCGTCTGCACAGACGTGGTTGAGTGTTCATTGTGCATTGTTTCAGCAACAGCAACAAAGTGCAAAGTCAGGGTAGGCACGGTAAGCAGCTTGAAACGTGCAGCGCACACCTCTAGCAGAATGGGCGCACAAAATTAGCATACACAAGAGGAGCATGCATTAATAACTGTCACAGCTCGGTACTTGAAGTGCGTTGTGCAAACAGAAAGAAAGATGCTCGAAGGGAGCGCACAAGTATACACAATAGAAGTGCAATCAACTGTCACAATTTTTACTTCGTCGTGTGTCAGCAGCGCGCTTCATTCGCAAGCACGGCTGCGGCAGTGAAAGAAGTGACCTTCATTCTCTCCCGAATTATGGTTCTGACAACTGGATAAGCCCACGTGCAGGAGAGACCATGCTCCGTGAAGGCAAGAACCTTTAAAGCGCACCCAAGGCGAGCTCGTCTTGCCAACTTGCTAGTGATAACGAAAACGCGCTACAGTTTCGAAGATCTGAAGACTGCCAATCAGTTTATAGTGTATGTAAATGGCTTGCCATTAGCATATCCTGCAACGTACGCTCCATGGCACAGTGGTTAGCGCCGTGCACTGCAAGTCGAGAGGTTGCTGGTTTGATTTCATGTGACAGACTCTTGCCGTCTCGTTTTTTTCTTTGCAATCTGATACTATACATTTTACAATGTGATATCCGTGATGGCAATATGTTGGTGGAGTCATGAAGGACCGCGGCGTAAAACTCTTTTATGTTAAAGTTGTGTTATATCGTTGCCTTTGATGATTACACGAGTCTCTCCAGAGAGATGAATCCACAGCGTGCTTCCTATGGCGAGAGTGGCACATCATAAGAGTAAAGGGTCTGGGTGGGCACCTCAAAGACTGCTATACAAGTGGGCGCTTGCGCATAATGCATGATGCAGAACACAGAAAATCGCCATGGCTAAAACAAGCATCCTTCCATGCATGTTCATTTTGCCATGCATTCAAGCACTTACTAACATAATGAGCTAAAGCTTACTCATATTACAGAAGAGAGATTCCATTTTGGTGATTTGGTAGTATACTATAGTAACAGAGAGAAAGAAAGAACACATGTGGACATACATGTTTCGGATGTACAGTACTCACGGATTCAAATGCAATGTAAAGTTTTCCAGTATACCGACTGGTATGCACGATTGCTTTAGATAACCGCATCATGTCGTGACGAATCTGGTCTCCAAACACAATGTTCAATCTACGTGTTCGCGTTCAAATTATGCTGATATGACCCATACTGAAGACGGTAGGAAAGAAACTGTGCCCGTAACTTGCTCCTAAATTGTCCCCTTTGAGTCCGTGAGCACTGTACATACATACGTTCCTACATGCATACATACATACACATCTGTTACTTTTTGCCAACCAAATCAACAAAATGGAAGCATACAAATTCGTCTAATTGTCTATGCTTTCATAGCAGAAAGATTATTTCCTGAGTTACCTTTCTTCGCTTCCCATTTTGCACCTTTCTTGCCTGCACTGTGACATCATAAAGTGCTCCGTGACGTGCGGCGGGGGCGTGACCTACCGCAACGTGACGTGCCGCTCGGCGAACGGAGCGATTGTCGACGAGGTCCACTGTCATGGATCTCCGAGGCCGCACGAGGCCTCCGAGTGCAACAGGATCTCTTGCCCGCTGCCCTGGAACTCCTCGCCCCCCGCGGCAGACAGGCCCGGTAGTGTGACGTCCGCTGCGTCCGAACACCCGTCCACGGGCCCGCGGTCCAACTTCGCCGCCTGGAAGTCGGCGCCCTGGTCTCAGGTATGGTGATGTCACAAGAGGGTGTCTATTACTGGGCCGTTTTAATTGCTTCACCACTCGGCGCTTTTGTCTGTGTCCTTCGCTTCTGTCCCCTTTCAGGAGCGCCGCTTGTCATTCACCCACTGCCTCATGTCGCATGGTTGCACAGTGGTCAACGCAAGCCTAAAGCATTTAAGGCTAACAATGGTCGAAACCAGTGAAAAATAAACTAACAAAGCCAATAAATTAAAATAATGAAGTAAACTGCAGTAATCTACCTAACATCGTGAAAAACGCTTCTTAAAGATCTACCTGATGTGCACACCACGCCATAGAGGGCACCACCACCTCGGCAAGAGAGCGTTTGCCGACGAAACTCCTGGGTTACCTGTACTACTCAGTTGGTGAAGTGGAGTTGCATTAAGCGTCGCATTACACCAGGGCCTATACAAGAAAGGTGTTATTACAGGATTTTTGATTTCCAATTGTCGTGCCAACTCGCCCTAGCATTCACATTAGCAGTGTTTGTCATAGTTTGATTTTTGCCATGAGTAGCTGTATGTGTGGAATGAAGAGATATAATACGCGGCCTTTTTGTTTGAGGTTGAGTAAGAGAAACATTGACAAAAAAGAAAAAACGAGAAACGTATCCACAGGAACTAAGAAATAAAAAAAGCAGTGCCTCAAACTCTGTGCTTGTTGGTTTACCCTTTTTAAAATTGTAGCTCTTACTGTTTGTAAAATTTTTCAGGTTGTTAAAGTGCATTTGGTGAAGAAACAAAGTTATTGATGTGAACACACAGTGCGTGCTCCACACATAATTAGCGGCTGTTGTTTCGCCTCTATAGGCATCACTGCTTCTTGAATGCATCCCTCTCAGCTGCGAACCACGTAAACCGCGCAGTGCTCAGCGACTTGCGGTAGCGGAGTGCGCAAGCGTCAGGTGAGCTGCATCAACGAGGTGACGGGCGCCGTGCTGCCGGACGAGGAGTGCGCCTACGAGATCCGTCCCAGCGGTGCAGAGGCCTGCGACGCCGGCACCTGCGGCAAGTGGCAGCACAGTGACTGGTCGGCGGTGAGTGCGCTGTTAAGGTGAAAGCCTTAATTAGATGCCTCATCAGTCTCGAAGACTGACTATCGACAAATGCATATACTACGCAGGGTTCTAGGCAAATGCACACGGGCATCGTATCACTTTTCAGTCTGCTTAGCCGCCTTGTCGTTCACCTTTGGGAAGGTGATTCAGCGGATACCATATAGTCAGGAGCAAGTTTATTGCTCTTAAATCTAGGAAGAAAGAGGCTGTATGCTTCCCGCATCTCTGTTCTCGTCGAAATTTTTTGCAGGAAAATCGCATTTATGGTCTTATTCGCTCAGCTAACAGTTCATACTATTGCTTGTCTTGTTTGTACAAAAGAGAAAGCTGTAAAAATTTACGCGAAGATACATTCATATCGAACGGCCTGGAAAATAACGGGTTGTCCGCCATGGTCACATGGTGATTACGATGCTCGGCTGCTGATCCGAAAGTCGTGGTTGCGATCTCATCCTGCAGTAGTCTCACTTATAAATGTGTGGCCTGCTTCATAATTTGAAAGCTTGGGCACGTAAAAGCTCGAGTAATAATAATGATTATTATTATTTAATGTAACAACAATAATAATAATATTATCTTTAATATTATTGTTAATAGTAGTAGTAGTAGTAGGAAATAAAACAAAGCAGCTTGGTCTCTTGCAGCCCTGTTTGACTACCAATTATAAGTAAGGGCGCTATCATTAAGATATCATATGAATCCTATATATGTTTTACCAGTCTTCACTCAAAACCAACATGTGCAACGAGCCGTCTAGGTGAGCGTTTTAATTTGCTTCTTCTAATAAACAAGTTTAACTATAGGAGATATGAGACACGTAGTCGCGGATCGCTGCAGTTCAGACCCATTCAAATACGTGTCTCGCCACCTTCGCGCAGTGCTCGTCCAAGTGCGGCCCAGGCGTGTCCAGCCGGCGTGTGCAGTGCTTCGTGCGGGACAACCTGCGTGAGGTGCTGCCCGACAGCCAGTGCGACGATGCAATACGGCCCAAGCAGGAGCAGCCCTGCGTCGGACCCTGCCTGGGCAGCGGCGGCGCAGTGGACAACGGCCACCACCCTTCAGGGAACCACGTCGAGGGTCCCTACCAATGGCGGATCGGACAGTGGGGCACGGTGCGTACACGTAGTTGGGCAGCACCTGCATCGCTTCTCGAAAACTATGTCCGCGACGGGCCTAGAAAGAAGGTGATGTTCCTGCGCGACTGCGTGTCGCTTGCCAGCAAAAGCTTCTTCAAAAGCATGCTTCTCCGCTATATAAGTGCATATGTGGAGAAGCATGCTTTACGCTGATCGTGGTGCTGCAGTAGCAGGTGTTAGCCTGCTACTGGCAAATGCACAGGGTAGGAAACTGTTTCGCATGAGCATCTCACGAGTCGTAGGGGTGTCTCAGCGGCTGTTAAACGGCCCGGAGTCATGCAGGAAAGCAATGAGTAGGCGTTGAACTTTCCTCCTGATTGCCACGGTCCTTACGAAAAAAAAAAAAATACAATGTGCTTGAACTCTGGGTATCTAAGACCACCATTTTGCAAGCTCCAAGCCATTTCTCCACTTTCCCTATTACACTGCCACTCCTTTCAAATAACCAAATATTATATATTTTTGAATAGGTGCCCTAGAAATTTTGGGCTTCAACGCCCTTTGTGTATGCACGCTTTGGGTCGGACCAACCAACAGTACTTCCTTCTGCAATTTACATTCGAATTGTCTGGCACTCCATAGAACTGTTTACATGAAATGTATGGTACGCTAACACTTATTCACCCATTAATATGGTTCTCAGAACATGTGCTCGTCTTCTTAAATGATGCATGTACTACCTTTTAAGAAAGCTAAAATGGTGTTTGTACATTTATTTTGGTATTGAATTGACGCTTGCCCTTGAGGCATCATACTTTGTGTGAAGATGGTTGTTATATGTGTACTGCAAGGTTTATGCTGTGTATGAATCGAGCCAGTGCATTGTGAAATCTGTTATCATGTATCCAGCAATCATGGCTGAATAAACATGTAGATTGGGCTAGTTGGTTTGAATACATGCTCGCGGGAAGCGCAAAGTTAAGGTACACAGGGACAGCAAAAAAAAAAAACGAATGATTGTGGATGCGTGCCGTACCTTGACTACACTTGCATTTGACATCGCAAAAGATATTTGCTGACCAAATTGATTAGTGAATGTTGCTGAAATGAAACATGGCGATTTTGTTTGTGTCAGTGCACCGTCTATCACCCTTAAACAGAGAGTACTTCACTTTTTGGATGTTGTGTTGGGAATTAATGGCTGAGTGATCACTGGTGGGACATGTTTTTTTGTTTGTTTCTCGTTGTCACTCTTTCACCTATATATGTCTTCACCTTTTTACGTAAAAACTTAGTTAAAGTTAAGCATTTATCTCTTTCCTTCTTCCTTACTGTCCCAGTACAGCTTAAACGGACACTAAGGTCCAATAACAATTTACGTCAGAGTGAAAGCTCAATGTAGGACAACATCTAAAACGACAATATTATCAACAACAGTGCTTTACTTACCGAGAAATTAAGGTAAATGCACAAGAACACAAGCGCCGCAGTAGGAAATTTTCAAAATGATCCCGATGACATCAGACGGACCGCCTAAAATTAATCACTAGTAATCAATTTACCTGCACTTAATAAAGAACCTTCCGTGCATCAAGAGACATATTAAAATGCTGGTTGTTCGTTTCTGTTTCATTCGTGGAAAAAAGAATTGCCAGTCGTTACTATGGGGAATGGTGCGAGTGGTTCAAAAATTCAATTTTCACATGCTTACACAGGACAGGTGGTGCCATCTAGCGGGGCACAGTGGAAACAAATGCGTCTGCAATCTCGAAGCCAATGGCGGGAAATTTATCAATGGCCGTTGTTGCTGGTGTGGCTCCCACTGCTTTCGGTCTGCTGCTGCTAGCGCAGTGCAGTAAAACCGGGCAACATTGTGCACAACAACAGTGACGTGAGAAGGTCAGGTCGGTTCGCTTCTTGAGGCGGGTAATTCGACGTGCGCTAACCCGATGCGGAGCACTGAAACGCTATTTTATTTCAAAATAGGCCCTTCCTCGGCATGAAAGTAACACTATGAGGTTTCTGGACCGCCATTTCTACAATGAACTTAATAGTCAACAGTCGACAATAAATAGCTGGCTTTACTGTCCCTTTAACCTTACGCTTTCGGCTAACATGGAATCATAGCTGACCATGAAGCTCAGTCGAGCTTTCAGCGGAACATTATGCCCTGGCTGGCGCATCGGAATTACTGTAGCATGTGTAGCCTACAGTCCAATCAGGCAACAGCAAGCACTGAGATGCGGCTTTCCTATTCTTCCCATAATATCTTCCTTCCTTCTTCCTCTCAACGTGCCAATGACTTCATACTGATGCAGTGTTCCAAAAGCTGTGGCGGTGGCACTCAGCGTCGCCAAGTGGTCTGTGTGGACAACCTGGAGAGCAAGAGTAATGCCTGCAACGAGCTGCTGCGGCCTCCCGAGACCCAGCACTGTAACACCGAGGAGTGTCCCACCTGGTCGACCAGCGAGTGGACGCCGGTGAGTGCTGGTCACCTGTGCAAACTCTGCACGCACTTTCGTACCCATGTACCAGAATTACACAAGTGCGGTTTTCTGTGGCATCGCAGACTATATCCTAAAGCATTCGTGTGCAGAAAAAGGTTGGTTCATGTGTGAATGAAGGCGCAGTGCTCATCCTGTGTCAATCTTCGACCTTGTGTCTCGTTATTTTCGCGTTGGTACTTTAAATATGCAAGGGCTGATCGCAGACATTCGCTCAGTCGATACGGTGTTGACCAAACGTTCAAAACATGGATAAGTTAAGTTTAAAAGAGATTAGATGGAAAATTCCATGCCCAGATGAGATGAGGAAGTTTGTGGGTATAACGAGGCCTGATCAAGCACTGGACTGGGTCGATTAGCCAAACATGGTGAGAGAGATGCCCTGCAGTCAGCGTAGTCAGACTGATGCGAATGGCGATGTGTTATTCAGCTGCAGATCGCAGGTCTACGAGCTGGATTCTTGCCACAATTTCATTAGTAAAAAACATGAGAAGCTTAGTGCATATTGCTTCGAGGGCACGTTAGACAACTCCAGGTGATTGAACATTTGTGTGGATTGTGAAAGCCACCTTAGTAGCTCCACTGGAGTTTTCTTATTGCACCTGCTGCCTTTCATATTCCATGTATTCCTTTAGGACCTTGAACTTCTTAGCAATCCCCTCAAACAAACCGGTATAATATTTTAGAAGTTATTCCTTTGTCAGCTCGTCATCACGAGATGCAGCAAGGACTATGCACTTTGGGCCGATATTTTATGCAGCCAAACTGCGTTGCAGTCAATCTGCTTTGACTCAAAAGAACTGGTCTACAAGCGTATGCTCGTTGTATTGCTTATTGTTTTCTTCACTCGTACCTGACAGTGCGATCAAGAGTGTGGTGGTGGCCAGCAGACACGCCGTGTCGTGTGCCAGGGCATCATCGGCTTCGTGGACGCTCACTGCTCTCAGCCCAAGCCGGAGACCAAGCGGGCCTGCAACCTGCACTCCTGCGCCGCGCCCACGGCGAGCTACCGGTGGCGACCCGGGCCCTGGTCCTCGGTACGACCGCCCTTCTCTATCGCCTGGTTACGCCGATTGTGGCGTACACTGTCTCGAGGCATGACGCGAAAGAACTCTGCGATGGTTTCGGGTTGGCTGCGGGGCCGGGACATGCAAGCCTAAGACTCGTGACTGTTTGTATACATATTGTTTCCATGATGGAAGATATACGAAATTCAGCGAGTTCGCTTCCGCAGCGCCTCTGGTTCGTGCAACTTGAGATGGCGGACATTGCCTTAAATGTGGCTAAGCAATTCTTTGTTTTGCTCAAAGCGAAGAGCAGTCATTTTCATAGCAAAGATTTGCCTCGAACCTAAACATTGCTACAAACCTGAAACTATTTATCTCCCTCGATTGTCACATTTTCCATAAAGGGGAAAGCTTGAAGCTCATGTGCTTGGATTTGGGCACACGTTAAACAACCCCAGGTGGTTGAAATTTCCCGAGCCCTCCACTATGACATCTCTCATAATTGTATGGTAGTTTTGGTATGTTTATGTGCTACAAGTATTATTATTAATATTATTATTATCATTATTATAAACCCCTTTATTCTTACAACTAAACCCTTGTTTACCATGCAGTATCGCATAAAGATTTCTGTCACTTTTGAAAGTCAAAGTGAGCCGCGGAAGGTCTTTAGTGGTACCAGGAACCACGTGCTGCACCTCCACTACTGGAAAGCTATTTGTGCTGCTACAATGAGTCGTTCTACGAATTTGAAAATTCCAATTGTGCAATATTTATTGGAGATCAAAGGGTGCCCTTTTTATATAGGACAATAGGGAGTGCGTTTTGGTGCTTCAACAGCCCAGAACTATGAGGAATCAATGAAAAACCGTAAAACCTGGTTTAACCAACTTTGAACTTTCACTAACGCAACATCAACTGAGTATATACGCATATAGCTTAGATATATGTGTATTTATATGCTGCACATCACTCCAACGGGAACATTAACGGCAGAATTATGCCTTGAAGAAGAATGGTGATGTGGACCTGATAGTTATTGGACATTTTGGAAAGTTTGCAGCACAAACGCGCGAGTGCTGAATGAAAATTGACCCAGTGAAAGAAAGGAGGGTCTTTGCGAATGGATTCATTTCTACTTTCATTTCTTTACTGTATCGTTTTTCGTTCAGTACTTGCATGCTAGCGCTGCAAACTCTTTCAAATGAAAGCATACCTATTGTATCTGTGTATTAGCTATGCAAACCAATATCCAGATTTCACGAGCAGGTGCATCGTTTCTAAAATTTCTTACTACGACCTTTTGGTCATTGGCTATACTAGCGTGGAGATAGCAATTTTGGGAACGATGGCCGAACAACCGCCTGCCAGCCGGATTAGCGATTTTGAAAGATCATGCTTTTTATATTCGAGCCGGGCATTAGGCCGGGCTGGTTGGCATTCTAGAAAATTTTTCTAGCTGATTTAGGTGCTTAAGTTTAATGAACATGTTATTTGTGGGGCAAAGCTGCGAACACGAAGACAGAAAAGGAAGGCGCTTGTCTGTCTTTATTGTTTTCCTGTCTTCGTGTTCCGTGTTTTTCGACACAAATAACTAATAAATAGTTGTTATTCTATTTCTACGTACTTTGGAACAAAGAAGCATATACAGAATAGACATAGGTGCTAGCTTTCACTTTCTGTAGGCCCTGAAACACTTTTTCTCGTCTACTAGGAACATGTGAGCCAAATATAGTAGTGCAGCGTGCAGCAGGGAATGCCAATTCAATTGTGAAGGCAGCTATAAATGTCTTCCTCTTCTTTCAACAAATGAGGTCATATACCCAAAATCGATGGCGTCGTATGAATTAGTGTGAGCGTGAGCAGCGCGCAATGTTTATATGGCGGCTGCACACGCATCTGAAAAAAACAAAAGATGAAAGTGTTCAAGAACATGATGCATGCTGACATGTGTACGTAGTTTTTCCCCATCGCTCTCTACTTTCGTGTAGCTTTCAGTGCTTGCTAGGACGAAAGAGTGGAGAAATTGGTTAAAGTGGGCCGTAATTCCTTGCAACTTCGCTTGTATTTAATGGATTATAAGAAATAAGTTTTGTGCTAGTTGATTCGTGCTGCAGTACAGTCTGATAGTCGGGTCATATGACAATTATTCAAAAAAGTGTTGAACGGCCCTTTCAAAACCTATACTTCGAACGCATACAGTATAAAATAAGGGATGTTTGCTGTCTATGTGGGCTGTGCATGCTGTGTATTTGTGTCCCTAGAATTTATTCACTGAAAAGTAGTGCATAATTTACGCGTATTAATGCCTGTGATTGTTTCGTTTCGAACTCTGACTGTACTTTGAAGTGTATACGTGATAATGTAAGAGAATAATTTGCTGTAGTTGGACGATATTATATTGAAGGAGGAGGTCATAGCGCTTACCAGCCAACATATTCTGTAAACTTCTGCCTTAGCACGGCGCTGCACCGCACTGTCGTATTTTCGCCATTACCATTGTCAGCAGTACTCAGATTGTGTGAACTAGTTCTTACTGCGCAGAGGACAGTCAAATGCACTGGAGCTAGCAACTTCACGGGTGGCATAACTGCCTGGTGCAGCCTTGTGTACTATAAAAAAATAATCACATATAATATAGAATGAATTTATGTACAAAGTGCCAGTAGAACGGATTAGTCGTGCACGTGCCACAGTGTTCTTGTTCCGCTTCATGTCACGGTTACAGAAGCTTGGCAACGCACTGTGATATGCCTCCATTTCTTTGTGCGTTCCCTGTTCTTTCAAATAGTGGTACATTTTTTTGTATATGTCAGTAGTGTGCATGAAAGGCGGTGTTACAAAAATATTTAAAGTCTTTCAAATGAAGTAGCAGGGTATGGGACAGTTTCTTAAAGTTTTTAATTTTAGTAGAAGAGAAAGAGCGTGTTGCAGTGGCATGTCAGACAAACCTTAGTTTGGTAAGGCAGAAAGAAGGGAGATAAGAGGGAAACTGGAAGATTATATGAAACAATGGTGGCTGTATGCTTCCAACACTGGTAGGCTTGTGCGAATATTCGAATGCTTCGAATATTTGAATGGATAGTTGGGTATTCGAATTCGCTTCGATTTGAATTTAAGTTATCGAATATTTTCAAAGTATTCGCAATGAACGAATAGATGTATATTAATCTGCATGTCACCAATGGTAGAAGTGGTTTTACTGCATTGTAGGAATGCTAAGCCGTGAAAGCACCTAAACAAAAGAAATTCGCTTTGTCGAGAAGCCCCTCTTTAAATTTAGAGGGGCCCTGCAACACTTATTGAACATGGTCAGAAAATGCTGCTGATCGGTGGTCGAGGCTACCGAGATTACATGAGGCAAGTAATATAGCGCAGCACGAGGCCTGTAATTCACTATAAGTTTTCAAAGCTAAAAATTGCTTTTTTCCCTCGACAAATGACACTACAAGCTCAAAAATCACTTGTCACGGCCATTGGCTGATTTGAGCATGGCCCGCTCATCATTACCGGGGCCGCCGCTTGTCCACGACTATGTGCGCGATCACACTAAAAAGCCGCATATTCGGAAAAAAAAAAAGAGGTGCTCAAGGTCATGAGGTGCGTGTGAAGTATTTTCTCTCGTCGTGACATTCCTCCCTGCTTAACTTCCAGCTATTTCGTCGGGACGAGAAGCGAGAATGCAATTGCAGCGTGCGAGAAATTCTTGGACCTCCGCTCGTACTGGACTAATTCTAGAAACTTTGCGGCGGTAAATTTGTGAGGCAACAAGCATGTTTACTGGCTTCATGGCTACTTGAAAAAGTATTGCAGGGCCCCTTTAAAGTAACATGTTACCCTAAAATCAATTCTTCATTTTATTAAGCTTGTTATGATGGCTTATATGATACAAGTATAATAAATTTTAAAACATTAAGTATCTTACAAGTTATCACTCGCATCCTACCAAAAATACTACTCAAGGTTGTTTCGACTTCCTTTGAATGAAAAAAACAATGGCATTTACATAGAGCCCCTATTTCAATTAAAAAAAGATATTGCACAGGTTAGTTAGGTCATGATAAATATTCCTTTTTTTTATGTGTCATACATACCATTCGAATTTGATTCGAAATTATTTGATCAAAATCACTATTAGCTTCGAACCTAAAATTTACTGTTTGCACAAGCCTGTCCAACATAAATGGATTTTGTGGTACTGTGTAACCCTTTGTTAATTAAAGGACGTGAGGTGTCATTAGTCTAAGCACAAGCATTTGGGAAATTTGCTTAGGCAGGGCAAAATTCGACATTGCTAATGTCATTGTGAGGTTATTGAAATAATTGCCCTTGAGCTTTAGTTTGAATAGATGGGGTTAACACTTCATCGCAATCTTCTGAAAGCAATAGGAAGTTGTCATTTTGTCAGTGCTTAGTATTCGTCCTCCAAGTGCACGCGTTGGTGTTGAATTCGTTTAGGTAGTGTAGTCCTCATTGGTGTGTCTCTGTTAACGAAGTGTAATTGTAGTTTAGTTGTAGACGTATGTGTTTATTTGAAGTGCGAGGCTGAGTATGCATACTCTGTCTTACATAACAGTGTTATAACCACAACAAACTAATTCAGCCTTGATGATCAGCTCATGCTTTCTAATATATGACACTGCATGTTTTGTAGTGTTAACACCAGTGTATGTTGTTTCAGTTTGTGCTGTGTTGATATGTGTTCTTGTTTGCAACACATGTCCTGCCTGTTTTCTTAGCTTAGTCGTATTATAATGTTGATATGCACTGTTTGAGAGCTCTATAGGACCACTACCGATTGACTTCTGCTAGGTCACCATTTTAAAAGTTCATCTGAAAATAAAATTTTGATGCTTCATCTTGAAGCTTACGCTTGCTGTTTTCATTTGTATTATTTCAAGTTTATTGACTTTCAGTACCTAAGGCAGCTTTTTTTGGCCTAAACATTGAATTTTTTCTTCTTTGTTTTTGCTGCTACATTGTGTGATAGTACAGTGTACTTGAAGAGATAAAGTAATTTTTTTCATAAAGAACATTGGCAGACTCGCAAGTATATTGTATTAAATGTGTAGATTACCAGAAGCATGACCGGCATATTCAACACAAAGAGTACGGGAAGGTATTTAAGTATGCTGTTCACAATAAATGAATGAACACTTATTGTCATTGTATAGAAGTGCTAAATGCACCTGTTAATTCAGCGAACTAGTTCCTGTTTAATACTCGTTTTACCAGTATATGCGTAGTCATCTATTTTCAAAGCCATCAGAGTCTTTTGAGTACTTGCACTTGCCACTAGTCAACTGCGCGAGTTCATCGTGCTGGCAGCCAGCTTGGCTCATCACGTGACCACGGGGGAGGTGAGGTGATGACATTTGTATCGCCTCGTAGTCGCTTATCGCCTTCACTGAACTTCCTGTCGTATGCACGTTACCTCAAGCCGTCATTTCAAACTTTGTGCTCGCTACAGAACTAGCACATGTACACGCGAAGCCCACTTTTGATGTGGAATGAACTTAATCGGTGCATTAATAGAACTCTTCCTAGGATAATTCCTCCAAGTGTGTAGGATTGAGAAACTTTTTATGGCACTTGAAGTTTGGCTTGATTGAGTCGGGCAAAAAAAAAGTGAATACAGTATAAAAATTGTCTAATATTGTAAGAAGATTATTTCTGATATGAAGCTTTCTGTTGGACTTCCGACCACGGTATCTCCTGATACTGTCACTGACAAAAAATGTCAAGGAAATAGGCTAAAGTATGCCATCTGAATGTGGGCCAGTTGTAAATACTATTTACATGTCGTTTGATTGTACATAAAAAAAAGATACGACAGCAATCACCGCCTCCTATGATGTCCAAATGAAGGTGAAAAAAATATGGACGTTTGTAACAGCACGGTGTAAGAAAAATAGTAGTGACGGCACGAAAGTTAAAAAACGTTTGGCCGGTTTGGAGATCAGGTGTACAAGAAATTGTATTGCGCTGCTCATCTTGCCAGAATGAACATATCTCCTGTCGCTGCGCACGGCTTACGCTTCTTCCTGAAAACTTCTCTGTCGCTATAGTAGTTTGTGCATTTCAGTGCATGCTCCCTGTAGGTTCATGAGTATGCAGAAAAAATAGTGCAACATGTTTAGATACCGTATATTCCAGCAGAGTGCCCATCTACCAGAGCATTTGTTTTCTGTGTGTGTCAACAACATTATTAAGTTCAGCACACGAGCTGTGTGAACACGAAAAAACAAAATAAAATTAAAAATAAAGAACAGTAGCACAACATTTAGCCTTCTTTAGAGGTGCACGAAAAACATACAGTTCCAACTTGGCAGTTCACATTGCATCAAATAATTTCGCTGGGAATTTGCTTTGTCCTGCGGCAGACGCTACCAGTGACTACCATGATTATGTTGACGAAACAATGCTCATCATAATTAGAATGTTGCCTCTAACTCTATATTTTATTACACTAGTTGCTACGAATACGCATGAATGTAAAGGCAACTGTTGGCCAGGTGGAAATTTCGGTAGCTTGTTTGAAGTGACGTAAATAATGGCTACATGATGCTGCAGACGAATGTGCACTGGCATGAGTTCACTCTTACTGTTTCATCGTGGCTATAACTTGTTGCTCAACTAACCATATTTGACCTCGCTTCCCGTGCAGTGTTCGGTCACATGTGGCAGCGGTGTGATGAAGCGCAGCGTGGAGTGTGTCGACAGCTCCCTTCAGGCGGCGCCCTATGCCAACTGCGAGGGTGATCCTCCCGAACACATTAAAGACTGCACGATGCGGGAGTGTCCTCGGTGGCAGCTATCACCATGGTCGCAGGTTGGTAGTGATTATTTGAACCTTTATTGACTGTAGTGTTGAGCAATATCAATATTGTCATGACGTCAAAACAGAGGTCGTGACAATATGATGTTTACGAACTGTTCCTTCGCAATTCCTGGCAGATTCATATTTCCGCGAGGATGCTGATGCGGTCACTGACCAAGTCAAAGGGGAAAAAAAAAACAGCACAACGTTTCGGGACCCGTATCGTCTTTGTGTTTTTCTTATAAGAAGATACATTTAAGAAGATACATTTCGGGACACATACCGGTTTCTTATATTTTTTTTTAAAAGATAAGATATTTTCTCAACAGAATGGCTAGGTGTACAATAGGATGGACGCACGCATGCACAGACAGATGAACGGACGAATGAAAGTATGGACGAATGCACGGATGGATGCACAGACGCACGGATAGACACCTAGACAAACAGATAGATGGAGGGATGGATGGATGGCCGAACGAACGAATACACAAACGATTGCATGGGCAGATGTACTGAGGGACGCATAGACAGATGGGCACTTCGCCCCACTTATCATTTTTTTTTTTTTGATGGATAGTTATCTTTAATTATTTATCGTGAATACATTGAAAGGCTGACGACAAAAGCTGCATACAAGCAGCTTGACAGGCCCGTCAGCCCAGACACTCCACAGCATATTCACTCTGTGGATATGCTGTAAGGAATCGTAAGGAACCGGTATGGGTCGTCAAGCGTCTGTGTTTTTCCACCTTGACTTGATCAGTGACCGCTTACATCCTCGCCATGATACCTGACCAGATGAACTTTCGTCGAACCCTTCAATTATTATATCAGTGTTTGTTATTTCGAGGTTTCACTAAATTCACTCTCTCGTACTGAAATAAAGCTAAAAAATTTGTTATACAAGTACCTAGCGAAAGTTTGTGTTTTAAGCAGCGAGCTCACATCGGTGAACTTAAAATATTAGTTCAACTGGACTTCACTCTGCGCATGTGAGTTTACTTTTGTCTTTCACTATTATGTCTTTTGTGCTTATGTATAATTTGTAAAAACACTGTTCGCAGTGTTCGGCCCCGTGCGGGAACGGGACCCAGAAACGAGTTGCGCGTTGTATGCGACGTGGCGTGGAAGTGAGCCACCTGGAGTGCCACGGCAAGCGGCCAGAGACCCAGGTTCGAACCTGCAACCTGCGTACCTGCCACTACCGCTGGAAGAAAAAGCGCTGGAGCCCCGTGAGTACAAAGGATGCTGACTGTATGGCAATTTACATTGCCCAGAGCACACATTTTAATGTAAGGTAACTTCACCTAAGAAACTATTCTCAACGGAATGGCTAGATCGGAGCTTAATTTGAAGGTTTGTGGGAGTACCTATATCCCTGTAAGACTTTTTCGCCTCAAGGTGTTTGCCTGTAGTCACCACAGAGCACACTGGGCTCTTGAGGTAATACCAGTGGCGCTGCCTGGCCGCAACAAGGTTACACGCGGCCATGTGCAATCAAACTCCCTCTTTTGAAGCTTGGGGAGCTATCCGGTGGTCGTCTCACGTGGAGGGTTCGTGGGAACGTTTCTGCAGTTTGATTTTGCTGACTCTCATGGGGAGTGGAACGTCTGCAACACCGAAGTTGCGGTACTTCATGCTTGTGTGTTAGGCCATTCATGTGCATTATATTAAAACTATATTTGGTTATTTGTCATACTATTGTGGTCATTAGTAATGCTTGGCAGGCGGGCTGACCGTTATGTAAAATACCCTAATGTCCAAATTAAGTCACAATATGATGTGCACTGTGACCGTGTGTTCCAAAGCAGCTCTCTTGAAACCCCGCAGGTAAAGTGCACTCTAGTTATTGTGCGTTTTAAGGTACACGCGGCAAGCGTGCATGGTTTCTATACCCTGCTTGATATTGGTTCGTCTTCACAGCAGTAAGGGTCATATTGCAGTGAAGCAACATTTCAAGGCAATATTATGGTCAAAGTTCATGTTTTATGCTCACGTCCGTTTGTCTATGGAGCGCCAACGAACGCCGGTCGTGTCGATCGCGCCTCGTGTCAGATTACACAACGCTCGCGCTTTCTATAGTGTACCGTCGCTGTGCCCAGTGTATTCAATCATGCAGGAAGAAAGACATGCGCATTGCGTTCCATTTCGATCGACCCCGCCTCAATGGACACAGGCGTTCACCGTACACACTTTGGAATTTACGAAGTGTCCTTCAATTTTTCGTTTAGTGTGCGATGGTATGCAATGTCATGCTCGCTTCTATTCTCTCCAGTGGAGGCAACACTCACTGGTAGGTGGGCTAAAGGCGAGAAGGCCAACGGACCGTTTTTAGGCGTGTGTTAAAAAAAACATTACTAGATTATATTTAATTTGTAGCCTCCTACTGCCGTGTTTACTGCCGGCCTGCTCGGCAAGTTTGGTTTATTATACCCCCCTACAGAAACGTCGAGACTACTATTCTATAATGACATTCTGCATTTTGAAACTGCCTGTGCTGTAGTAGCAGTAAGTTTGCCGCGTGCACCGATGTCGGACGCTCACTTTTGATTCCTGAATTATGACTAATTTTCAAAAACTGTGGAAAGAGGAAACCAGTCGCGAGGCGCAGATTCTACTTTTCTGGCCTTGATCGGGATGAAAGGGCAGACTGTGTCACACTTCTATCATCGCCCCGCCGCGGTGGTCCAGTGGCTAAGGTACTCGGCTACTGACCCGCAGGTCGCGGGTTCAAATCCCGGCTGCGGCGGCTGCATTTCCGATGGAGGCGGAAATGTTGTAGGCCCGTGTGCTCAGATTTGGGTGCACGTTAAAGAACCCCAGGTGGTCAAAATTTCCGGAGCCCTCCACTACGGCGTCTCTCATAATCATATGATGGTTTTGGGACGTTAAACCCCACGTATCAATCAGTTCTATCATAGTCGCTGACAAAACAACTCCAAGAAACAGCTTAATCATTCATTGCTCGCCGTCTTTCACCCGGTTCCAGTGTCCCGTTACTTGCGGAGGTGGTCGCCAGACCCGGTTTGTGATATGTGTGGACCGTAACGAGAGGCCAGCCCCCGAGCGTTTCTGTGCAACCCAGCGGCGACCCAAAGTTGTGCGCAACTGTGCTGCCGAGCCGTGCCCGTTCGTGTGGAGGACGTCCGACTGGTCGGAGGTGCGTACCATAATCTGTCCTTTGGTATAAAAACTCACTTTCTCCAAACTCTTATGCTGCACGAACGAATGTATTATAGCACGGATATTTTGACTAGGTCCAGGCCCATTTCTGTGTTTAGTTGTACACGAAATGAAGTTTGCTATGAAGTGTTGCCAGGCTTGTTGGTTGTAGGATTAATAATTCATATGGCGTAGCGCATCACCACAGAGACAGAGAAGGACTTTAGCTCTCCGTGTGTGTATTTCTTCTTCTGTGTCCCTGTCGTGGTGTGCTACACCATGTCAATTATTTGTACACAGCAAAACAGCGCCAAAAACAAGGACACTTTAGCGGAGGCAATAGCATGTGTGTTCTGTATGCTCGGTTTTTTGTGAATTTTTTATTATGACGTGCCAACTGACCCAACAATCCATTTTCATGGCTTATTTGCATAGTTTTGTGCTTGTTGAAAATTTTCTAGTGGCAACTATTTATGTGAAAAAAAAGTTGTGGGCGTCACGTGGATGCCGACTACTACTCTCTTTCAATGTATTTATGACAAAAGAAGGCAGCTTTAAGCGACCTTATTGTGCCATCTAAGTGTCTTTAATGGCACTAGCCCCTAGCATTTAGTGAATTATTCGTTCAATTCAGTAGACTTTAGACTGCAAGAAGACTGTTTTGTAGAGTTTATGTGCCATCTTGGTAGCACATATCCACAATAAAGCAGTCTATGCTTTCTAGAAACTCTACATCAAGCACATTCGAAGAGCTAAGGACCCTCAACAAATTCAACTCCGGCACTTTGCCAATGAACTGCCAAAGGGAATCGCAGAGGTCATGTAGGAAGAAGCGCATCGCTGAGGTTTTCTCAAGAAAACACTATAATCTCAACTCATTCAATTAGTTTAAGTTATTACCCTCACATTTAATTGGCCCATATTCTAACTAAACCTATGCTCCAATGTCCTTTTTATACAACTCTTTCCTTGAAGCATTACCCCCTTTTTATAAGAGTTTTTGGTGTTCCATAATATTTGAGCCAACGGTCAACTACCGATCGGCCGGTGGCGAGTTTCTATACGCTCTGTGAAAACATAATGCCGCGATGTGCTAGCTCTGTAAAAGTCTACAATCCTGACCTTGTGTGCAACTTCACTTGTGCCCAACAGTGCAGTCGCACTTGCGGCGAAGGCTTCCAGAAGCGCTCTGTCACCTGCCACAAGGTGAACGCGTACGGCTGGGTGGACCCGACTCCGCTCACACCCGGCGCGGCGGAGCGCCTGAGCCTGCTGGAGGCGGAGTCGTCGCCCTTCTACCACGGAAGCCAGGAGCGTCGAGGCCCCAGCTACTGCTCGGACCAGGAGAAGCCACCTCACTCGCGGGCCTGCATGGTCGGTCACTGCGGTGAGGGAGTCTTCTGGAGGCCCGGCCCGTGGACGCCGGTATGTTTGTGCATCGTGTTTCTGACTTAAGGCTCATTCTCACCGAAGGCACTGTAGAAAAGCGGGGAAGAAGCCTTTTCGAAGTGTCGAGAGGGCGAGTGCGTGCACCTGTTCAGACCACACACATCTTTTGGGTGGTGGCGTGGCAAAGGAGGCCGGCATCTCATGCTTTTATGCACGTGTCGCTATGACATGGCAATGCTTTCCCTAAAGGTACACCAGTGCCATGACTGCGCTTTCGCTGCGTGGTGTTTTGACTGGCCGTCCCAAAGCAGCGAGCCTCGGCAAGCGGCCAGAGTTGCTCCTGGAGCTATCACACTTGCCACCTCGTTTTCGGCTCGCTTTTACCGTCTGAAGCGGACATTTTCCTCGCCTACTGCTTTGCTGCTTTGGCCACCTCGCCTTCGGTGTGAACAGACCTTTAGGACTCTTGTGACGCGTTTGTCAGTGTAACCTTATTTTGCAGTAACCGGGGGGTAGATGGACAATCAGGCACGTTACTTGAAGGCTGCAGGTTCCGTTCCTGCTGGCATATAGTTGCCAGTGTGTCCCCTCTGATTTCTTTGTTTTTATTAAAGTTACTGTAATACCTAATATATAAATAATGTATCAGTAAAACTAACGCACCCTATTCATTCCTTTGCTGTATTATGTGTTAGTTTCCATTGAGGTTTCATGTAGTTGTGAGTTCAAATCGAATTTAGGCTGCCGTAGTTGACAGTTACAGTATTCATGTAATAGAAAACATGAAATGAACAGTGTATCTATGTTAGTGAGACTGAGGTGGTCAACGTAATCTGCAGCATTCTAGTGCGGCACTTTTTGTAATCATATCGTCATTTCATTGTGTAAAACAACGAAATTAAACTTTAGTGATCAATGTTCTTGTCGCTCATGTATGAATCGGTCATTCAAACACTGTACTATGTGTCAAAAATGTAATGCGGCTGGGAGTTGAGGCCCTCTAAAAGCTTTGACCCCTGAGAAAAGCATGTGCCAGTCTTGGTGCAAAAATGGTGTTTCGTCTCTTAGCAGTTTGTCGATAACATTATATTGCGAATTTGTCTTACTCTTCTATAGCCCATTTCGTGCACCGAATTGGGGTTCTCTACCTGGGCACAGCATATTCACCGAGATTTCTTTTTTTTTCTTTCTGCATTTTTCATTGTCCCCAGTGCTCGACGAATTGTGGACATGGTAAGCAGAAGCGGCGCCTGCGCTGCTACGACCAGCGGAACAAGCGAGTTAACAACAGCCACTGCAGCAGCGCCCTCAAGAACAGGATCAAGAGGAAGAGGCGATGCTTCTTGAGACCATGTGAGCAGTTTGCGCCTGCTCAGTTGTGTAGACTAACGTGCCCTACAGCCACATTCAGCTACATCATTTGCACATGAATGTACTTGGTTGTCATTGAGTGTAGCCTGTAGAAATGGTGATCTCACTAAGTCAATTATATTTTTGACAGTGAAGCTCTTCTCAGTAGAGGCTGTCAAGTTCGGCGGCTGTCATGCATCGGAAACACAGGCGCCACTCCACACGACTTCCACGACTCCCCAATACGCCCACAGAAACTCCCGCTACTCCCACCAAGCGCCATGACATCATAAATTTTGAAGGCGTCTACTGTGTCCTATGTCACTTCTAATCGATAAAAAAGAAGTGGCCCAGTGGCCCATGGGACCAGTGGCCCATGGGTGCCAGAGACGTAGCATACAACAGAGAATTTCATCGAGCCAATGTAACACAAATATTAAAAATATATTTCCAAGTTTTGACGTCATGCTCGAAGATTTTGGCGCTTTGAAGTTTAATAATGAAACTTCAATGTGATTTGCTCCGCTAACAATGAAGGTATGACAGTGAAACCTATGGTTCTAGAGTTCACGGAGCACATTTTTTCATTCTAAATCGAGTCAGTGTTTCTCTCGAGTGTCCCTTTAACGCTGACGAATGGCCGTGTCGTTTGTCGCAGGCACGGCGGTGAGCTGCGCCGAGGTGCAGCTGCGTGGAGGTGTGCGCGTAGACGGCGAGCAGAAGCTGTACGTGCGCGGGCGCCTAGTGAACGTCTACTGCGCGCGCATGAACACATCGGCACCGCAGGAGTATTTGTCGCTCGCTAGCGGGGAAAGCAACAACTACTCCGAAGTCTACGGAAAGAGGTAAGGGCTTTCTTGACACTCGCTGTTGTGTCATTGTGAATGCAAAACGTGGGGTACAGTGCACAACAGGGAGTGCAAAATAGAACGACAACACAGGCGCACACTCAAACTGGAAATTTATTGAAGAGGCAGCACACATATATAGCTCACAAAAATGATTGCAGGGTACAATTTTTCTCGCATAAAAAAAAGGAGAGAAATTAGCAAGTTAAACTGAACCTTGTGATATCTTTCGTAAACTATATACGTCTTGCCTCCTTATAAGCTTCCAGTTGTGAGTGTGCACCTGTGTTGTTGATATTTTTTCCAGTCCCTGTTTTGTAGTGTCCCCCACTTCTTGCATCCTTAATGAACTGCTGCCAACTAGCCCAAATGGCTGTTTTGCTACTATTGTGTCACTTGACCATCATCAGTTATATGACAATCTTATTTTGATGTCCGCTGTGAGTCGGGAGCCCTTCCAAACAAGTTCGTTGTCTCAGTTTGTTTGTCTCAGGTTGTCTCGATTGTCTCAGCTTATCACTGCAAAGCTTTTATCGTTTTATCATGCAACCTTATAGTAGTCTGCCATCCTCAATGGACACGTCCTGCCCTTGGCCCTGATTCTATCTCTAACATTGTCGGCTGTTTCTCTACAAATTGTGACTAGCCCAGCTTCACACTGGCGTGTGCATTTGCATTTTTCTTTGATTTACCGTAATTACTCGAATCTAACGCGCACCTTTTTTCCGGTTAAGCGAGTTCATAAATCGCATGCGCGTTAGAATCGAGTATGAACAAAAAAATTACGGTCAATCTATTGCCATCGCAAATCCAAAATGGCCGCCCCCTACGTGCGTCGGCATGGTGCGTCGGCTATTTCTGCCTATGTGTTTACCATGTGCGGCACTTCGTACGTGTGCTGAGGAGTTCGTCATCTAGTAGTGCATTAGCATCGACGACGTGGAAGGGCCGACTCCAAAAACTCGAGTGCACCACGATGCCGCTTTTAAAAGAAAAGTCATCGCGTGTGCAGAAACGGACGGAAATCGGGCCGCATCGCGGTCCTTCTCGAAACGTGCGTGCGGGACCGGCGGAAACAAAAGCAGAAGATTGTCGACAGCAAAGCTTCACGCAAAGGCTTCAGTGAACCACAGCAGGGTCGGTTTCCGTAAATTGAAGAGCTGCTCCGCGAGTATGTGCTTGAGGAGCGAGAGGCACAGCGGCCCATGACGACAGAACTGCTCTAAGTGCGGGCTATGCAATTAGTCTTAGAAAAAAGTCTAATGCGGAGCATGTTTAAAGCGAGCAGGTGCTGGCTAATTAACTATATGAAGAGGAAAGGCTCTTCCCTCCGAAGGGGAACATGCATATGCGAAAACTTTTGCGGAGAAGTACGATGAAAAGCTTTACAGTTTTCAGAGGTTCGTCCTAAACTTGCGGCGCAACAACGGCTACCTGCTTGGGCAAATCTGGAATGCCGATCAGACGCCTCTTTACTTCGACATGCCTGGCACCACAACTGTCGAGAAGAAGGGGGCGAAGCAAGTTCGCGTGCTGACATCGGTCCACGGTAAAGCTACAGTGACGGCAATGCTCTGTTACACGTCAGATGGGCACAAGCTTCGCCCGTACCTCATATTTAAATGGAAGACAATCCCGAAAGGAATCGTTTTTTCGAGTGGTGTGATCGTGCGGGCCAGCAAAAAAAAATGGGTGCGCGTTGCAATCGATGTCTTACGTTTTTTTTTTTTTCGCGGTGGAAATCGGGTGCGCGTTACAATCGAGGGCGCGGTAGAATCGAGTAAATACGGTACTATTACAAGATCCCCTGCTGGCTCTCAAACTTTTACCGCTGGCTCCTCCTTGTCTTTGACATTACACCGTCGAAGTGAACCGAAAAAAAAAAAAGTTCACAATTACGCCACAAGGTGCGCAGAAATTAAAGCGACAGCAGCAAGTTTGAATGCAGATGATGCAAAGCTAGTGGCACACACCACTGGGATTTAATCTCGCGCAACTTTACAAAACGCTAGTGCGGCCACTCATGGGAGCGAAGCGGTTTTCCTGCTATCAGTCGCTTGAACGCGAAGCTCTGAGAGCATGGCACATGAAAGGGTATCAGCTGTTTATTGATCCCACGTAGATATATATGGGGCACACTCCCACGGGCGATCACGTCCTATAAGCAAAAGTATGCATTCTCTCTACTAATTATGTAGCCCCCCCCCCCCCCCAACACACTTTTGGCTCCAATATCTGTGCACCTCATGAAAAATGAGCTGGACATTTTCTCTCTGCCACAAGAGCCGTCGATGACAGCCTTTGCTCATCGGGTGACATTATCGCTTGCTTCGTGCCACGGAGGTGGCCTGCTCATTTTATGTCCGCCATAGCTCCGTTCGGCAGCAGCATTCACTTGCTTTCACTCACACATAGAACGCAATATGGGCCAAATGGTGTTAGCGATTTGCACTTTACGCGGAACATGATGGCGATGACAAGAACCCGTCAATAGTGTCTGTACAATTGCTATCGCAACAACTGACTTTCGCGCATGTTTTCTAGAACTCAACCGACAAAGACAAAAAAGAAAAATTGAATTCTTATTTACATACTTCATCTTCTCAAACTCAATAATGTGTCTCTCCTTGAGCGTCGCATTAATTATATGCAATACACGTAATGCAATATTTCCAGCTTGTCCATGCATTGTCATAGCCACTCTTACTATACACCGAAGCACTGTCTCCGAGTTTCTTGTGCTTGTTGTATGCAATATGATGTGTACCGAGTAATGTATCTGATAACAGTACGATGTTCTGTGATTCCTGTGTTCGTAGGTTACGAAACCCGGACGAGTGTCCATTTGGAGGTGCTCGTGTGGACAAGTGTGACTGCATCGATGACTACCCGGCTTCCTTGACCACCTTTTCCAAAATCTCGTTCAACATCACCACTCTGAGTGTGAACAGTAAGTTACGGGTAGCCCTTATATTGTCTCAGTGGCTGTGTATGTTATGTTGTTGTTTGCATGTGCCACTTGCGTCCAAAAATATTCTGTGTGTAACCCGTCTGCTCTTACTCTGAATCCCCTCACCTGCGCAACACGCAGGCGAAGTTATATAAGCAGGGACAAAGTGCCTGTGATGGTCGAGCTGACTTTTCTTTGTCAAAGGCACCTGGTCCCCCTTGACGTGTTAGTTTTCAGGTGTAAGTGGCTGACGTCATGTGGTATAGTTTCTCATTGGATTTCATTATTTTATTGGATTTCCTCTCACACGATAGATATTGTGTAAGGGTGTGGGATTATTCAAAACTTTCGTTAAGAATTCCTTGTAATAACTTTTGGTGCTACAAGACAACACAAAAGACGAGACGCAGCGCTGTCATATTTCTTGTGTCTTGTCACGCTGAAAGATACAATGAAGAAACACGAACTAGCCAGTCAACGATTTCTCGTGCAGTTTTATATTCAACATGTATTGTTTACACAATTGCGTATATGCCATCATGCTCACACCCTGGTGTGATGCATCTGTTGTGCATAATATTATGAAGTGAAAACAATGGTAGCCTTTATAAAACATCGTCCTTGTCTTGTGTGGCAGGACATGACTTCACCTACAGCCGGACGCTGCACGGTGCCCCAGCAGCCGTGGCTGGTGCGGGCGACTGCTACAGTCGGGCCCAGTGCGCGCAGGGGCGCTTCTCGCTGTCGCTGGCCGGCACCGACTTCACCGTGTCGCCAGTCACCGAGTGGGTGATGCAGGGAAGCCACACCTCTCACAGCATACGACGCCTGCAGGTTAGTCGCTGTCGTCCTTGCACCATATGTTTTTAATATCATTGTAGATAGGGCAACCAAACTGGACCATGTTGCAAACTGTGTTTGCTTGTGCTCAAAAGTGTATACATTAAAGTGACAAAAAAAAAAAGAAGCTCATGAGATGTTAGAGACAGTTTTGTCAGGAAAGCAGGGGGGGAATGTATGAGTGACACATCGATGACGCTGTACATTGCAGAAATTAAACTTAATTTGCACATGGTTTGATATTGTCGTATTCACTCATTTCAACTGTTCGTTGCGATGGTTCCTTCGCAGCTTTTGGATATATAATTTGGTGAGCCAGCCTTCAAGTAATCAGATGCAAGTTTGCACCTGTGTTCACCTTCCTTACAGTTGGCCTATTTGTTTGCGCTATTTACGATGATGATAATCAGAAAAAGTCAACTCTCCCAACATTCAGCCTTTTTCTAGTATGCGCCATATCATACTTCTGATACATTCGAAACCAGTACCAGTGTGACATGTGCTTCAGAGCAGTAACTGTCAAATGAAAAGCTGACGCCGAAAGATGTTTATAGAGTGTGGGATCAGAGAGAAACCTTCAGACACAGCCTTGGATTCAAGTTTTATACCTGTACTAGCGCATGCATGTACAGACAGGTTCACAGTTAAAGGGAACACTTTTGTTTGCACTATGTTCACATTTCTCTCTCTGGCAAAAAAAAAAATGGCAGCATATCCACGAAGTGAATGATGGATAGTGGGGCGCAGCATCGTCCGTCCATTCGTTCTTGCTTCCGTCCATCCATGCGTGCGTCTGTGTGGCCGCCCGTGCGTCCATCCGCCTGTCCGTGCGTGTGTCTGTTCATGCGTCCGCACGTTCATCTGTGCGTCTGTCCCTGCTTTCGTCCATGCATCCACTCCTGCGTCCGTTCATGCGTCCATCTGTCCGTGCAGCCATCCGTGTGCCCGTCCATGCATCTATCTGTGTGTCCGTTTGTCCACCTATTCAACACTCCAAGTACCACCATCTCGCATCTTTTCATCATATATTCCTCATATAGAAGCACCGCCATCCAGCGGACGTTACAAAGACTGAACGAGAGGAGGCACACACACACTTTCTTACGGCTTGCGCTTCGTGTCTACTTCCCACCTTTAACCACCTCGAGTTCATGGTATATACTAGTTCACTGTATTCATGGCACTGCGGCCCAACGCTCGCTAAACCTTTCTAAAATCTAGGAGGTTACGCCCAGCGAGTATAATGTAGCAACCCTTTCTTGTCTTCTGTGCATTGTTGAACAATAAAAAATTCGCAGCGTGCGCGTTAACTAAAAGCCGAATGCTCTTGTCTCTCATTCCCCATTAGCAGCCATTGGCATGTACATTGAGCACTATCTTTTATTGTTCAACAACGCACAGAAGAAATCTCCCACCGGCACCACCTTAGAGGTCAAAATGTTATACGTGTTACATACTACAACGGCTACGAGGGACGATCGGGTGCCGCTATAAAAAGCTTCGCCCCTAAAACAAAGGTCTTAGATTTGCATAAGGCTACTGCTGCTTGACTGTTCTGACTCCTCTTGATAAACTGGTGCCAGGCACGAACAATGTTCATAGGTCTGCCTGCAGTTATGGGGCCCACAACATGGCAGGTGATCATTGGAGTGTTCCCTTTAACAGTGGATGGTACTGTACATAACACTGCACTCTTTTACACGCCCACAACAGGAGGGCCAGATCATTCAAGGCAGGTGTGGTGGATTCTGTGCTCAGTGCCTCCCGGACCCCACGGTGGGGCTGCTGCTTGATGTCCGTCCCCCTTGACTGAGGTAAGTTTGCAACAGCGTAAAGAAATAGCCATAGTGTATGTGTTAGCAAAGTCGGCTAGAGATACGACATTTATAATGTCCTATCTCGCGTACAATGACTTGGTGTCTTACGCTCTGCACGTAAGACACCAAGCCATTGTATGCGTCACATTATAGACTTTGTTTACTACAAAATTTCCAAGGCAATGTTTTCTATATAAATATCATTGCTATGCAATTTTGATAACCTATATTTAATATTGTTTTGTTCCTTGTAAAAGTTAGAAATGGTAAGCCTTAGCTGTAGCAGTGTTCCTAAATGAAATGCACGAAGAGAGAGAAACTGCTGTACATTTATCTCCTAAATATTACAGCTGTATTTGGGTTACAACTAGATTTTTAAACACTAATAGTAATTATTGTATATGCTAGAATGAAGCCACTACTCTTTAATCTTGCATGCAATAATGAGTGTTAATATAAGAGCATAAACAAGATTGAATGATAGTAGAAGAAAATTTACTAGTATTTGGAAAGATGATGCACAACTTTTGGGAGCATTAAAGAAAAGAAAGGCCAATCGAATATATTGAGAGGCACAGGACAGCAGCTTCGAAAATTTACAGCAGGCTATGAATCTAAAAACGTCTATTTTTCTGTGGTTCCTGTTTCGTTCATTTGCTTGTGTGTTCGTGCTTGCATTTCCGTTCGCATCTATCAAAAAGGGACGGTCAAGAGCACAGCATGCAAGATACTGGAAAGATTGAGAGGCAGCGTAGTTCATAAAGAAATTTCAGGGCTGTGATCTTTCAGTATGCCTTGATGACACGTAGCAGTGCAGCGAAGATGTCATTGTAGAAAGCTGCAGCGGCGGCACTGAGTGCAGAGACAACTCTTTGCACTCAGTATGAGACTTGGTATGAAACTTGGCATGAGAAAAATTAATTTTTGCAAGTTCGCCATTCCTTATGACTTATGGTATTCAAGTTGATCTGGCTGTAATATAAAAACATTGTTAGGTTCTGTTTTGTCTCACACCCTAACTGTTGCTCCAACGTGTTCTTGTTTTTTGCAGTTGGAGGAGTTAGATCTGCCGACCCTTTAGGTAAGCGAGTGAATGTATTTTACGAAAGGATTTTATACTTTCCAAGTGCCTTGCATGCTGTGCCTAGGCTGTTATTAGCAGTATATTGTTATGTTGAAAGAATGCCATGTAATCTACTAGGGCAGTGCAACTGCGGAATATTAAGAAAATATAAAGTTGTAACAGCACATTGGTCTGCACATCTTTGTGCATGAACATTTCTTCTTCAATTGTTAGGTGTTTTGTCTAGGCTGGTACGAGTAGTGAATTTTAGGTTCGAAGTGAATAGTGATTTTGGTCGAATAATTTCGAATCGAATTGATATAGTATATATGTCACATAAAAGAAAAAATGGGCATATTTGTAATGACCTGACTAACCTGCACAACGCTTTTTTTTTTAATTGATATAAGGCTTCTTTGAAAATGTTTTGGCTTTTTCATTCAAAGGAAGTCGAAACAACTTTATGTAGTAGTAGGATTTGACTTTTGCTGGGATGCAAGTGATAGCCTGTAATATCTAAATTTTAAAATTTATTATACTTAGAGCATATAAGCTGTCATAACAAGCTTCTAAGCTAAAAAAAATGATGAATCAATTTGAGGGTAATGTGTTCATTAAAAGGGCCCTGCAACATTTTTCAAGTACCCATGAAATGAATTAACTAAAGGAGCTTATTGTCCCACAATATCACCACCACAAAAATTTTGTATCTTAACTGAAGTGTGTGAAAAAAATTGAATACAAAAGAAAGACACCTAGACACAGTGCACGCCTCAAAAATATTTAGAATGTGTCCAGTACGAGCGGAGTTATAAAGACTTCTCACACGCTGCAATTGCATTCTCTCTTCTCGTCCCGACGAAAGTGCTGGAAGCTAAGCAGAGAGAGATGGCACGGAGAAAGGAAATACGTCGTGCGCACCCCGTTACCTTGAGCAATGTTTTCTTTTTTTTTATTCGAATACGCTGTTCAGTGTGTTCATGCACCTACGCGTCGACAAATGGCGACCTCCCGCGATGGCACCAGTAACGACTTGAATCAGCCCGCTTGAATCAGCCGACGGCTGTGACAAGTGATATTTGAGCTTGTTGGGTCATTGGCCGAAAGAAGAGACCAATTTCTAGCTGACTTTGATAAGTTATTGCCAATTGAAGGTCACGTTCTGCGCTATAATATTTGTAGAAAAACAGTCATTTGGGCTAGCTGGTAGCTGTTCATTATGAAAGATAGAAGTGGGACGCAGTACGTAACCGGAACTGGAGGAGGGAAGAACAACACAAGGCGCACAGATAATAATATTTGGCTCACGTGTTCTCGTTTGCCTCGACCACCGATCAGCAGCAATTTCTGACCATGCTCAGGAAGTGTTGCAGGGGCCCTTTAAATTTGAAAGGAAGTTTGCAACAAAACACATTTTTTTTTTAATGGGTGTTTTCACGGTTTAGCACTTCTACACTGCAGTGAAACCATCTGTACAGGCAATTATGTGCGCAATAATATACACCTATTCATTCAGTCCGAATACTTCAAAATTTTCAATAATTTAAATTCAAATCAAAGCAAATTTGAATACTCTACTATTCGTCTGAATATTCGAAGGATTCGAATATTCACTCAAGCCTAGTTTTGTCACAGTTTCTTTTGCCATGGGGAGATTATTTTAGTACGGCAGCAGTAGTTTGTGTAGTGACACACAGTGATTCTCCTGGGGGACTAAGAGACTCTTATCAGGCAGAAAAATTTGTTTTACTTAAAAAATAAAAACTCTGAATGGTTTATGTGTGCTATGAGATTTTTTTTTGTGAAATGCGCTATGCAATCGTCAGGTTATCACATTTAACCACAGGTCACTTTTTATCGTTAAATAGTTAATGTTGGACAATGGGGCATCAAAGCATGGACTAACATGACAGAAATCGGCACAATACAAACACCGTCCTGACATCCTGTTTCTTGCGTCGGTGTCTGCATGCTACCCCATGTTTAACAATGAATCTCTATCAGCTAGCTCAGCCTACTGCTATACTAATAAATTATTTTAACTATTCTAAGAAAGATGAAAAATACCATGTGTACTGTACAAAATTATTGTTTATGAAAGAACGGCAGGTAATCAGAACTATCGACACTCCTCTACAATGTCCCTTGTAGCTTACCTATAAACTTAGCTGTCAACAATGGATGAGGTGATCATAATATGAGTTTAACCTGTACCATGTTTCTTGTGTGTATGGTGAAGTGCAATGTGTAGCATTCTGTTTGTACAATCTACATCCTCCGCAAGCTGCCTGTATGCTTTATGTGCTCATTTGCCATCCCGCAAGCTTTTCTGTCTTGATATTGTGTATAGTGTGGCGCAGGCACTAAGACATTTGCATGGCGTCCCTATTCAGACCCATATGAAATGTTAAGGTTGCGTACTTTCTAATGTGCCCAATAACGTAGCAAAGTCTTGATCTTTTGTTAGCTTCCTAGCTCATTCTGTGAAATTTATTTACCTAACCTTAAGCATGCTTTATGTTACTTTGTTAGCAATGTGGAAAGAATTTTCATTGTTGTATATTTGTACAACTGAATTGAACTAGAATTTTACTTTTGTGTCTGTTTGTACAAGGTTAAGATGACAGGTGCACACACAGAAAGCCATAAACTGGCTTGGCTAGGTCTGTGTCTCTCATTGGCAAACAGTAGAAAATATGCATATATATATATATGCATATATATATATATATATATATATATATATATATATATATATATATATATATATATATATATATATATATATATATATATATATATATATATATATATATATATATAATACATATTTATAATATTGAGTGAACGTTCATGCCTCAACACTCTTCTTTATTCACACTTGAGTCAGAGCCCCTCTGTTCAGACCCAAGCGGTGACGATGAATACGTACGGTAGTAAGATGATTAATATGACTAGTGCTCATACTAATTTCCTTGCATGACGCAGCTACCAGCTTGGCCGCGACTTAGACTTGGGGGGATATTGCACGAAGGTTTTAGACCGGAAATATGGACGATCTCCTAACCACGGCAGCTGTGGTCAGCAGAAACGTCAACGGGAGTGATGCGATAGTTCACAGGGGATCTTTGTTCATTAGTTATGTAGAGACTAAAGAATCGTGACTGGAATTTTTCACACAATCCTGGAACACGGGTAGGCGTCCAAAAGAGGACTTCGATGCCAGGACGAAAAGAGACATCACTATGAGAGATGTCGTACCGCTGCTTACGATCGTGTTGACTGGCTTCAGTACTAAGCCGAGCAAGTTGCTTACAGTTTTCAAGCCTCAAATCAAACTGGTCCGGTGTAGTCATAGAAGTGTCGGCAGGTGTGTCGAAGAAGGAAGCCTCGATCATGAATGTCACCAAACAGCTGTAAACGAGGTAGAAGTGTGGCTGCACAGTAGTGCGTTGGACTGTGGTGCTATGAGCAAACATAACAAATGGTAAAATTTTGTCCCAATTATTGTGAGCTGTCCCATATTGGGTCAGCTCACAACAATATATATATATATATATATATATATATATATATATATATATATATATATATATATATATATATATATATATATATATATATATATATGCAAACAGTAAGAACAATGGATAAACAACTTGTCTTGGAGCAAAACACGTTATTGTAAGTTATAACATACGCAAATACTTTTCAAAGGTATTTTGTACAAAGTTCATAAAAATTATTAACAGCGACAAAAAACAGATGTAAGTGCAAAACAAAGTTACCAAAAATTTCAATGCAGATGTAGAACTACTGTTGATGCTGAAGATAAATCAATAAAGTCAAGTCGTAGTAATCTTGGTTCATATGAAGTCATTAGATCAGCATATTGATGCGAGGGCTCAAGCTCACAGATGTAACCACACACTCAAAACTGGTAGTGGTCTCGAAAACCAAAGTTAGCTTTTACATGTGGACACAAATGAATGCTCAACAAGGACTGCAGTTATAATTTTTGTGCTTAGATGTCGAAAAATATCAGGTTCTGTTGTCTTACGTTCATTCACAAAGCTCGCCTGTATTGCTTAGTGTATTATCTGTGGGAAAAAAATTGGTCTAGTGCTTTCGGTGATATGCTCAGAGACATCCTTTGACTTCATATGTATGCCTCTGATAATTTGTGCAGAGGGACTTGAGACAACTACAACGCAATGGAAGAATGGTGGCGGATGGCTTTTTCTTTTCGTCAAGTGAAGGAAACTCTGGGTGAACCCAGTGTTTGACGCTGAGTGCAGTATTTTCTGGCAAGTCTTCTCAACAGAAATGTGGACTGAAGAGGGAAGGCTCTGCTAGACCTGAAAACCAAACCCCTCCCTACAATCCTTCTCTTCCTTCGCCTTACTCAGTCTCGTGTTCATCACCGCTTCTTCCCCGAGAGCTCCAAGACTACACTTCGGTCGCCCTTTCACCCACCGTGCTACTTTGCTTGGATTCATCTGGCTGCACATCGCCATGCCGAGGGCTCACGTTTCGAATGAGAAGTGCGACGAGGTGTGCCATCAACAGGTGTGGTCTCGCGGCAGTGGACGAACAAGTTGAATAGATAACACTCTGCCATTGTTGTTGTGTGTGCTCGATCCCATTGTGCCTGTCTGTTTTGCCCGTTCTTGTTGACTCGTTGGCCACGTTTGGATCATTCTCGCAGTCGTCGTCGTAATCGTGTTTTGTTTTCCCATTAACCTCTTACCCTCCATCGTCTGAAACTACATTGTGACTTTGTTGTAGGTGCAGTTTGTTACTTCTATCGAGACCATGACCTGGCTTGGGTTGTTTTTCTCGCACATGACATTCTTTTTTTTTCCTCTGTGTGACGATTCGAACATCCAGAGAAGCCCTGATGGACGTGAAGCGCTTATTGCGTGTTTGTGAGTGTGTGTGTGTGTGTTTTTTTGCTGCAAGATGATGCTCGCTTGTGCACTGAAGCATATATATGGACCACACGATGTGTGCGAGTGCTAGAGGTTCGCTCGACGCTACTGTTCCCTCGACGAACTATGCTTCGGTGGAACGAACTTCGATGAATCGTTGGTTTCTCGGCCATGCACTCGCTGCAAGGTGTGATGCTGTCATCATTATTTATTACTTATACTGGACGAGTGCCAAGTTTGAAGAGGAACCAAGGAATATATACAACATACTTTAGGGCACAGCCCATCCCAACTTGTATTTTGTTCTCAGTGGTGCTGCGTTTGCGTTGGCTTTATTTTGGGAGCAAAATCCTGACGTTGTGTGAAGTCTTCGGGTTTTGCTTGCATGGATGTACAGGCTCTGTAATTATGATGTAAAGGTAGGCAAAGATGATCAATATAGCTCTGCATAAGTGCAAAGAGTACTTGATACTATATGAGATGATAATCTTTTCAAATGGTACAGCTGTCCAATTGTACATGTAGTTAGAGCATGTACAGGGCTAACATAGCAAGTGAATGCCAGCTGCGTGTTTAAATTCCATCTACCTTGATTGGGGAGCAAATTTCATTTCGATTATAAAAGCTTTCTTGAAGAAGTTAGCTTCTCCCAAATTAGGCTCTGTGGGCTCAAGCATTGCATGAGACATAGTAAAATTTTGGTATCCTAGTAAAATTTCCTGAATATCTGGAGCTGCAAAACCAAAAATAGTTGCGCCCCCTAACAGTGAGTTTGGAGCAAAAACATGAGATCAAAAATCTTGTACACTGTGCACTTATGGTTAGTGACTTCCCAATAAGGGCCAAAGCTGTCGTAAGGTCACAATAACATCGTATGCGAGATGCATTTTGGCAAGGTAATGAAGCATCACCAAAGACTACGTTCCCCATTTTAAAAATCCTAACAGATGGGTGTGCTTTTATCATATGCTTCTGTTATCAGGTTTATAGTTGCACTGTAATGTAGAGCCCCTCTTGAAGAATGCAATCTTTGTGTGGTTTTATAAGACGTCGTATTGATATTCGATCTACACGCTGGAGCTGTCTTAACCCAATAGTGGTATGACTGAGGAAATTTTCCAAACAGTAAATGTTCTATGGTTACACATTGCTGGAGATACATAATCATCGTACTTCACAGTGAAAAACCGCTTTGGCCAACCAGTGGATAAGCTCCACTCTCTAGATTCAAGATAGAGCACGCTCAAGACACGAGTGATTCACCTGGCTTATTGTGCTATATAGATATGTTCATTGTGCCAGCTTATGACTCATTTTCGTAGATATATCTTGATGCATTGTGTCGAAGCTAGCTTTTTTTTTAAGGAGTGCCTGTGCTATGCATTACCACATGCGTCTCTGTAGATCACGCGTACCGACCTCCGGATTTCGCTCTGAAATGATGACTGCAAACAGCACCACTTTGTTTTAGCTGTCGTGGTGTCCTACTGCCATGTACCATCGCAACAGCCTCTATTGGCCCAATTCTTGCATGTGCCAATGGAAGCTTGCGCGTCTACTTATAGTGCGGTCGGAGCCATATAACTTTTCCTTGTTTTCAGAGTGCGTGCATGTGCGTGTTTAATACTGTTGCTCTGTGGGAGAAATTGAAGAGCGTGACCATTGCTGCCTATCGCAAGTGTTCAGGCCACCTACCTCAAAGAAAGCTGAAAGATTGCCATGACACATTGGCTGAATCGAAGTACTTCTTTGTATGGGTTACTTCCATTCAGTCACTACTGCATAGACAGTCCTGCTTTATCGTGTTAAAGGGGTACATGTGCTGCTCTAGAAGCAATTGTGCTTTTCTCACTCATTTAGGCAGCATTCCCTGCTAGTGTAAGCTTGTGGGAGCCTGTCGACATGTGAGTTGTTTTTAGGGGCGATTAGATTTTTCGTTACGTGTCAAGCTTGTTGCCATAAAGTGTTCAATATTTTGCCATAGTTTTGTGCTACTATTGTTTGTGCATTGCTTATTATAGGGGGCCAAAGTAAGCATTCAGGATATTTTGTTTCTCATTTGTAGGCAAAATGTGGTGATACACGCAACTAGAAAACCCTTTTATAATCTTGCTACTATGGTGCTTGGTTAGTGATAGATGGTTTAAAGTTGAAGCTAGATAGGTGTTTTTGACGTAGTGAAACCTCGTAGTTTCACGTGCAGGCATGTGTCTAAAGATGTAAAGAAGCAGCTATTGTGATAATACCTTTGCAACACTCGACTGAATAAGACTTGAATAACTACTGCTGCTACTACCACTGCTGAAGAGCTGTGCTCAAAGAATCATCTCTTGGCAGCTCTACGGATTTCATGCAACTTTAATCCATGCTGAAAGTAAGAAGTCCTCAGATGATAGGAAATGGAACCTGTGGCTATTTTGTGCATAGCACGTTATGCGTGTCTTATAAATGCCCATTAACTTACTTATACTCATGACTAAATCATGCTTGGGATGTTTTCAGGTTGTTTCACCACTGCATAGCGTAGCTACAGTTGAATTTATTGGAACAATCTGCAGGCACTACTCACGAATAGATTGCTCATTCGAAGCATAAAACGACATGAAGGTTGCTCCTTGACTATAAATAATTTCACTACGAGCAGTGAAAGAAAGCGGACAAATCACAGCAACCACTTCAAAAGTGTACTCTGGCCTCATGACAGTGAAGGGTAGTATCCATAAGAAAGGTTGCTATGTTATACTTGTAGTACTTCGGATTTCACAAGAGGACCATGGGTTGGCCGACAAAGTACTAGCAAGTCGTGCTGCTTAAATTCACGTCCACAAGGCATGTGTCGTAGTGTCCATGGAAACTTTCTTAGCAGCTGTCACTTCATTCTACAGATTCTCTTCTCATAATGTACTCAGTTTGCTCCAGCACCCGTAGGTGCACACTAATAGGCACCTAATTCGTCTGAGATGACTGACAGCTGAGCTGAACGCTCGTTTATTGTAAGTGTATACTGACAAACATTTTGCACAGTCACTAGTCACCAAATTATTTCTCATCTTGCTTCACCGAAGTAAACTGTGCAATGAAGTTCCAGTAACGCAATGACCATCATGGGTGCATGACAAGTGTCTGCTGTGTAAGAAGAATCGAAGGAGACTCATTGAAACTATACTGCAACATGCATGATTGTTCATGTACGCACATTTTCTACGAGCGCTTGAAAGCTAAAAAAATTAGATTTGAAGAGTTGTGTGTGTAAAAAAATTGAGATTTGAAGAGCCCGATGTGTTCACCTTCATCACCTCTACAGCCCTGGGGCACTAAGTGACCGTACAGCTTTTTCCAACGAACCATCACAAATATGTATCGTTTGAACAGCATCTACGATGTCTTCTTGCTACCTTTGCTGTTGTCACTGCTTCGCAATGTAAAAGCATACGCAGGTTAACCCAAGCAGCTCCCACCGAGTATTCAGTGTCATAAATAAAAAATGTTAGAGACACTATCTGTAGCCAAGCATACCCGTCCAGAGTCCCTTGTAGCAGGGCGCATCTCGGCAGCATGAAAGCATTTTTGTTAAGATTTTAATTCAAAGTTCATTGCACAAGCACTTGTCATGTAGTCTCTGCAAGAGTATGCTTCCGTCCAATGTACTTTCGCGAGGCCGGGGCTAATGCGGAACATTCTTGGTGACTTAGCTGTGCTTTATGTGTAATGCAACTTTCCATGTGTGGGGCTGGCGATCTCCTTGTACTGTGAGACGTTAGCCTACTTGACTAAAACTGTTAAACTTGCGTATCATTTTGAGTAGTGTACAATGTAGCTTACTGTTTCACCATGCATACCGCTCTCCTAAAATGACTCTCGCTACTGCTAGGATAATCGTGCTAATTTACTTTAAAGTTTTAGCTTTTTTTTTTCGAAAATGCATTTGAGTGCAAACTGTCAGTAGTCCCTGAAGCTTAGAATCGATAAATTGCATGTGACGTCACAGACACAGGTTCTTAACGTATTAGTGCTTCAATATGACTGCTTAGATGACATTGAGGTGATGTAATCACATGGCAATCAACCTGCTCCAGTGAGGCAAAAGTGCCTCTGGAATGTTTTCATGACTTATGCATGAATAATGAAAGAGCTAGAGTCTTATATACCACTAATGCTAACGTGACATCACAAACATCAGTTCTCGCCATTTTGGTGCACCATAGTGGCTGTTTTATTGATGTCTGTGCAAGGCATATAGTGTACAACGCCGAGTGTGGTTCGTTTCGAATGCTTGAAGTTGTCTAGTGAATCGCAGCGAAGCCCTTGCTGCCCAAAGTTCTTCATTGCGTACAAGAGTATGTTTTTCATCGTGCAGGACGCAAGGTGTTACTACCACCGATATTGATATAAATTTCAATGGTAGGCTGTGCATGCGTGAGACAAGTTGTGCTGCTACGGTGTCGTTGGCCTTCCCTTTTCCCCCGCTTTCCCTAGTTCCCCTGAACTGTTAGTTTCTCGTGCCCGGTGTTATGCGTTGTTTTTCTCCTGTCGTGCGTAGTGAAACCTTTGCGTGTTTCTATTATGGTGATTACTATTATAATTATTATTGTAATTACGTTTTTTTCTGAGAAGAGGATGCTTTTGGTCCTCTTCTGCACTGCCATGCGTTTTGGCCGCACTGCCTGTAAATAAACATGACGCACATCACCACACTGCATTCATGTCTTAACTCCTTCCAAAATCTGTAGGTTGCCAATACGGCCCACAGTGACAAAGTGTACCCTTCGCGATTGGCTCCGGAGGCACGTTCTGCGGGAGCTAATCGCTGAGGCCGGCCCAAGACCAGATAAAAGGCTGGAGAATGCATGTAGCTTGGGCATATACAATTGCCTTTATCGAAGAAGAAAAACTTGGCATACCTTCATTCGATTCGATTCTCGACGTTCAGTGGCCTGCTCTGTCGGCTACCTGCCGTGAAATACTAGCAATTCATGTTTATGCTGTGATAAACTTTTCTACATGAAGCTGAGAAGATTGTTACTGCAATAATAATTACATGGACAACCCGGACATATTCTTGTGGTTGGCGTCGCCATCATGTACCGTATAAAGCCCAAATCGGTAGCTGCGCCCACCACGTCGTATGCTCTACGTGCGAATGAGAGTGCACTGGCGCCCTCGGTGAATGCGGCTCAAGAGACAAAACGAGGCGGCCGTCTTCATCGTACCATACTCCTTCAAATTCAATACTTCAATGTTGAGGGACTACAGTCGTACGAATGCCCCGCCGCGGTGGTCTAGTGACTAAGGTACTCGGCTGCTGACCCGCAGGTCGCGGGATCGAATCCCGGCTGCGGCGGCTGCATTTCCGATGGAGGCGGAAATGTAGGCCCGTGTGCTCAGATTTGGGTGCACGTTAAAGAACCTCAGGTGGTCGAAATTTCCGGAGTCCTCCACTACGGCGTCTCTTATAATGTGGGGTTTTGGAACCTTAAACCCCACATATCAATCAATCAGTCGTACAAAAGGTGCATGGAAGGCTCGTGCCCGACGGGGCCTGCACGGCTGCGGCAGGATAATGCGCACTTAAACCAGCCAGCCGTGGTAAAGTGAGGTAGCGCGTGCCCTTGGCAGAGTACATCAGCCGATGGCTCATAACTTTGCGCGTGTTGCGTTTTTATCGGAAAGTTTGCATTCAAGCCAGATAGCATTAAGAACGCTTAACCTGCTGCAAGCCGCGGTTCATTTGAGCTACGCCAGCTGGGTCACACGCTGAAGGTGGTTTTTCTTCGTGTACTTATTTGTATCGCATTCATTGCTTCGTCTTTGCAGCGAAACTTATCAAAATACACGTCTTCATGTGGTACGCCACGGTGGATCCGTGGCGTACCACATGTTATCACCCTTGTTATCGTTTAATTACCTCTCTCAATACCGTATAGCGCCGATTGAGCAGGACCACGTTGCATAATATGACACGTCGTAAGGTCAACTCGCATTGGTACACTGCTGACATATCTATCTATCTATCTATCTATCTATCTATCTATATATATATATATATATATATATATATATATATATATATATATATATATATATTACATCTTTATTGAGACGTGTTAATCGCGAACAATTACGCTGCAATACTTTATTTGAAGAGGATGTAATTGGAAGTTGCCGCATCGACCTGCACTAATAATGGGATCTCTCTAAATTCGGCAAAACAATACAAGCGCGTAATCAAAACGCCGACGTAATTTCAATTGGAGCATCGACGGTCAAGGCTCATTCTTCGATGGCCTCGACAGTAAGGGCACCGGGAAGCCTGGCGGACGCAGGGACCGGTGGCCCGAGCGGCTCTCCGGGCGACGCGCACGAGTAACTGGCGGCGATGCGGGACATTCGGTGCTCCTTGCTGCAGCCGAACGTCTCGGCGAAGTCGCCGGTGAGCGCGGCGGGCACGTTGCAACGCAGCCGCGCGGGCGTGAATCCCAGCGAGCCCGCCACCACGTCGTCGGCCACCGAGGCGCACCACTTGAAGCAGGAGGCGATGAAGAAGAGTTCGCGCTCCGTAAACCCCGTGGCCCGGGAGATCCACGAGCCAGCCTCGGTGCAGTTTCGCGTCTGCATTTGCGGAACACCATCATCACCGTCATCAGCCTGATAATGCATGTCAACTCCAGGGCGAATGCCCCTAGCTTATGGGTTTCGCCAATCAATTCGGTCCTTCTGCTGTGCTCACGTTATCCCTGCTAGCTTTTTATTCTCATCTGCCCTCGAGCTCTTGCCCTCGCGCTTTTGCCTCCTCCTGGACTCCGGTCTGTGACTTTCAATGGCTAACGGTTGTCTTGCCTACGCGCTATGCTCTGCCCGTGTACATTTCTTCTTTTGGTTTCTTCGTCTTCCTCCTCATTGATTTGGAATACGATGTCCTCGACACCTGTTATCTGGCGTTAGTTCTTTATCTTGATTTCCACGGCTGTATATTGTAGTGACCAAGTAGGTTGTTAAAAAATACTGGAGTAGACATTATGGCTGGAAATTGAAGCCACACCTCCTACATAGATTTACTAACTCTTCAATGGAGGATGTCGGAATGGCGGGGGCAGGAGGGGGGTGGGGGCGTGCACTACCATTGGTAGACTGCGAAGGCAGTGCCTTTTTATTTTATTGCGCTATGTTCAAGATAGTCTGTCGATCGTTTCTTTATTGTTGCAGCCTCTTGAAGTTATATATGTTGTAGGCCCGTGTACTCAGATTTGGGTGCACGTTAAAGAACCCCAGGTGGTCAAAATTTCCGGAGCCCTCCACTACGGTGTCTCTCATAATCAAATGGTGGTTTTGGGACGTTGAACCCCACAAATCAATCAATCATTGAAGTTATATAGTTCAACCAGCTACGCGCTGTTCCTATAACTACCTCTTGCTGGAGAATGTGCTTATAAACGTTACCACATTTCACGTGCGAGTTCAAGCCACCACAACATTTCTTCGTGCACGCGATTCATGCGAATTCCGCGTGTTGTATAGCGGGACGCGCTGTTGGGCGTGCGTTGGATTTCATAAAGAAGCACCAAAGGTAGGGCAACTTTTGTGTGTGTCTGCGCGGGACCGTGTGGGCAGTGACTCATTGTGCTATAACACAGTAACACCTCATCATGCCTCTCTTACCTCCGTGAGGACATAAAAACCGACTTTCCAGGCCAACCTCTCCTCCCCCTCATTAAACAGCTTCTTCTTCATAAAAAAAATTCTAACTGGACGGTTCAGAACAAATTCAGGACATGTCCCGACAGAGTCGGCGTAGGACTCGGGAAGTTGTATGAAGAACCAGGACAGTCCCTGAAAATCCGGAATGGTTGCTAACCTTACTCCGACATCTTACTCTAGAGGCACAATTAAATTCCTATTATGCAGTGACGAAAAGGGAGCGTTTTTTTTTTTGCTCGAATGTCTTGTACGAGTCTAGAAGGGAAAAGGGAGGCTGTTCTCAAGAAAGGCGGGATGAGTTTGTTGTTTAGCCATCTGTACTTCAAGGAATGTTTTTTTCGTCTTAACTTTCAGAAGTGCTTCAACGGGAACTTCCAAAACAGATGATGCTCAAGGGAAGATGGATCGGCTAGATAAAAAAAATATCAACCAGTAACGCGTAGCAGACACTCGTTGATTGATATGTGGGGTTTAACGTCCCAAAACCAGCATATATATTATTATGAGAGACGCCGAAGTGGAGGACTCCAGAAATTTTGACCACCTGGGGTTATTTAACGTGCACCAAAATCTGTGCACAAGGGGCTACAGCATTTCTGCCTCCATGGGAAATGCTCCCGCCGCAGCCGGAATTCGATCCCGCGACCTGAGGGTCAGCAGCCGAGTACCTTAGCCACTAGACCACCGCGGCGGGGCAATACTCATGGAATAGGGACGCTTACAAAGAAGCCTTCGCTTTGCCAATTATTTTATCTGATTGCGTGAAATTAAATTTGAACGAACTTGGATTTGAATAGAGCGGGGTTGAATTAAATGGGTTGAATGAAGTAGAATTAAGGGGGAGAAGTAATGAGTACTGGAAGTCGTGAGTAGTGGCAGTTAACCATTTCCGATCCATGACGGCTCCCGGAAGATAGTTGGGTAGTGGGGCTTGTTTAATTTTTGTAGTAAATTCCTGCACTATAAAGACGACATGCCTCCGGGAATTCGTTTCGCCTTGGCCTAGACAGCTTCGCCACTGGAAGCAATGTTTCATTGTGTGGACTCGTCTTCGTCAAGGTAGCAACTGTCGACGATTCACTGCCTTGACGAAGACTTGTCCACCCGTAAAAAACTTTCTCAAGCGGCATTACTAGTTCAACAATTTACCGACACTTCAATGGCAGGTAGTCATATTTCAGCACGCGTTTGCTGGAGTTGCTCTGTTCATTTGCGAACGGAGAGTTAACTCTTGCCCAAGGAAAACCTCATTTAACAGATACGTCTCGAGTCGCGCGCCCCGTTCACCTTGGCATCGTTCTTGGCGGCGGCTGCTCCGAGGTTGGCCGCGGAAGCATCGTACACCGCGTACGCCACCTGCAGTCCAGCGACGTCGGCGAGGTTCTCGGACGCCGCCTTAGTGAGACGCGATGCAACAGGGTCCGTCGCGGACCCAGTACCGGCGACTCCCGCGGCTGCCTTGTACACGTTGGTGAGACAGGTGTGCCTGAGCGTGGAATACATATATGCAACGATTTTCACAAGGAAACCACCCAAGATAACCACGTGGTCGAAATTGGTCTAGATAGCCTCAAGTTGTCCTATAATCGTATATCGTCGTTATGGTACATAACAACAAACTGTCAAGGCGAAAACCACGTGCGCCTCATCAATCACGAAAATTGACAGCGTCCCGTATCGAGTCCACGGCTTTTTCGTAAGCAGCCGCCGAGCATTGTATAACTTAGCGGCCGGAAGCGAGTCTATACCACCTGCGGACTCGAGCTCCGGTCAGCGTGATGTCCGGCTCCGGTGACGTGCCCGCGGTGCGCTCACCGAGCGCCGCGTGCCACAGCTCGTGCGCCACGAGGTGCCCGAGTCCGGCCAGGGCCAGAGCCAGCACGACGCCCGAAGCGGCTGCCGTGGTGCTGTTGACGTCTCCAGCAACGTCCATCACCGACTGGTTGTCACCGTCGGTGGCGAACAGTACCGGCTCGAACAGTGTCCCCGGTGAGATGAGCAGGCTGTCCAGCCAAGGGCTGTACCGCACCGATGGCCTGCGCATCCGCATTCATTCATTCATTCATTCATTCATTCATTCGTAGATTGACACTTTATCGAATCCAATTTTATAAGATGTCTTGGGAGCAGTAGCAGAAGGCTTGGAAGGTGCCTGGCTAAAGCTGCAGCGCTGTAATGGCTTCCATACCACTAACAGCATTAAGCAAAAAACTACACAAAAATGTGCACGAAAAACATACAGGAAAACGCTAATTTTGTATTTTTCAGGAGGAAACAGGGATGGAAAACCAAAAAATATTCTGTGTGCATGTCATTTCCGGTTTCAAATACATAATGTAACAATGCATAACGGTTATATGTAAAGCTGGTAAAACTTGGAAAACATATGACAGATCAGCGACTATTGGCTGCTTCATTGGGAAGCTAACTGGAAATTGAAAATGTAAGCAATGTTAGCGAGCTAAGTTATTATGCGTGACGGTCGTCTAAACTACGTCCGATATTTTTTTTAACGATGTAAACGCGCGCATCGTGTGATGATTGGCATGTGCAGACTATAGCGATGCCACACGTGGCAGCGCTACAAACCGCTCCACAAGTTCCAAGAGACAATCCCTTTCCCGCTCCTGGCCTGTCTGACCTCCCCCGTGACATGTACGATTTTAGCATAGAGAATCTCTGATTTGCACAGCCGAGAGGTCCCTACGGCTAAAGGAAGTGTACCATGTGCCAACGACGTCAAGCCTTCGTCAGGCAGATTGGAACCGTGGGTGTCCCTAAGGGTGTGGGAATCTCAACAAATTGTAGTATCGCAAAGTTTGTAAAATAAAGGAAAGAAGGAGAGAAGAGAAAGAAATGCTACTAGTACCTATGTTACTGCCCTCGACTTGTTATCGTTGGAAACCTGGTAGGTCAGATAAGTAAGCGTCGCTGTGTTTACGGACTGCATTAGCTGGTTTTTCATAACAGTAGTTGTGAGACACTTTTCATTAAAGTCTCTAAAGAACTATAGAGTAACACCAACCACGTCCCTTCGCCTCTGCCTCCTCTCTCGGTAGCTGCAGCAGCGCCCCTAGAGGTACGTTATCCCTAGCCCCGTTAGCCCCTACAGTTGTGCACCCACGTGCTCGCATTTTAGTTTGTGCAGTAAGTGGCACGCACGCACGCACGCACACACACGCGCACACACACACACACACACACACACACACAAAAGAGAGAGAAAGTAATTCAACCATTGCCTGACACGCACTGGAAGAACGGATTCAAGCATGGCTGTATGTAGCCAGTCACTAAAGCAGTGTTGTTTTGCTGAACGGCGCTTTCAGCGCTACACCTGCTAACCAGAAAGCTGATGAAGTAGGTGTATACGGAACGAGCGCCTGCGTAAATCTGCTTTGCGGGTGGTGATTAGAGGAAAGAATAGACGCCTAATTTCTGCAGCCCGTTAGGGAGCACGGCGTAGCGTCTTAAATCTGCTTTGCGCAGGCACTAGGAAGCTACGGACACAGGCGTACCCTCTCCCGGCGCACAGGAAAGGGTAAGCCGGTGTCGTCGTCGAAGAAAAAGGAACACATCCCCCAATGTACTCATCTGTGTTTTAACGCGGTAGCGTTAGAGAGCTCGTGTCACAGAAATTCCGCCGTCGGCGTCGGCACCGTTGTTTATGAGGGAAAAATCGTCCATGAGCGAGAAATCGAGAAAGAAGCAAATAAAATAAGGAATAAAATTTTCGGTCCGATTGAGGGTCGAACTCGGGTCATTCGGATGGCAACTATAGTTATACCTTACCACAAAGCTACCATGTTACTTACAACTGATTAAAAAAAATACTACATAAATGCTATGTAGAAGGAGTTTGCTCGCATTTCGCCCGACAGGAGTCACGACGAAAACGAGCCCATTCGGCGATTTGTATGCACATTTCGGAGGCCATCAAACTAGGTCGAAAAAGGCCGGAATAGTGTAGCCATCGCCGCTAAAAACACGCAGGAACTTTCGAACAGCTTTAAAAAAAGACAACTATGTCCAGTCTAACGCAAAACATATGCCTTTCCAGAGGCGTTCATAAAGCAAACAGCAAATGCTAGATAATCGCTACCATCTGTGAGGCATTGTGAGAGAGACTTTTTATGGTCTCCGATATGGCGAGCGCGCAGCGTATATCTTGGAGGCTGTGCGACTCTTGCTTTAGATCGAAAACCTTTATGTACCATACAGGTACATACATGGTTTATACACATACATACAGGTACATACATAGCGTGTCTGTGTGCCATCTGTGAGACATGGTGAAAAAAATTGCCCGCAGCTTCCCTCGGGGGAACACTGAGGAGGATGCGGAGCATATAATTGGTTAACGGGGTGTTAAAGTGCGACTTACTTGGGTCGATGGCTAAATTTGTTAACGTGGTTGTGAAATGGGGTGTTAAATTGCGACTTACTTGGGTCGATGGCTAAATTGGTTAACGTGGTTGTAGGAGGGGGTGTTAAATGAGTGAACACGTACACACGTATGCGAAAGGGTGGCGCTGGTCGAAGGGACGTCGATCATTGTGTTTGTGGATTCGTTGGCATTCATTTCACCGCGACCTTGGACGTCGACGCGCCGTACAAACCAACCGACGAGCGGCAACTGAGCGAGCGAGCGCCGACCTTGAGTATATATACAGCGCGACGGCGCATGCACTGTCAGCTGTTGAATGTTCTCGAAGCGCGACGGCGCATGCGCGTCCACTGGAGAATCAGGAGAATTGTAGAATGTTCTCGAAGGGGAGAAGCGCGCGTGGCACAGATGGTGGGTGACGGTGCATGCGCGCGTCAGCTGTCGAATGCTCGAGAAGGGGGAGAAGCGCAACGGCGCATGCGCGCGCGTCAGCTGCCGATGTTCTCGAAGCGCGACGGCGCATGCGCGCGCGTCAGCTGCCGATTTTCTCGAAGCGTGACGGCGCATGCGAGCTACATTATACACCTAGCGAATGTTCGTGAAGAGGACAAGCGCACGCTGTGTGTAGAGGAGGAAGGGTGCACAGATGGTGGAGGAGTGAAGCGCGCGCGGTGTGTAGAGGAGGAAGGGATGCACAGATGGTGGAAGGAGGAGGAGGAAGCTTGCGGACGGCGCCGCACTACAAGCCTCGAGTATTAGATGCTCCTCATCTAAAACATGTCTCGACTACAGCAGAGCGCCGTTCTAGCAGAGGGAAGTTGCCGCACTGCACAGTGCATTACTATATAAATACGTCGCGCTTGCGCGCGCGCGCGTGTGTGTGAATGCGTGTGTGTGAATGCGTGTGTGTGCGTACGTGTGTGCGTGTGTGTGTGCGTGTGTGTGTGTAAGAAAACACATTAATAAATGTGCACTTAGCGGTTGAAGGGCGCACTATAGGGGCCGGATTTCGCTATCGCGTTCAACTATTAAAGGCGAAGCTTAAGGGTCCCCCAATGTTATTTCTCTTCGGTGTTCAGTTATGAATTATGCTAATGTCTAGCACATGTATTTTTCTCCTTTTGTATTTGTGTATTATCAGTTATGTTCATGCAAATTACGCTATAACGTATTCTCACCCCTTATGTAAAACCCCTACTAAGGGGTCTTTAAGGTAATAGAGTGAAGTGAAAACACGCGACCGAGGACAGACAAGATGGCGCTTGCACTACCAAGGGTATACCAAGCACGAGGGAGAAGATGAGCCTGCACACTGACACGAATGGCGCTACTTTAGTTACTTCTAGGGAGTTTATTCTTCTTTATTCTTCACCCCCTGGCGGCTGATGAAGTCAACAGGACTCAGCCTTTGCGCGTATATCGGGTCGTTCAGACCACTGCTCAATCGGCATGACACGGTGGTGAGCGCTGTAAATAGCGTTGCATGTGGTTCCATCCGCAGTTCTAGGAGGATGTGCCTTTTTATAGTCGCGTGCGGCAACTTAGCCGTTTTAGTCATAACCATGAGCAGTTGACCATCATGCAGGGGGGGGGGGGGTAAAAGTTCATTTCAGAGCCCGCCCCACCTATAAGTCAATGTCTGAGACAGATTTTGCCCTCCCTCCCCCTCCATCCATGCGCCTGTGATTTCAGCACTGCCTTAGTCTAAATTGTTGCAGAGAAACATGCTATTGACGACTTCGCACGTTCTCTATTCAAGCGGCAAGCTCTGCATCTTGTGTTCATGCAGTGTTGTGTGGTAGCGTATATATGCATGAGTGGAAGTGTGGTTTACTCATTCACTGGAGAGAGCATACCTTGCCATTTCTCTCCTTAAATGACGAGACTTTCCACGAGCTCATACCGAGTGTTCACTATGCACTTGCTGACGCCATTTCTTTTTTTTTTTGCGCTGTATTCATCGTATGCAGTGTCCCGGTTTGTTAACTACTTCATATACGATGCACAAAGACTAAAGCTTGATTATTGACACTAGTCGTCATCATGGAAATAATCCACTAGGCGTCAACGAAAGTGTGTTCACATCAAACGGTGCCATAGCCGCTAGATACCAGCAACTATTGTGTAGCCTCTCATAATCAGTGAACAATGAACACTGAGCTGCTATTGTGAACACGCTATACTTTCTTGGGATGCCGATTCCTAAGACGGAGGGATCAATCATGCTTTGCTATTATTATTTCGCGCGAAAGCGGTTATATGAACGCCTGCAGCGGCAGAAAGCCAGGGCAGCGAAAACGGCTCATCTTGAGATCCCACAACATCTCTCGCCGCAAAAATGTGATACCTGAATCCTTGAATGGGAGCCACTTCTTCGGGCAGCCCAGCGAGCTGTCCCGTAACGTTGTCGACCGCGCTGCTGGCGTCGGCCGCGAACATGAGTCGCACTTTGTCTCTCTTTTGGAGCGCCTTGACGGAGCCCAGGTAGATCTCGACGTAGTAGCCGCGGAAGTCCGGAAGGTCGGCGAAGTAAGCGTCCTGTGCTTCGCTGGAGTTAAGCCGTTCGGGCCAGGCGACCACCGGGCGCAGGGAGGACAACCTCTTGCGGGCCGCCTCCTGGTCGGCTGGCTCGAGCCACGACAAGGACGCCATCGTCTCGTTTCGAAGTGCGTCTACCTATAGAGGGCGGGATGGACGCGAAGACGACATTTCCGTCGTTTAGGCGGCAAGAATCTACATAGGATATGGCGCATAAACAATGGATATGGCGCAAGGTTTAACACCACTGAAAGAAAATGATCGACAAGAACAACACACAGCCCCGCCGCGGTGGTCTAGTGGCTAAGGTACTCGGCTGCTGACCCGAAGGTCACGGGTTCGCATCCCGGCTGCGGCGGCTGCATTTCCGATGGAGGCGGAAATGTTGTAGGCCCGTCTGCTCAGATTTGGGTGCACGTTGAAGAAGCCCAGGTGGTCGAAATTTCCGGAGCCCTCCACTACGGCGTCTCTCATAATTATATGGTGGTTTTGGGACGTTAAACCCCACAAATCAATCAATCAATCTTTGTCCTTGTGATTTTAACATTGCTGTATTGCTTTCCTAAGCTATAAACATCGTGGTCCAACACGAAGCACTTGCGAACGAACAAGAATTTAGTAAACAATACCAAGAAACACATGGAGTGGATGTAGTGCTGGGATGTCGGGCTAATTGTCACGAAGTATGTACGGCAACTACTGCGGTGCAGATGTTCTCTTATTTTGTGAATCAATGTGCTCAAGAGAAAACGCGCTGAAGTTCGTGCGCATCAAGAAAGCCTAATCCAAGCCTACAAATATTGAGCCAGCACATGGCATATATCATCCAAAGGATAGTCATGCCACGCAACAGTAGAAGGAAAAGAAAACGTGCGATATAAATGCGTCGTCATTTAACCATATGGTGTAGTATCGCAAATTTGACGGGGACGAAGAGGACAAGAAAACACGACACTCGCTACACACAAACTGCCAAGACTGTGGCCAGGGAGCTGGGTTCATATAGGATGAAGTTGTTAGAACATATAAAAGGGCCCGTTGTAATAGAAATGAAGTTCAGTAGGGTTGAGAGCTGGGCTATAGTTGGTGAGTGACTTGACTGCCAGCCAGCCTAACTTCGTAACGTTGCAGTTAGCTAGCCTGGCTTCGTAAAACATTCGAATATGTTTCGAAACATTCGAACATTCGAAACATTCGAACCCAGCTCCCTGGCCACAGTCTTGGCAGTTTGTGTGTAGCGTGTGTCGTGTTTTCTTGTCCTCTTCGTCCCCGTCAAATTTGCGCTACTACACCATATGGTTAAATGATGTCTCACCAACTAGCCCAGCTCTCAACCCTACTGAACTTCATAAATGCGTCGGTTTGCCCGAAAGATGATGCCAGTTACCAAGGGTAATATTGCAGCATATATCTTGTATCGGCCGCAGAGCTGGGTGATTTCTTGAGTTTTTTGTTCTTCTTGTTTCCCCTTTTTTTTCGCGTCTCTGCATCATCGACTGAGTTTCTGACGGCCTAAGGAATTCTATCTATACGGCGATAACAATAAAAACGAAGAAAGAATGCAATACGCGTCACTGCGCGTGCTAAGACGTGGCCTATCTTGAATCCAGTGATATCAGCAGATGTGTCGAGCATGATGCAGTGGCACTTCATAACACCAGGAACAAAAGTGCAATAATGTATTTGCAAATATATCTGGGGCTTCTCGTGTCAGAACAACGATATGACGCTGTGGCGTGTGTACCGTAGTGGAGGGCCCCAGAAATTTAGACCACCTGGTGTATTTTAGCGTGTACTGACATATCGCACAGCACATGGGCCCTTAGCATCTGGCCGTCATCGAAGTGCGGCCGGCGTGGCCGGGATTATATCAACAACTTTCAGGTAAGCAGCTGACCACCAAAACCACTGTTCCACATTAGTGGACAACAGAAACGGCGTGGAAGCTATGCGAGAACGGCTGCTTAGGCTAGTTTCTTGAATTCCGCGTTAATAGGGGTTGCAGCATAAGCATGGCAAAGTGCTGGAAAGAAAGAGGAAAGAAGGCGTGTTGTACCTCTTTGCCTTCCGTGCCTCAACTTCCGTACGCTTTTCTTCCGGCACTTTCGCATGCTTGTGCTGCAACCCCTATTAACTATGGGAGAATTTCGGTCAGCATATTGTGTAAGTCTGCGGGTCTCGCGTTTTAACAGTCCTTTTAACAGTGGCATCCGCAATCGGTCCCGGAAGGGTATGCTACCGCAACTAATCGCGAAGGCTGCAAACAGAAAAGGCGCGCTAAGCGATTCAGTACGACCTATATACCAACAATCACGTGAACAATGGGATTTGTTTGCTTCTAAAACAGAATGCATCATCATTCATTACAGCATAAAAATAAAAAAAACTGTTTACGACAGGTAAAATCACAGGACTACATTTTTCTAGGTGTTCACGCATCCAAAGCTCTGAAGCAAAAAGTCTCGCTAGCTTCCATAGCGTTGCGCGTGATGCATGAAACGTATAATTGACAGGCATGTTGACCTCTGCATGACTGTTTACATCTTCACCGTACGGGACAATGACATAGGAAAATAAACTGAGCGTCCTGACAGACACCGACCTGTTCGTGGGCTAGCTGCACCCTGCGCGCCGTGAGCACGTCTTGGAAGACGAACGTAGCCAGGGCGAAAGAGGTGAGCTTGCTGGCGGCTGCTGCGCATGCGTCGGCCACGTACAGGTACACGGCCGTCGCGTTGTCGTCGCTGAACAGCGACTGGGTGAGGCGGTACGACGCGAATGGCGCCAGAGCTCGCACAACCTGAAAGATCGAACGTGAGATATCGAACTGCGAAACGGCAGCTAAAGCTATCTTCGCGTGTATACACCACTCCGAGTTTTACAAGCCATGATGTTGGTGGTGTCTAATAGATCACTTCGCACTTATATTTTCCGTTTCGGCAAAATAAGAAAACAATAAATGGGAAAACAGGCAATCTCGCGTGACTCCACGAAACACTGGCTTACGAAAAGACGACTGCTTCAGGAAGTGAAGGCTTTTGTGCTGTCTGTCAGGTCATCAAGAGGTAAGCAGTTAGAGCACAGCAGATACAAAGGTATACGAGTTGTTCACTTCTGTATTCTGTGATTGCGCGTGCTACCATGCCTTTTAAACATTAGCTAGCCTTTTCTTCTCGCTATACCTGAGGTTGGTGGCGCCGATGAGCGCTTTGAGCGCGACTTTTTAGATCGCAGTTTCGGCCACAGCTGCAAGGTTTGTGACTGCTTGTGGTTCGATAATAATTTGACCACCATCTCCAGCATCAGAAACAATCTATCCCGCGCCAACGCCATTCTACAGCGGGAGTTTGCCACTACCAGTCACAGTGAATACACGGTGTGCTCTACTTGCAAAGAATCTTTGGTGGCGAGCAAAGTCCCCGCGATGAGCGTGACTACGCCCTCTTATACTTTAGGCTACTCCCGGAGCTTCGCCTACTCATCATCATTCGCTTCATGGAAATGGCGCGATTTTTGTTTTCGGAGGGGGGGGGGCACACTTTGATTTCGATTGGGGCACCGGTCAGGCAGATGTGGTCGAGCATCATTTTCCACTCTGCATGCCAAGGCGAAAAAAATTGCGGGACGGGCACGTGGATGGTGTCCTGCTACTCGGTCACACCATAGCCCAACGCCACACCCTCATCCTCCTTCGCCCGAAAAAGCCGCAGGGTGCGTTTCAACTGAGCAGCACTCGTTTGCAGCCTTTGCGAGCTCTCACTTGAACGAACTACTACAATTCGTGGGGCTGTGTTATCGATTTGGACTTTATTCAGAAAATAAAGGCGGCAGAAGCAATAGGCCTAGCTTGTCTGTATATTTGCTATCACAATGCAATGCAGTAGGCGTGACGTGGTGATACCTACTTTACGTCACGCACCCTATAGTTTGCCAAATGACATCCGGCTTCCACTTCCTTCCTGTCTTTTGAATTGAGTTCTCGTTTGTATGTGCCTTCTTTACGTACCTTTCATCCAGTGTGCTCTCATCTATTTACAATCTGGCTAATGACGGCCTGTCTGATCGAGCGTAAAATTCACAATGCGAACAGCTATAAGACTCTTGAAGCAAGGTGAGCTTTGCAAACTTCCCCGGTTATTGCCTACCGTGGCCGGAGAGGTATACTCGAATTTCTCCTTCTATTGAACTATTCATTTCGACCGCCATTGATTGACCGGAGCTCGGAGAGTAGCGTATCTCCCACCTCCAGTTCTTCCGCAACATCACTTGGCTGGGACAATTAAGGTTCGCACAGCTCCCGACACCAATGGGCAGAACGCAATACGCTTCAATGCGGTGGAGGCAACTTCCACAGATACACTCCTCGCCACGCGAATTTGAGAGGCTATTCATTAACTCTCATTCTGTGATCACGTTAATCCATGAGTTATATTCAGCGTGGCCCCTCGTTTAATGCACATTCGCGATTATAGGTCAGGGCTCACGACTTTTCCTATCCATCTCAGCGCGCTCTGACGACGTCAAGCGGAACTTGACACGTCCAATTACGGAATATTTCCTGTGCTGTTGTTCTAAAAATATGGAACTGAAAATATGAAAAAAAAAGAAATCCCAAAATTCAACGTGACGACTGCTATCAAAGCCCTCATTAAGACATTTGTGTATTCCGAGGTGATAAACGCGAACGTTTTGTTTACCTGGAAGGCAATGTAAAAACGCACGTGCGACTCCGGATGGAGGCTCAGAGTCTCGTCAACCAGGCCGAACAGCCTCGGGTCGGTTGCGTACAGCACGCTGTCGCCGGTCAGCTTCCAGGGCTGGCGGCCCCCGCGCCTTCCGGAGCCCGCAGCCATCCGGGAGGGCTCCTTCAGCCGGGGTGCAACGGAATTTGAAATGTCAAGGAGCGTACTGCACCTCGTTCACGTTCTCTGTTTATTCACGCCATCAGCTGAAGCGTTATTCGACGCGACAGATTGATCGATGCAACACGCAAACACTAATTACAAAAAGGACTGGACTGTCCCCGATATATAAATTGAAAGTTCAGTAAGCTGGTCCGTTGCATACGTAGCTGAAAAAAAATGTTGACTTACGCGCCTGGTAGTGGCCCTTGCATGCCAGTGTTCAATTGCCCTGATTTATTCGTCGAGTTAATTATGCGTTTCGTGGTGCCACTCTAGCTGATCTCGGAGGCCAGGCAGAAAGTAGTGCGAGCTTGAGATCTGCGCTACAGGGTGCCGCAACAATCCCAGCAGCTCACATAACCATCGGCCCTTTCAATGACTTAATTTTATTAGTGTTTATTAATCTTACTGGCAGCTAAATGATCCTTCTTTTCAAGTAAACTTGTGCTCATGGTATCAAACGCATCATTTATCACTCTTAACTGGAAGCAGAACCATTGGTTTCTCTCCATATCTATCTTTTGCAAGACTTTTTCTAAATATTAGCAAACGCAAAAGGAAGTACTTAACCGGTCATTTCTTTGAAGAGAAAAAAGAATGAACCTTCCTGTATGAAACTCTTTAAGTGTACTATGTTGAAAGATGAAAATGATATATTAGAGAGCCACACTACTTTATATAATATCGTTATGGCATTGCGCACCGCTTAAAAAACAAAAAACCACATGCACTAACATCAGCACAATCTTTCAACTAAATTCATTGACCGGGCAGATGATGCTTTTATACAATCACGTTTCATGATTAAAACAAAGTGCTTAAAAATGATTTACTAAAGACGTGGTTGATCCCTCTTTTTAGAAATTGGTGTACCACGAAAGCGAAATGTGTCCGCGCAGAAGTAGCTCAGCGTTCATTGTGCATCGTTCTGTCTCAAATGCGAAAGAATTACTGCTACAGCAACGAATCACGATGTCACACGAAGAACGGCAGTAATCACGCACGAAATGAGGTCAAACAGGACGACAGTGGACAACTGTTGCAGCTCGACACCTACAGCACGCTGCCTAAACAAAAAAAAAAAGACGCACTAAATGAACGCACAGGTATACACAGGACGCGAGCGAACAAGTGCCATAATTCTCACTTCGTGTGTGAGCGGCGCGCTCCTTTCGTAAACACGGTCGCGGCAGCAAGCGAAACGACGTTCGCGCTCTCTTAAATTACTGTAACTTCAAAGCAAACTTGCGGTAGAAGCACAAGAGGTACAAAACACCCGAATCCCGAGATGGGCGCATGCGAGTGAGTCACCATGCAAGAGAACATCTATACGCCCTTTGACCACGTCATGTGGAGGTGCAACCGCATAGCGACGCGCGGGGTAGCGTGGCACGATGATCCACGTGCGCCCGTCGTGCCATCTCGCTACTAGTGACAAAAACCCGCTGGAGTGCCCGAGCTCTGAGGACCGTCAGCGGTACATGGTGAATTTAATGGCTTGCCGTTAACAAGTTGAGTAAAGTTTGTTTTACGGCCAAGTGATTAGCGTCGCGCGCTCTGTAGGGGTCTCCAATTCATCGCCCCACTGCGAAACTTTTTCTCCTCGTTTTTAAAGATGATAGTCTTTCTTGGGGACCTTCCATGCAAAAATTTTGGTCTGTCTGTTTGTACATTTGTCTTTTTAGGAGCGAAGCTCCTTAAGGCGTGGGCTGTGCGTCCCCTGTATGTAGCCACCTCTCGTTCAGTTCTAACTATTACGCTAGCCACCGCCCGATCTAAAGGGTTCAGCCATATCCATCCGTCCGTCCGTCCGTCCGTCCATCCACCCATCCATCCATCCGTCCGTCCGTCCGTCCAAAAGATGCAAGATGTTATAAACTAGACGGCGGTACGTGCAGTTAATTATGAAAGATGCGAGGTGTTATAAAATAGGAATAATGCCACATATGGCGCGTGTCATCGTTCGATATAGTGCGGCGACGTACGCTAGGGGGAGCGTTGCAATAAAATCGAGTGGGCAAAATGTACGGAGGATTCATGGTTTACCAGGTTTACCTCCGGAGCTTCACCCACTCATCATCATTCACTTCGTGGATATGGCGGCATTTTTTGTCTATTCTTACCGGCATCGGGTACTTGAAATGGCCGACCTCATCCGCAGCGACCACCAATGTTGCTCAAGGTTGAGCGTTCATGCTTGTGCAAATATATATATTAAAACTCAATTATTGCGCATATCTGGCGCACCATAACAACACGCACATAATATGCATATGCATCTTTTACTAGAAAACGCATATATAAGTAATTTTAAGGACCATAGCGCTTATCACGCTGCGCTTACCATGCAAGGCTTGCATGGAACGGGGAGTGTTTCCAACGCTTTGCTAAGACGAGATGGTGGTGGCACCTACCCGTCGCCTCGCGTTCTACACCTTATCACCTCTGAGATGGGCGCGCACGGCCACGCGCTTTGATTTTGATTTCCAAAACAAACTGCCAGATGGCACTCATGTCTCACGTGTGACTAGATTCTATGCGTTCATTCGCCTCCGCTGCACGCTCGAGGCACTCTAACGCAGCGCCTGCAGAATACTATTCATTCATTTTCTTGCGCAGAACATCAAATAAACGTTGTGTTCACTCTCCACACGCAAGACTATCGTCTTTCGACGACATTCGCAAATTACATGCAGATACGGGGCCAATTTTTTTTGCAATTTGTTAGTATATGTTTTACGTCATATCCATGACGGAACAACGGCAGTGGAGCCATGGTGGACGCCGGCATAAAAAGCTTTCATGTTAAAATTATAAACTGTACAAGACCGCGATAACCACTCATGCCGATGACACACGTACCTCTCGCACACCGTGCCTTGCCCATCATTGAAGCGTCCAAGATTATTCGAATGGGGGATTACTGCGTAAGTATGGTTTCTTTGGGACTAATGCAGAAAGCAATATTCGATCTAAATTCATAATGCAGGGTGTGCGACAGGTGTGTGCCTTCTCCACATGAGTGGTTATCTCTATTGTGTTGTTTATATTTTTTAATATTTTTTTAAAGTTCTGTTTTACATATGAAACATGATTGTGTAAAAGCATCATGGGTACGTCCAATAAATTCAGTAGAATGTTTGCGCTTGCGTCTCTTAAGCCTTCGCCTTTAAAGCGGTGCTCATTAACGTAACGATTAATGGTTACCAACTCGCGCAAGCATGTACCTCTATAAGATATATGTTAATTTCAAACTCAGCACTGGTTTAAATGATCAACGCGCGCTTACGTACCGACTTTACGATGTCCTCATCGCCATCCTCGATCGCCGCCCTGAGGTTGGCACGAACCGCACGCAGCCATACGGCAGCGTGGGTGGATGGAATGTCGTGGAACCGCAAGTGCGCGCCTTTTCCGGCTGACGTTGCGGCTGAGGCGGCCATCTTGGTGGTTACCTCAGCGTCCATGGCGACAAGGGCGGCCGTCAGGCCCGGTTCCAAGTTGCAGTTGCACGACATGACGCTCGCAAACTGGTGCACGCAGCGAGCCGTCGAGTCGGCCGTCAGGTAGCGCTCGCGGTGCCGCTTCCAGCGCAGCAGCGATGCACTGTGGGCCACGCTCAGCAAGCTCCGGCGCTGGGACCTGATTACCAGAATGACGGAGGTAATGTAACTGTGCGCGTGAGCATTTTTACGTTATCGCAAAGAGATGAAGAGTACTAGAACGCGGGGTGTTGTTTGAGTAAACGTTTACACTCTAAAAAAATATCAAGTAAAAAGGGTGTCTTTTTGTCCCACAACAATAATCGTCATCAGGCTTGCGTGCGCTTCCTTTCTTGAAAACTCGACGCTGGCCACTTTCCTATCGAGAATGCACTGTAACCCTGGTAATGGGCATGTCGATCGTGACCGGATTGTACCGGGCTTGGGGCGATAGCGCAAGGATGGAACGTAATATAGATGACGAATATTGTTGTGGGACAAAAAGACGCCCTTTTTACTCGCTATTTTTTTAGAGTGTAGACAAGTAGCCTTGTCTTCTTCAAGGCAGGAACGTAGCCTTACTACAGGAGCTATCCCAAACAAAATTTTGCTGGACTGTTGATTTACAACATTTCGCTATCGAAAGTGGGACTTTTATTCCGTAAAGACTGCTAACCAATAATTATTTGCAGCTTCAAGGTAAGACTGCTTCATCGCTTATATTTTCTACTGACTTGTTGTCCGGAATGTTCTAATTTTACTGTATTAGACAAGAGTTCTGTCAGTACTGCATAAACTACATGCAGGCATGCTGAATTTGCTATAACTGCTTCCTTCATTCGTTGCTTTTCCACGAATTGAAGCCAAGCAAGAGGGGGAAAACTGTGCGCCTATACTTAAGACCTCGTTTACAGAAAACGGTATTTTATTGGCCAGTACCAATGACCCTTCTCATAATGCCGCTTCCGCATGGCTACATATGGGGTCATGAAATAGCATGACATGGCTATATTGTCTTGAGTTGTAGCTCCTTTTTTAGTCCACCGAACAGCAACCCTGCTACCCAAAGATATACGGTAACCCAGGCATGGGCGGAGCCAGTGAAAACCCATGTGACGTAAAAAAAAAGGCTAGCAATAAACCACGAGTTCCAGACGCCGAGCGAAACCCCATTAGGTGCAGAAAGTTTTCGTAATGCTGGGTACAGGATCACTACAGCACGTCTGAGTAGAAAAAAAAAGGCTATTGATGTTCAGCTCCTAGTCACTTAAGGCAAATGAATGAGGGATGCATGTAAATGTTTATCTTTTTCTCATCGTACCTCGACTTTGAAGGGCACCCAAAAGAGCAAAACGATTTTTCACGTATTAGTAAAGTACATTTTCCCAATTCCGAAAACACCACGCTTAATGCGACATGGCGCGTCGTAAGTGCGAAAACGCGTGAAAAGAAAATACGGATGGAGACGTCACCTTGAGAATCTCGCACCAAACACTATGACGTCATATATTTTGAAGGTGTCTACTAGGTCATAGCTATCTGCTAATGGATAAAAATGAAGTACGTTATCATCTGTGGGTGAAATATACCTATAGCGCACAAAGTTTAGGGAAATTATTTTGACCTAATGTCGCGAAGAAACGGAAAATACGTTTTGAAGTTTTTGAAGCCAAGCAGGACCGTTTAGACGCGAAATCCAAAACTGAAACTCTTGAACCACGATTTTCTTCAATAATAATGAACTTGTGATGATGCAACATGTGGCATTAAAGTTCTCAGAGCGCAGTTCATTAGTTTAAACCAAGCCATTGTTTCTCTTTAGTGTCGTTTTAATGCACCATTCTCATCACCCGTCCTCACCGTTGCGCGACGTACCTGAGGTCAGGAGTGAGGACCACTTCGAACAGCACGTCCAGGTCGTAGTCCATGGTGAGCGAGATGAGCGTGGCGAGTGCCTCGGCCGAAGCGTTCTTGCTTCCGGAAGTGGCAAGGAAGTGAACCGGATTGTCCTTTCCCAGGAACAGCAGGCTGTCGATGAGCCAGGGGACGTCCATGTTCCGACGCAGCACCTCGGTGCAGGCGACGTAGCTCAGCACTGCCTTGTCGGACGTGCTCAGGGGCTTGCTCGGCAGGGGCAGGCCCTCGGAACGCTGGCGCAGCTTGTCGTTCACTTTCATGTACACCTTCGACTGAGTCAGGCGGAGAAAGGCGCCGTGGGAGCAGCTGATTGTTCTCCACATTGATTAGGGATGTATGAACAGTGTCTAATATTACGGCGGATTTTACTTTCTAAAACCACCATATGATTACGAGAGACGCCGTAGTGTAGGGCTGCGAAGATTTCTGTCATCTGGTGTTCTTCAGCGTGCACTGGCATCGCACCGGACGCGGGCCTCTACCATTTTGCCTCCATTGGAAAGCGACTGCCACGGCGCTTATCAAACCCACGACCTTAGAGTCAGCAGCCGAGCACCCTAGCCACTGATCCACAGAGGTGGACCACGAACAGTGTCTTTTAGAACCGAATGCAATGCAAATCGAATACTGTCCGAATAGCTTTTGTGTTGTAAGGCAACCAATCTCAATGCAGCCTTAGACGGATGAAGTTGCAACTTTGAACACGGCCTGAAATTTCTACATTTGATTGAAAACAAGCATAGACAGCTTTAACAAAGGAACATTACGATTACTTCCAGTCAACAAAGAATACCATACTTATTTAAACTGAGATAAGACCATATACATCAATAACATGGTACCTTGAAATATTTGGTAACTGCAGGCTGAAAAAGATATCAATAAAATCGGCTGGGGATAAAAAAAGGGGAGCAAGAACTAATTTAACCGCAACGGCGAAGCCATGGGCGAAGCAGCCGATGCGATAGCAAGTAATTATCGTATTATACAATTTAGCCAGGCTGTAAATGGAAACTCTATCAAATCAGACATCACGTAAATGTGAAGAGCACTCGTGTAAGAGAACACTGCCGCTCCAGGAGTAACTACGCTTTTCGCAGTCTCTTAGGGCGTACAGCACAACACATATAATGGTAGCCATCGGACTATTCTTGCCGAGACAGAGCGCGTTCCAACAATCACGATCGCGCCCTTGGTGAATGAGTGTCACACAAGCTGCTCGAGTGACACACTCCCATCCGCATTCCACGTTTTTACATGCACCTTCAAGACGGACGAGGCGTTTCATTTGTGCTTCTGCAGCAATTGACGACAGGCTTCGGACTTGGGGTGACGTTATCGCATACACCCTCTGTGTGAAGGAGATGGGTAGGCTCGTTTCATCAGTGCTTAAGCCGCATTCGTCACCCCCGCTAGCCCACTTACACCGGCGGGATGAAATATGCGATGCGGGGGGGGGGGGGAGTGGCACCAATTTTGCATTTTAGAGGAACATGACGGCATCGACGACACCAGCGGCAAAAATTCATCGATATTGTGCATGTGTGATGACGTTTGTTGAACCGGAGAAGTCGCTACGATGTCGCAACGAAAAATGGCCGTACGACAAGTCTGGCAAAAGGCGGCCCAGGTTCTCGTGCAATCAAAGCACGGGGTTTTTCCTTCTCTTTGGAAGGCGCATACACGTTAGTGCGTATGCTCCACTACAATGCCCCCCGGGTTGAAGAGTAGCCATCCTGGCGACTCAGGGAGTAGGCACAATGAGGGGGTCGTAGTAGGGCTTGAGACGGTCGACGTGTACGGTCTCGCGTCCTTGACGGCGCAAATCTGGCGAATGTGTTAAGGGCTCGATGATGTAATTCACTGGTGAGGTTGCGTCAACGACACGGTATGGACCATGGTACCGGGCCAGAAGTTTAGAAGGCAGGCCAGGAACGTGCGGGGGCACCCAAAACCACACGAGGGAGCCAGTACGAAACGTAGGCGCTATGTGATGAGCGTCATCATGTCGGGTTTTTTGTAGACCTTGAGCCTCACTTGTCATAGACCGAGCCAACTGACGGCAGTCTTCAGCGTATCTGGCGACTTCCGAAAGCGGGGAGCACTCCGATGCATCAGGGCGGTACGGGAGTATGGTGTCGAGTGGGTGGGATGGTTCGCGGCCGTACAACAGAAAGAACAGGGAAAAACCGGTAGTCGCTTGCGTCGCGGTGTTGTAAGCGAAGGTAACAAAAGGCAAGACAGCGTCCCAGTTAGTGTGGTCGGAGGAGGTGTACATCCTCAGCATGCCGCCAAGTGTGCGGTTGAACCGTTCAGTGAGACCATTCGTCTGTGGATGGTATGCGGTAGATTTCCGGTGGATGATGTTGCATTCAGCGAGAATAGCTTGGATGATCTCCGACAGGAACACTCGACCCCTATCACTGAGTAATTCCCGTGGAGCCCCATGGCGGAGAATGAAGCTGCGGAGAATGAAGAGTGCAACTTCGTGGGCGGTCGCTGCTGGTAGAGCTGCAGTCTCAGCGTAGGGTGTCAGATGATCGACGCCGACAATAATCCACTGGTTTCCAGAGCGACTATATGGGAGGGGGCCATAGAGATCGATACCCACGCGGTCGAATGGGCGAGCCGGGCATGGGAGCGGCTGTAACATGCCAGTAAGGTGCCGCGGAGGTGTCTTGTTCTGTTGGCAAGTGGTGCAAGACTGAACGTATTTCTGCACAAAGCGATACATTCCTCGCCAGTAATAGCGTTGGCGCAGCCTTTCGTAGGTTTTCAGTACACCTGCGTCAGCACTTTGGGGATCTGCATGGAAATTCATGCAGATGTCAGAGCGCATATGAGTTGGGACAGCAAGGAGCCACTTCCGACCACCAGGAATGTAGTTGCGGCGGTACAGAATGCTGTCTCACACGGAAAAGTGGGCTGCTTGTCGGCGTAGTGCTCTCGTGGAAGGGACAGCAGACGGATCGGTAAGGTAGTCGAGTAACAATGCAAGGTATGGATCTTTACGCTGCTCCGAAAGCATGTCAGTGGTGTCTATTGGTGACAAGGTGGTAAAAAGCGGTGACAGAGAAGCCACATCTGGGGTTAATGGCGATCGCGAAAGTGCATCGGCATCCGCATGCTTGCGACCGGAACGATATACTACACGGATGTCGTATTCTTGTAATCGAAGTGCCCAACGTCCCAGGCGTCCGGACGGGTCTTTCAATGTGGACAGCCAACATAGAGCGTGGTGGTGTGTGACCACGTCGAAAGGGCGGCCGTAAAGGTACGGGCGAAACTTCGTCAAGGCCCAGATTATGGCCAAACACTCCTTCTCTGTCACGGAGTAGTTCAATTCAGCCTTCTTGAGAGCGCGACTTGCATAGGCGACTACGTATTCGCCTTGGGTGCCTTTCCTTTGTGCCAAAACTGCACCAAGACCGATGCCACTTGCATCGGTGTGAATTTCTGTGGCAGCAGCGGGGTCGTAGTGACGAAGAATGGGTGGTGAGGTCAGCAGGCGGCGCAGCTGGCGAAATGCGTCGTCACATGCAGGTGACCATGCAGATATACCTTTGCTGTTGGAAAGCAGACTCGTGAGAGGTGCGATGATGGACGCAAAGTTGCGCACGAAGCGACGAAAGTAGGAGCAGAGACCGACGAAACTTCTTAGGGCTTTCAGTGATGTGGGCAATGGGAAGTCAGCGACAGCCCGAAGCTTATCGGGATCCGGAAGAACACCGTCTCTTGTGATGACATGCCCCAAGATGGTTAGTTTTCGTGCTGCGAAGTGGCACTTCTTGGAGTTAAGTTGTAGGCACGCAGAAGTTAGACACGTCAGAATCTCGTGGAGGTGAACAAGATGTGTAAGGAAATCAGACGAAAAGACTACGATGTCGTCCAGGTAACACAAGCAAGTTTTCCACTTATGGGCACGCAAGATGGTATCGATCATGCGCTCAAATGTGGCAGGTGCGTTGCAGAGCCCAAATGGCATCACTTTGAACTCATATAGGCCATCTGGCGTTACAAAGGCTGTTTTAGGGCGATCACAGTAAGCCATTGGCACCTGCCAATACCCAGAACGCAGATCCAAGGATGTAAAGTACTCGGCGCCTTGTAAACAGTCAAGAGCATCGTCTATTCGTGGTAGCGGGTAGACATCTTTCTTCGTAATCTTGTTTAAGCGGCGATAGACCACGCAAAATCGAACGGTGCCATATATTTTCTTTACCAGAATGACAGGTGATGACCAAGCGCTTTGAGAAGGCTGTATCACTCCACGTTTAAGCATGTCGTCTACTTGCTCCGTAATGACGCGGCGTTCTTCGACGGAAACGCGGTAAGGACGCTGTCGCAGAGGCGAATGTGAGCCGGTGTCAATAGTATGAGTGATAGTCGTGGTGCGGCCCAAAGCAGGTTCTTGAAAGTCGAAAGAAGAGCGAAACTTGTTAAGGAGAGCAACAAGTTGGCGGAGATGCGAGAGGGGAAGGTCTGCGTCAATAGCATTGTCGAAGGCTGACAAACTTGATGACTCAGACGCATGAGTTATTGCGGCAATGTGACATGGCGTTTCGTCGGGAAGAATAATATCATCGATATGGTCGACAGGTTGCACATATCCCAACGTTTCCCCACGAAGTAAGCCAATGGGGTAGTTGCAGTGGTTGGTAACCAGCATTACGGTTAAACCAGATGCAATTGTAAGAACGGCAAATGGGAGAACGATGCCCTTGCGTTCAGTAAAAACAGGAGATGGCGTAAACACCACCGTGGCGTCAGGTTGCGCCACACATGAAAGGCTTACAGGGACCGAAGCTTCCGGGGGCAAGGTGATGTCGTCGTCAGCGATGAGTTTGCAGAGCCGAGGAGACCGGTCGGGTGGTGGAAATTCATATGTTGGCACAAGGGACACTTCGGCACGGGAACAATCGATGATAGCTTCACGACCTGATAAGAAATCCCAACCGAGGATAAGGTCATGAGAGCAAGATGGCAGAACAAAAAACTGTACGACGTACAAAACGTCTTGCATGACGACGCGCGCCGTACACAGAGCCGAGGGATGAATGCGTTGCGCGCTAGCTGTGGACAGCACCATGCCACAGAGAGATGTGGTCACTTTCTTCAGTTTCCGACAAAATTTGGCGTCCATCACAGAAACGGCGGCCCCGGTATCAATTAACGCTAATGTGGCAACTCCCTCAACATCGACATCAACAACATTTTTCGGCGAAAACGGAGGCCTTGGGAATTGCGCACAAGTTGCAGTTCTTGCCTCCGG